ATAATATACCAATTTACATAAACTTTAAGCGTTGAATTAACAATTACCTTAGGTTATATAACGTTATATAATCATAATTGTTTAAAAAAACAATAAATCTTATTTATTTTTCATGTTTTTTGAGTTTTTTAAGCAAAAAAATTAAATTTTCAAAATTTGCATTTCACTATTTGTTATGTTAATGCAGACATCTTCTGAGTGCGTTCTGGAGTTATTCCTCAAACTACTCACAAGTGTGCACACTGTGCACACAACTAAATCTTGAGTTCCTTACATTTGCTTACCTTTTCCTGCGTTGTCCTTTTTGTTGAATTATATTTTCCCTTGTATGCTTTTCTTGTGCGTCACACTGTCACGTCATGTGTACGCTGGGTTGCTTATCTCAACAATACCCTAAAACTTCATTCATCGCGTCTTCCTGGCTTGAAGGACTCGGGATTTAGGAATGAGAGGCGGGTAAGTAGATGTGGAGCTAAAGAGAGAAGTGTATTTTTCGTCGAGACGGCAATTTTACAATTTTGCTTCCATCAGACGCTCTTCGAAGGAAAAGGACAAGTGGAATACGTATATCCAAGCGTCCTGGAAATTTACATGTCGTTTGCATGTTTCTACCTTTCTGAACAGACACATGTAATTTTTTTGGGGTTATTTTAGAGTTGATTTTGGAAGATTTTTAATATAGGCAACCAAATTTACTTTTGGGTAATAACAGAAAGTAAAATTGGTTGCATAAATTAATTTAATTAAATTTTTATAAATTTTAATGTTACTTTTGGAAGTTTTTGAATGTAGGCAACCAAATTTACTTTATAAAAATCACAGAAAGCAATATTGGTTGCCTATATTAATTTAATTTAATTTTTATTTAGTTTTAGAGATGATTTTGTAGGTTTTAAATGCAGGCAACCAAATTTACAGCTTAAAATGAAGCACTGGTTGTATATATTATTTTTTACATTAAATTTTATTTATTTATTCTATAAATTCTTCACTTTCTCTGCTACACTTACTTACATTGCGTTTAAATTCTATAACTAATAGTAATAGCATTTAATTAATCAAATAAATATTAATGTAACAATGTACAGAGGAAGAAACTGTAGAAAAATATACGTGTGACTAATAAATTACATGCTTACATTACTTTTCTTTGATTTTCATGGTAACTCATGGTAACATTTTGTTTAAACACAGTTGAATGAACTATTTACAATGCAATTCATTATTGTTAGTAATTATTTACATGCAATTTGTTTTATACATTCTTTTCTTATACATAGGCAACCAAATACGCTTTAAAATACTCATTTGGTTGCCTATATTAATTTTTTTTGTTAGTTCATGATGAAAGTTGATTTATTTACTTGTTGATTTGTTCATTTGATGTATTGTTGAGTTGATCACTTGTCAATGACTTAGAAGAAGTAATGATATCGCGAAACTGCAACAGAGAGAAAAAAGATGGCGTAAAATTAGCAGCAAGAAGTGAGTTATGTGTAAATTATGTTTAAATTAAAAGGGATTGTATGGCGAGACAAAACATGCAGCCAGCGATAATATCACACTCCATTTTGCACAGCTTGTCGTGCTCGTCAAAGCGTAACATGTGTCGATAAACATTCCTGCTATGCGACATGATATCGTTTAATATTTCATTAAAAATTCATGTATAGTGTACAACAATTTAACGATATTTTTATTTATTTTGTTTGTTTGTTTGGTTATGAACATATGTTTTGTTTTGTTGTATAATTGGTTGCCTAATATGAAATAATCTTGTGCAAACGCATTTATCACTTGTGGACTTCATTAATCCGCTCCTAGGTGATTACGAATATCGAAAATTTATGCACGCAATCAAGTTGTTATGCATCAAAGCGTTGTCAAGCGTTAAACGACTCCGAAGTGAACGAGAACCTTAATTTCGCGCTCTTATCGTAGGCAGATTGTGGCATGAATAAATTTGTGTCAATTTAAACCACAAATTGTTCGAGAATTATTAATTTCTTACTGCATTTGTTTAAAATACAGTTAAAATAAAACATTCACGGAAATATTACAGTGGCTGCACACGTGAATAATTGAATTAATTATTATTAATCAATAAACAACTAAAGAACCAAGAGAAATTATTAATACTTAATATTAATACTTAACAGTAATGTATTCATTGTTTTACTTATGAATAATTCAATAATATATTACAGATTTCTTTAATATCGACAAAAAAGTATTTTTGGTTGCCTATCGTCAAAATCAAACTTTTTAGACAAATTAATATTCCCAGAATGACTCAACATGTTCCCAAAGTATAGTTTTAGATAGTATTGTACTGACAGGTAACTTGCAATCAATTAGTTTACGATTAATTAATAATTCGATACGACCTTGCACACGCCGGCGTTGATTGTGTGCTAATCTGTCCGAGATGCAAACTTCACTTTTGTTTTCATTGCCAACGATCAATTCATCACTTAAATGAAAAAAAAAACATGCACACAGTCTCAATGCCAATAACACACCTGTCATGCAATCGATAAAAAGCTAAGAAAAAGTGCATTCGATATAGATTTATTTGAGGTTAATTAATCTTGAGTTAACACGCAACCAAGCACACACACGCAACGTAAAAAGGAAGCGAACACTGCGGAAGGACATTTTGATTAATTGTAACTAATATTAATGTGTTTATAATAGCTTTATAGCAGAAAGAAACTTAAAATGACACCAGGAAGTTAAAAAACATTTTTATTGAGTTTTTAATCAATTAAATGGAAAAAGTAGTGACATCTAGTGGTGATTTTTGTAGGTTTTGTATTAATCCCTACTAATATTATAAACGCGAAAGTTCTGATGTTTGTTACACTTTCACGCAAATACTACTTAACAGATCATCATGAAAATTTGTACACATATTCTTAGTGGTCCCCGAATGGTTATAGGCAACTTTTTATTTAATAAAAAAAATGATTTTTTAAATAAAATAAAGAAATTGTTTAGCCAATAATACCTCTGCATCTGGCTATTTGACTACTTTAACGCCATCTAGCATTCCAGCAATGAAACTCAAACCTAAGTACTATAGTACTATCACACTGTATTATCACACTGTATTACCAACAGCTACGTCAACATCAAATCCAATTGACTACACTATGGAGACTGTACACTATACTTCCATAGACTATACTTTCAGCCATTTTAAACTTCCCGCCATTCTACTTCATTGTTACTTCTTCTGTGACTACAGACGCGTACGGAAGCAACTTCATTATTTTAGATATTCGCGAGCGAAGCCAAGGGTTAAAGCTAGTAATCAATATGTGTGTTGTTTATAATAGAAAAAAACTTAAAATGGCACCAGGAACTATAACAAAAACATTTTTATTAAGTTTTTAATCAATTAAATGGAAAAAGTAGTGACATCTAACGGTCATTTTTATAGGTTATGTATTAATAATCAATACATGTGTTGTTTATAATAGAAAGTAACTTAAAATGGCACCAGAAAGTTCAAATTAACATTAATTAAATTTAAAATAAAGAAATTGGAAAAGTAGTGACATCTAGCGGTCCTTTTTGTAGGTTATATGTAACTAATCAATATGCGTGTTGTTTTAGATAAGTTTTCGTTCGTGTGTATACAGATCTTTGTTGTTTGACAAAGCTTCCAACTAGTTTAGTTACTTATTAGTTACGCCCGTGACCCTTTGCGCACGGCAGAGCGAATTATGATTCGATTAAATTAATCTCGCAGACGCTGTTGTCGTGTGATAATCGACGCGTGCATAATGAAAGTTCGCGGTCAGTTTGATTAATCCTCGGTTCGGGAGAGATGCCCCGAGATGCAAATATCAAACGCGGCGTGAGTTTGGCGAAGGGTGAGATCCTTGGTTGTCCAAGGAAGTGCGTGGGAGATGAGATTCGCTAATAAGCGGATCCTGGATGTGCAAAGACGAGGAATCTTTCGGGCGTCACAAGGGACCAAACGGAGTAAAGGTCCTTTCGTCGCCTTGCCACATTCTCAACACCCTTAAATCCATTGTTAATATTTGTGGGGTTAGATTTTAGGTTCTTTGAAGAAGGAAAGTTTTATTTTTGAATGAAAAATTTTAAAAATTTGATTTTATGAGGATATATTTATTTCTGGAGGACCCTGTACATGTAAACAAGGAAATATGTGTAGAGAACACTTTGGACAATCATTATCGTTGGCCATCTTTGAGGAGCTCACCTTCAGGGCATTGCGAGGGGAGATATTATGCAAAACATGGAAATTGCAGGGCGAGCATATTGATCAAGCGCACAACACACCGAAGATCACAAGAACAACTTTATTAATTGATCAGGGTAGGCAACCAAATTGGCAAAGGACCAATATTTACATTTGTTTGCGTCTATAGACATCATAACCTCAAAGAGGTTAGTAAAGTTGCCTATCATTCATCAAAAACTATTAAACTAAATTTTATTTTGTTTTATTTTGTTTTATTTTAATTTTCTATGTTTTTTGAATAAATATTTAGTTAATAAAATAGTTTTGCGATTGTGGAATAGAAATGTAATAGTGTAACATTGTGCTAATTCAACAAAGACCCGCGACTAACCGACTTCCATTTCTGTGATCTTCCGCGACGATGCTCACTTGACCGCCTTCGGACAAAAGCGGCGCACATCAGAGCAGATCACTTTGGAGACCCTCATCTGCCGCCGCGCGCCGCCTAAGGCGTTAACGTAACGAGCGCGTTTGGTTATCGCCGAAGCTAATGCGGCGCTATTTGTAGCGGGCATCAAGCAATTCCCTCTAATATCAGGCATTACGGTCATCTTTTGATATTTGAAGTGCGCGAAACTAACATTTCCAGTGGTAATCATAACTACTTTTGATAGGCAACCAAGTAAACACTAATAGGCAACCAGCTTAACAACATAGGTTTTGTTTGAGACATGAATGTGAATGATAAAAACTCATATGTGTAGTGAAAATAAATCAAACACCATTTCACAGTAAACAATAAATTACTTCATTCAGATAGCGAGAGTTAATATGTACAATACACTTTCAAAATGTCAACACATCACATCTTTGACTAACTAAACACAATATGTAACACATTCAAGACACATACAGAAACATACAGAACCAATGAGAATTTGTCATTTCAAGCCATTTTCTCATTTTTTCTTTTGTTTTTCATACATCCAGACTTAAATTAACGTTAATTATTAAACTAATCATTTGTTCTCGTTATAGGTTAGCTTCGACTTAAACCCTTGAATCTGCAAATAAGTCAACGTAAACAATCACACTCATAAACACAGCATATAAATATATCTGGTAGTAAAGTTGCCTACATACCAAAAATATTTATATACAAAATAGTCACACTTATTTTAGAGGTTATATTACTACGCGTATATCTTACTTGGACTTTGTGGGGGAACGAATCCGTATCCAGAGGCACCAACAACAACGCCGCTGGTCTCACCGCTATCTGGTGGCGCTGGGGGGAAGACAACAGGTCCGGTATTAGCGCGTGGGTCACGCGCATTAGTCAACTGTCCCCCGAATCCGCCGTCAAACGATGACGAATCAAATCCAAATCCGCCGAACTGCGCATGCGCGAACGCCACCAACGCGAAGAAGATCACAACCAACTGTAACAAAACAACACACATCGTAAAACAACGAACATAAACGAATCTCCGAGTGAATACTTTCACCGCATTTCGCGCTATACTTAACCACACAGTTTACGTATTATCTAACACTAGGCAACACACGAATCGTGTGCATCTCATTTACGATTTCGTGCGGTGGTGATTTTTCAGGAGTGTCTCCCACTCACACACATTCTGCGGATGCAGTAAACTGCGACCGGGGCACTCAATAAATCCACACTAGGAAATAGCCGTGCCTACGGAACGCCAACCTAATTAAATTTCAACGTCGAGCGCATATTTCACAATTATTGCCGCGAACGTGGCGAATAGATGTAGATAGATTTCGCTTCGGCTGTCAACCGGTAAGGTAACGTATTTATTAGTCGTCCTATTCACTCAAAAATCACCTGAAAACTTCAACGGAATTCTCTGACTACGAAAATAGTGTAAAATGAGTTTTTGAAAGCGATAAATAAGCAAATAATCTATTTGGCAACATGCACGCGTATGCAATTGAGTAAATTCGAATATCGATGTGTTGAGTACAACTTAAAGTTAACTTAGGTCCGCATGCGCAATCGATCGGTAAGTACCGCGTGTGTGCAGGAGGCCGAAAGAGTATTATCCGAGTATTGTCACGGTCTGATTATTCGAATAATTTACTCACACATGGCTAGCTTATTACGTATCCTCGGAATATCGGCGCGAGACAGACTTAAGTCAAGTCGACAGATTCTCGAGACAACCCACAACACAAAATAAACTTTTACGAAAAAATTTAGAAGATCGACACTAATTGTGTTGATACTGTACATAAAGTTGCCTAACTATATTTGTGTATTAATGAATGTTGGGTTGCCTATGTTAAAAAAATGAATGTCAGTATGTTAGTGTTATACTTTTGCATTCCGATGAGTTACGTAAGACGTTACTACACGGCTACAAGTACGAGTATTACATTAAAAGTGGTGTTAACAGTTCACGTCGCGAGTTAAGTTTCGTTATTTTACACGAAATGGTCAAGGTTGAGCTGCACACACAAAAATTATGAGTTTTTGTTTCAATTATTGCCAAAATGGACATTTTGTTACACATTATTTGTATTTATGTGGAAATATTAATTTTTGTTTATATTTTACATGGTGTTGGGGATATATTTGTGTTTAGTGGTTTTGGTTTGTTTTTTGTGATGCAAATGAAGCAATTTTGCCTTCAACACGAGAAATGATTGCAAAAAATCATAAATTTCGGTGTAATTCCGCGCATAAATCAATTGTTGTTGAACTTTTGCGATAAATCGCTGAAAACAAATCGTGATTCACTCGAAATGTTGATTTACGTGTTTATGTGAATTGATCTGGTGGGTAATTGATGTTTGAAGGCTTTTTCTATCATCATCATCACATAATCTGTGATGTAAATGTCTAAAATGTATTTTGGGTTGCCTATATTAAAGTTAAACGTAATATGGAAGTCGTTAAGATTTTACGAGTTTTACTCTGTGATTAATTACGTTTTTCCTGTGGAATTTGAATTTCACGTATTATACTCTTACTTTTAAGAGTTTTGTGTTAAAAAATAATAAAATTGTGCTCAGTAGGTGTAATATATGCATTGAAAATGTTTAATGTTGCAATTTTCAATTCAATCCTCAATTAAATTCTCGCTTTTGTGCAATTTCAGCGAATCGATATGTGTTGTAATGATTTTCCAATCATTGCACTGTGTTGGTCAATGTTTCAACAATGTAAAATGCAACAAAAAGAAAACTTGCATATGAAAATTAAAAATATAATCACATACAATCAAAACTAACAACAATTTCAACGTTTTACAAGGTTAAAAAGTAAAAATTCTTTCGCAAAGCAAAAAAATAAAAGTTTGCTTGTTAAAACTTTTAGAGAGAAAGATGAGGCAATGATGTAACTCAAACTTTAGCAATAAAATGAAGAAATGACGAATTGTTCTCATAAATTATCAAAAAATAAAATCAAAAAATCATAATAACTTGAAATTAAATTAAATTTATAAAAAAAAAAAATTAAGTGAAATTTACATTTTAATAAAATGCTTGATTGTTGATTGTCTCGTGCCAGTTTGAAACAACTTACATGGCAGATGGCCGATGAAAGCCATCCAATATAGCGTCTGCTAAAGAATCTTAACCAACCATCACCAATGATTCATTTCTTTCATTTCAAGTCATTACATGTCAAAAAAAAAGACTACTTATTAGTTAAAAACTACAATTATGTTATGCCATGTAATTCCTTTGTGTATAATAATTTGTTTAAACTATTATAAAACGTGCTTCCTGTCAAATTAAATCCGGAACAATTCAAAGTTCTAATTTACGAAGAAAAAAGTAAAAGTTTTCGCAACCAACATTACAATTAAATGCAATGCAATGTGATGTTGGTTGCCTATGTAAAAATGTAAACCTATTTAGTTTTGTATTTCGTCCGACATTGAATTGCATCACATTATGCGTTATTCGTCCTATAATTGTGGCAATCGCGGCAATTGTGGCAATGTCACATGCCCACATCATGTGCGTATGAAGCAAGAAGTCTTGCGTGATTCGGTATCCTCGAAACGGAAGCCGTCATGCGTGTTAAACTACCGAAAAAAAAGCAATAGTGCAATCTCCACAACTCCACACTATTCGATATTCTGATTGCAAGCACATTCTAAATATTAAATTACGCAAATGTAAATATAAATATTTATTAACAACAAATTCACTTGATTGACTCTATTGTTGGTGAACATATAAATCAGTGATTTGCTAAAAAGCTGAATTTTATAGTCGTAAAGTAAAGTTTCGGTGAAGTAATTTCGTACTCAATTTCCCAATTTCCCGCCGTCGGAGTTCTCGGCTCGTTTTTGTGCGTTCGCGCTCGTTTAATTCAATTATCCGTCGATTGAATAAAACCATAAACTCTCAATCGGCGCTCGGACGCTTTTCGCACACATTTCACGCGCTCGATTTCCTTCCATTCTTTATTCAGACGCGCGTCGATTTGTTAAAGATCACTCTCGCACTCTGTTAAAGCTTAAAACGCGTGTGAAGTGCGAAATGCACACAGCAAAAAACGTACAATGTAAGAGTATCGAGTATCAAGTATAAAGTAATCGATTTGCATTTGAACTCCACTAATAAACCATGAACACTTATGCAAGAGTGTATAAAAAGTTGCCTATAGTAAAAATTTCACAAGTTTAATGTAACCAAACATAAAATTTGTGTATTTTGGGTTGCATAGCTAATACGTCAAGTGTTTTTAACTTGTTGAGCTTGAGATAACTTTTGCAGGTGTAGTATTAGCTTAGACTTCACAGAGATAGCGAGTGAAAGCAAATGCGCTCGAAACGTGCGTGTATGTCAATTAGTGCACCAGAGCGTGGATGCACTTCGTCGCCGACGCATGTGTGACTGATATTTTAACGACGTTAGTTATGTCCACCAAGTCTCCTAAGTATTTACACTTTTACAGTGTACAAAAACATACAGGATGTTCCTTAAGCATCAACAATTGAAGATTAAATAAGCAAATCTCAACAAAGCCGGAAGTAAAATATTTTAAGTAAAAAATATCTATAAAGTAAAGTATTTCCTGAATTAGATAAATTATTATGATGTTTATTACGTGCAGTAAAAAATAATTTAATTTTACTTTCTTTGATGTAGATTCAAATGTTTCAATAGTGACGAGTTGTGAAAAGGAAAAGAAAATCTCGCCAGAAGGTAAATAACCAATAACCAATAACTAATTAAGTAGTTAAATCTAATTTCTTCATAAAATTAGAAGTCATAAAATAATTGTAATGTTGGTTGCCTATACTCAATAATTTAATATGTCTAATTTCTATTTCCGTGTGGTTTTTTCATTGTCAATACCAAAAATAAGTAATAATTACCAAACCGCAGATGAAAAACTTTCGCTATACGATAAAGATTGACTCGTGAATTTAAACTTACAAATTTCATGTTGCAAGGAGGTGAGATGTTTTACTGATGTTGAAATAATTCCTTTTGCGTTCACTGCGAACTCGGGCACTGGATCACACTGCTTCCCAATGTACAAAAGTAGATGTAATTGACTTAAGTAGTCTTAATTGTTGTTCGTGTGTGTGTGTTGTAGCTGTGAGCACCGACGATGTACTGAGTGCGCAGACGGAGCGGCAGACGGTGGTAACCAAACAGAAAGAAGAGTGTGGTAACTTCTGCGGCGGTGGTGCGGCGTGCGTTTGTTGGTCCGGAGCCCGTCGACGGCGGTTTTATATCCCGGCGCTTCAGCCTCGCCGGGCCGCGTCGAGGTCGTCGTCGACGGAAGAGTCTCGCGGACGAGAGATAGTATAGTATAACACACAGTATTATCACGTGCAGGTGAATTTTTGTTTTAATTTTCTATGAATTTTTCTAATTTATAAAGTCAATCAACTTGGTACCAGCAAGGTTAAAATTTTGTGTTTTGTTTGTATTTAGTGAAAATTATTGAATTATTCACTTTTTTCTTTATTTATTTTTCTTTTCGAGATTTTTCACTTTTTTTTTATTTTTCAGTCGAATGCCTTTTTGAATCATTAAATTTCATTATTTTTTTTTAAATTTAGTGAAAATTTCACTTTTTTATTTAATTTTTCTTCTTTTTCGTTTGTTTTTTTCCATTTTTTCACACTGAAGTTGTTTTTTTGCTCTAATATTCCCACAAACTATAAAATATTGATTTTTGTTTGTTTTTTGTGAAAATAATGAAAATTTTCACTTTTTATTTAATTTTTCTTATTTTTTGCTTATTTTAATTATTTTCTTTATTTTTTTACCATAAAATATTAAGTTTCATTGGTATTTAATGAAAATTATTCATTTTTTCAGGTTTTTATTTAATTTTTCTTCTTTTTTCTTTGTTTTATTCAAGTTTTTCTATTTTTTTCATTGTTCTTTTACTCTAATATCCCCACAAACTATAAAATATTTATTTTTGTTTGTTTTTTGTGAAAATTAATAAATTATTCACTTTTTTATTTAATTTATCTTATTTTTTGCTTATTTAAGTTAATTTTCTTCTATTTTTTACCATAAAACTTTAATTTTTGTTTGTATTTAGTGAAAATTAGTAAATTTTTCACATTTTTATCTAGTTTTTCTTCTTTTTTGCTTCTTTTAATATTTTTTTTCTATTTTTGCTATTTTTTAGTCCAATGTCATCATGAACCAGTTCAGAATCATTCATTTTCATCCGTTAATTGCATCGAATCGATTCAATGAGTTTTCGCCTCCTTGACGCCAAATCATCGTGTGTATTCAAGTGTAAGCAAAGTGTAAGGTGGCAAATCGTCCACAGCCAACCTCCACCTTGTTCTCTATCCATTCATAACCGTTTTGAGTTCATAACTTTGAACTTAGACCCATTTCAGACCTACTTTTTTTCTTATTCTCATAAAACTAAAACCAAAAACAAACATTGCAAAATATTTTCCACATTGACCTGATTTATAAATTATCTCTAATTTTAATTTTTGCTATTTTTGCTATTTTTGGTGACTAATCGATTAAATTAATATTTTTAAGCCTGTGATTATTCATAGATCATTGCACACAATTATTTTAATTATGGTTTCATGTCTGAATTCATTGTCACCCTGATATTGCATCAGTTTACATTGACAATTGATTTGAAACACAATAATTTGAAATTTTTAAAAATAGAAATTTTATAATAAATGTTGTAATCCTTGATTCTGTTGTTAAGACGTCTAAAGATGTCAAAAGATGCCGGAAATACGGAAAACCATGAAACAACAAAATAATTGTATGTTATATGAATGCGTATGTTTTGTTAATTTGTTGCAGTCGGTTCTACAGTGATTCATTCATCATCGAGCAGACAAGCCGTAAAGTTGTGATCGCTTGCAATTATTTTGTGCGTTGTTCACGTACGCGTAAATCACGTCTCTTTGTTAATAATATTAAATATTAAGTTTCACCTAACATGTGCACAATTCATTTCATTCGACAAAAATAATTTTTCTTTCATTTTTTTAACTTTAAACAAAAAAAATTCAAATAAAAATAAATATAAATACATTATATTGACGTTAAATATAGTAAAAGTTAATTAAAAATTAAAATCTATCAGTAATTTATGCATATTACTTCATTTTCTTCACTTGGCAACCAACTCGGCTGCGTAAATAAGTGGATTTGAGTGAGTGACTTGAGAAAAAGTAAAATTCAAGTTCTCAAGTCTCACAAACGACAATTTGTGCTGGACATTCGGACGTAATTGACTTCTTATTCCAACTGCTACTTTGCAGCCTCATTACCGTCCATAATCTAACTCACAATTTGTTTTGCGCTCTGATTGTCAACACAATTACCAATCAATTCAATAAATGCAAATAATAACTTCATTATTTGAATATTTGCATCAATGGTTGTTATTTTTTGGTCATTGTCAACTGAATAAACGTTTAACAATGCATAAATTTATTTGTGAATGCGAATAATTCGCATTAATCCTGATAGGTTAATACTTGATACTTTATGCGTTTACTTTATGCTTGCGTTCGTTCGGTAATTATTTAATTATGTGCATAATCACGCCGAATTATTTCCACGCCTAAAAATTTATTTATTTATCTAATTTTTTTTCTCTCTGATTAAAGCGTTGACAAAAATTAATTTAATCTGCTTTGTGCCTTGTTATTTATCAATTTGCATGCTAATTGCGACACCGAAAATTTATGGCAAATTTTAAAGCATTTTAATTTCGTTTTCCGCTCATTTTGCTTTAAATGAATGGAGAATTAACCAAAATTAACAAAAAAAAATGTATGATATGTGCGTAGAATAAAAATAGTAATAGTAATTGCAGCGCAATGTTTGTAGAAATGACTTAATATTGCGCAATCGGAGTAATTAAAAAATTGGAGCATATATTTGATTTGTACAATTATTTTGTAAGTTAACCAAGCATGCATTTTTATTTTTTTATTTCGAGTGCGTAAAATTTAATTTTAGACACGCACAATGTTTATATTCTTATTTAAACAAAAGAATAAGATTTAATTTTAATTGTAACATAATTAAATGTATCTATTTGACGAGATACGGTGTGTGTGCAATTTTTCGCTCCGAATTTCGCGTAATTAAAATGTTTCTAGCGTCGCCTGCGCTCATTATGCATGTAATATAAGGCGTTAATGTAATGTTTTAACGTTTTGCAAATATTACACGATTACACATTGCGTACTTGCTCGATTTAACATTCAACATTCAACATTCAACATTGAACGTTAAAATAATTTTTTAATATTTTTTCTAATAAAATTGATAAAATTTTACTTTTTTGCTAATTTTATCGTTATTTGTTAATAATTTAATTGCAAATTAACAAATAATAATAAAATCTAGTCTAATGTGAACTACGTGATGATCCTCACACACAAAATTCGTTCAATTGTGTCTCGCACTTGCAAAACTCATTCTTCGCTGTGTTAAATTTGTTTGTTTTGTGCAATTTTTGCACAATGCGCGTGTGCTGCTTTAGATTCTCTTTTTTAACATCTAGTTCTTGAGCTTCGCACAAATTAACATTCCACGAGCGTGTTTAGAGTGTAAATTGTGTAAATAAATTAAAATATGACGTGATTTAAATTATTTAAAGAATTATCACATATTTTTAAAGACAAATTGGTTAATCAAATTAATATGATATAAATTATTAGTATTATTAGATAAATTAATTAAATTCAGGTATTTTAAGTGTCTGGCGATATATTGATATCAAATGAAATGTTTGGAATTGAGTTTTAAGTATTGGCAACGCTGTAACTGGGTTAATTCAGTGAATTATGCATAAATTAAGCGTTTGCAATAATTACTGAAATTGAAACGTGCGCGGTCACGTTATAAATTTACTTACAAGTAAATACTTTGGTGATATTATTAAATTAAACTCAAGGTTGATGCACAAATGCATTATTTCTTAAATTATCTTAAAATTAACCTCAAATTTCTTCATAAAAACATTTAAAATTGTTAAAATAAATTAAACTAATCATAATTTGTAATAATTTGCAAGAATTTGTAACAATAATCAAAAAATTATGACAAAATCAGGAAGCAAATTAAAACCACACTTTAATTTTCTTAGTGTGAAGCATTATATCCGAATATTTCGGAACCCGATGCGAAACCATAATTAGTTGGTTTGGGAAATGCATGAAACGCATGAAGAAATTAGCACGAAGACGTGCTAAGACGGTCAGCCGACGTTTTCGGCGCCAACCTTGCTCTAAATATCTAAAAATGCAATCACTGCATGTCTAATTTAACAAACGGCTAACGAAACACACAAAATTTATAAGTAATTAATTTCGGTGTAAGTTTTATTGGCAAAATAAAAATTGCCAAGTCTGCTGAGCGTAATTAAGAAGAACATTGATCAGCAGGTGCACCTTGTGTAGGTTAAAGACATTGGTCAATAACATTGAAATTCGATTGTGATTTCTCCAAATTAATCATAGAATCAACTACAAAATCACAATCAATATAAATATACAAAGTATTTTTTATAAAATTTAATTATTTTGTTGTGTATGTGATGAATTTACTGATTACTCTGTATATTTTACGTTGAAATTGCAAATTTCGGTAATTTCCGGCGCGGTTTAACATTGAGCGCTATCATTAACGAATTTTTATGACTAAACAACGATCAGCTGATTTATACTGTTAATAATCTGTTGATGAAGACAAAATCAGCCGCTGTATGTGCTTCTAGGTCTAGCGCGAATTGGCATCGCGAAGGTGAACTCCTTGTTCACTTTTACCGCCGGCTAAAAACTGAATTACCGGCTTCCTTCCTTAGACGTCTACGAGTATAACATCACGAGATGATTCAATGATTCAAAAGTGTAATGACACTTGCAAGGACGACCTCCAGCGCCTCCTACCTACGTTGTTATAGAAAACGGTAAAGAAAACTATAAAAAAACATCATTTTTAGTCAAGAAGTCAAGAAAATGATTCACTTCCGTAGTCTCTTGACCTAAACCATAAACCATCCGAGCATAAGTACAGAAATTAATATAAAAGCGTTATTAATGCAATGTGGTAGCGCAAAGATCACATAATGACATTAATAACATTGATTTCCACCTCGTAAATTGAATGCAAACGAATGCACAATGTAAAATGTGCATGACATGCACAAACGCTGTCTGCCGTCTGTCGATAATTACATTATTAGCATTATTTGCGCACACTACTCATATCGCACGCTTTTGATCTGCTTCTTTATGATTTCCTCTTCCGATAGACAACTTCCGTATTCGCTGCATATGCAAATTATAATAAATTCTCCTTTGGGATTCCCTAAAATATAAAACTTATTATTTATTCATGAAACACGGATTTACTTATACTTATATTTACACTTACATCATTGTCAAGACGGATATTCCACGTTTTATGTTTGTTAAATTCAATTAAATGAATGTCATAGATTGTGAGTGCATGCAGTTGAGATTTTTCAAGGTTTTTTCGCCACATACTCGCCGCTTCTCGTTTTAGCGTTCGCTGACCAGTCGAATGTGAAATATGCAGATATTAATTGAGTAAAAGTTGGTGTAATAGAAATAAAAACCAACTGTAAACGTTGTTTGACTGCAAGGAAGTAATTATTGCTATAATACAATAAAAAATCACCTGTGATATGTGACATGCAGCTTGTAATACATACCTTAACCTTACTTTTATGTATTTCACTTTTTTTTCTTCGTTTTAATCAGAATATCTGAGCTTGACATTGAAGTTGAAGTCATAAACGATACTAAAACGGATTCTAGTTGATACTTGCAGCTTGGAATGCTATAACAATCGGGATAACATTTAAATATCGCACTGGTTCTGTACTTTCAAAACTTACACTCGTTTAACCTCAAAATGTTGTGTTATTATACGCTAGGTGGCGTTGTGAAGCAATAAATGTTTTTTGTAATTTTATTCGACCTTAAATATGAATTTTACATCGTGATTCATGACGTGAATAATCATAACGCACGATAATGCACTTTTATGCAGTTTAATGCATTTTGTTTGCCAGGCGAAAGCCCCCCAGAGCTGAATATTAGCGCAACAGACGCCGACATAAAACTTAATGCTTCTCTTATCGTGTTATTACATAATTACACTTTTCGCAAAGTATTATGAGCATCGATAAATTCAAATAACACACTCGTTATCGATAATGCGCGTGTTGCACTTATCGTAACACCGAGAAATTAAGATCTAAAAACTAAAAAATGCAAATTATTTCACCGCAAATGCAACCGCAACTATATTTAATGAAAAAAGTGTCGTATGTTATGAATATTAAAGTGTTTCAATTATCTACACACTAATTGAGATCATTAACAACTTCCTATTTCTTTTGATCTCGTTTTAATCGGTTTAACAAGCGGAAATGTTGTCATATCTCTAAATATCTAAATACGCTTAATGATATTAAATACTTGCGTGCTTCCTACCTTCCGTAGTGGAGTCGAAAAGTGCGCGGAATTTGTTTTTAATTAGAATTATTAAAATTGTTGAAATTATTTAGCGAAATCGTTGCGAGCGTTTCGAAAGGTTCTTCGACCACGATGAAGGTTGCGTCTCGCTGCTCGGCTTGCTTCATACGCGCGTAATTGATTTTTAAACGCTCCCGTTCGGATTCAATGATTTTTACACTTTTATCGAGCACGTTTCAATGAAAAAATGCAAATTTAATTGCTTCTTCGTTTTTATCCGCGGCGGCTCCTACGCTGAATGTGCAATTTGCCCATTAGCAATCTGCCGGCGGGCGCGGCCCCGGTTAAAGTAAAGTGCACGGGAATTTGCATTTTAATTTCTATGTGTTCATATAATCGATATTTTTATGTTTTTAGTGCACTTACGATTTAAACCAGACAACAGGTTGATATTTTATTTCGAATATGGATGTTTACTGTAGGCAACATGTTATGAGCGTAATTTAGTTAGAGTAATCGCCGCTAGTTGGCGCTGCAAGTTCCATATTCAACAATTTTCAACTTTTGAATTTTTAAATTGTTTAATTTCAATGATTTAAACAATAAATATAAATCAAAATCATTAAATAAAAATTAAATCTTATTATTTTACTAATTTTTAACGGTTTTACATCGTTTATTTGCACAATTTTAAAAATATTATTTTGAATATCACGTAAGTCATAAAGTCACCGCCAGGGAGCAATAGTTGTACCATCTGGAATAAACGACAGACATCAGACGTGCAGCGACCGTTACAAGTTCAACAGTTTAATTAGTTTTTATTAAATCAATCTGACGAGTATAACGTTATAAAATGCTCTAAAATATCACAAAGTTGTGTTTCATCGGAAATGTATAAAGGTAAGATCTCATTTTCTACTATTGCGTAGCATAATTCGGAGTAACTAACGTTTCTAACTCTTCGGCGATTTTGCGATATCGCTCCACCATTGGCGCATAAATTTCATTAGAATCGGTATACGGTTCACACACAAGTTTCGGTTCCGGAAGGCACTTTGTGATTTCAAAGAAATCCGTCGGGCGATGTAGGCCGTGTTTGGCTTGGAATGCTGCGCCCAACATCGCTGAATCAGATGTTTCCTAAACAAACATAAACAAAAAACACGATTCAAATTTAAACCAATCGCCATTTTGTTTGCAACGTACTTGAATGTAAACGGGAGCGTTGAAAACGTCCGCCATGACTTGCAAAATTGCGTGATTTTTTGACGCACCGCCTGTAGCTAAGATTTTGGTGTTTTCATCGAAATCAAAACCAATATCTTCAACATGTGCGCGTTTTGCAATGAATTGTCCTTCTATTAACGCTCGTACTTCAACTTCGAGACTGGTAAACTTTAAAACTTTCTCCCCTGCTTTATTAAATCTATAATCTCCTTGCAAATACGGATTGATTTCTTGGGTAGCAAAATAAAAACCCATATTGCCAAAGTTTCCTCGTGGTGTACTATCTAGGAGATGATTGAATATCTCCCAAGAACCATCACAACATTTATCCCGGATTTTTTCTCTTGTTAATGAACCATTTTTATAACTAAAAATTATTTTTTTGTAAAAATAGTTTATAAAAATGATAATTAATGAAATACCAACCATAATAAACCCATGTAAGCATCCTCATCAACAGGATTACAAAAAATATGTCCTTCTGTAACAACAATTCGCTCATTCAACCATAAAATCAAAGTATCGCTTGTGCCCAGACTGATTGCCAACCATCCTTTACCCAAACGCATCCCTGCCATCGATGCAGGATTATCACCGGTAAATGCAATCACTTTACAATCTTTACTAAACTCCCACCGGTCAACATAATACGGTGAAATATCACCGAGATTCGTATAAGAAACCACAGGTTTTCCTAGTTTTTCTTCTAAATCCGCACCTCCACATACTTTCAACAACTTTTCATTCCATTGTTTCGTTTGGAGATCCATTATATTCATACCAGATGCATCCGCATAGTCAATAGGAGCGATTTTTCCCAAGAATAATGAGCAGAGGAAACTACTAACTAATGAAATTCTCTGAAATAACATTATTTATAATATAAAAGTAAAATTTAATAAAAATTTAACAAACTTCAGTATTATTATAAGCGTCAGTGTTGAGTTTTGCAACTTTTGCGATTTGTGAGGCAGTGAAACGTTCATAGGCTCTGGATCCAGTGATTTCTGACAGTTTCTTAGGTCCTCCAACGGATTCTTCTAACTGTCTGCAGAATACAGTCGTGCTGCTGTCCATCCAGACTGGACTATTCGATGTGGAGAAACAACTGGCTAGTTGATGATGTAAAAACTCACTGGGGTCTAGTTTTTGAAGAGTTTCTTCAGCTCCTTTGTACCAAAAAACAGATCCGTGTTGCTAGAAACCACAAATTTTATTATTTTTAATATTTTGGTTGGGTTCGTATAAATACCTGAGCAGTTCCAGAAATTGCGACGATTTTTGAGAACTCCACACCGCAGACGGTTAATCGGTCCATCAGCATATCTAAAGCTTTGACCCATAAAAGCGTCGGTGTGGTCACCACCAAGGAATTTAATTTGTTTTGCACTACACCTCCATGAGTCCTATTTAATTATTGTTTTATATAATTAATGTTTTATTTATTTAAAAATGATATTTACCTAAATTCTGGGAGGTCACTGTCGAATTGTACGGAAGCTGTGTGGAGAATTTTGAGTTCATCATCGACAACAACTGCTTTCAGCTAAAATTTAATTTTAATTAAAATAGTTGATATTTATAGCGATAGGTGGCGCGCAGTGTATCACAACGTGAGTTTAAGTTTTCAAATAAAATCAACAGGTGTCGACACGTGCATCAAAAACAAAATAAAACAAATTACGTGGCTTTAAATAAAACTTTCTTCGCGCACAGAATCAAAATAATTTTCCACGCTTTCATCGCAATTTACACACAATGCAACTACATCTCCCAAGCGGTAAAACTAACAGTAAATTAAAAATCTACCATTGCAATTCTTATTTAGTGTATGTTTTAAGTTTTTAACCTCAAAGCGTTGAAACCAAGTCAATAATCACAACCCAAATAAAAAACACAACTAATTCTAGTAATAATGCCGTGGGATGATAACACATGGCAATATAAACTAAAATAAAATAAGATATTGAATGATATGTGAAGGACTAACTTGTTGTGTGCTGAGGTCAAGCCCCAGGTAGAGTGGCACGACCGCCTCGTCCTCGCTCGGCGTCTCCATCGCTATCGCAGCGCACTACTTTTTTGCGGTGTTTACTTTTTGTGTCTGCTATCAGCACTACTTCTAAGTGCCACCTTCGGAATGTGTGGCGATCGATGCGCGGGCTGGTGCGGTGTGAGATCACGCGATTAGTCACCGAATTCGTTTACTTCGCAAGGTGAGAGCGCGGACTCAAGTCTCCACCGCGCGTATTGTGCTTTCGTGGCACGCCAGCTAACTTGAGACTGGAGAGTTGGAGGTTGTAAGAGTGGATGGATTAATTTGTTTAAATGGTATTTAAACGATTTGCGTCGCGTTGATATCGACGGGAATGTTGTTCAGGGAGGTCGTGACATGCGATAAGTGAAATTATACAATTGCGTGTTTGTTTTGTTATGATTTTGTTTTTATTTGAAGAAAAACACGTGGTTTAGTCATGATTATGTTGTTATGTAATTAAATAATTTATTGGGACACTTTGTATAATGTTGAATTTTTTAATATAAGGAAACAAACAAACGTTCGATGTATCAGGCGGGTTTTGTTGAGTTTGGGGGGGGGGGATGCGATATATTAACCGAAAAACGCTCGCCGCCCCCGTCTGAGACGGAAGACGGCGGCCACGAGGACTGGGAATGGTGCCGCGGTGGTGCTACAATTTGGCAGTGGTCATGTAAACAAATCATATCGGATATAACTCAATCGAAGCGAATCGCGGCGGCGGCGGTGGCGGCGGGCGCCTCGTCTTTATGTTGTTTGTAGTACTACGTCGCCGCGGCGGCGGTGCGGTAATCGCCGGCGGCCGGAAGGCGCGACGGACCCACCACCGCCGAAGACGACGCCGCCGGCGACAACTGTTGTTGTTGTGCACGCACCACCCTGGGCCATGCATGAGTGAAGATTGGGGTGGATGAGGAGATGATCGCGCTCGCACACGTCATTCGGCGAATGTTTTGGAGCGCGCGCGTCTGCATTTTTATTAATTTGACAAAAAGTCGGGTGGCGCGGTGGCGGCGCGCCGCCGCGACGCCCCAGGACGGACGCCAGAACTTCTAAGAACCGCGGCGTCCCGGCGGCATGGCGGCGGGCGACTTCCCTTCTCGTTTCATGTTTATATAAAACGACTAAACCATCATTTATTTACTGCTAACTGATGCTGTGCGCATCCAGCAGCAGTGCGAAATCCCAGCGCGCCAAATATTTACACAACCAACACTACTACGCATGCGTAGTCGATTTAATTACGAATACAACGCGTTATACACGTGTATTTGGTTGCCTAACAATCGTAAAACGCATAAACTTCGATTGGATTCCAACCGATCGCTAATAATACTTTGATAGTCAACTTGTTTGCCTGTTTGTGTCCCTAAACCGCTATCTATCAATGCGAAAGTTTGCGCGAACGGTTTGTTTATGGCGCTGCCGAGGGGGACGAGTGTGAACAGATAGAATATATTTTTCCTCTCCCGCGCGCCGCCGCGGTATGTGGAGCAAACATAATAGGCGACGGCGGCGGCGGTGGTGGCGTCGGCCGGCCGCCGCCGCCGACGACGACGACGACCGTCGCAACAAAACGATATACTTTTATACAGCGAGGCGATATCATCATCATCGTTGATTTTATAAACAAGGGTGACATTAATATTGACAGTGGCATAAACAGGGGGTGCCGCGCCGGCGAGACGCCCGCCATTGGGAGTCTGCAGTGATCTTTAACACACTGCGTGTTTCACAACACAAAAAAATTTATTTGAAAAAAATTAAATCAAAGAAAAATTAAATTAAAATAAATAATTTTGAGGTTATTTTTAGTTTTTTAATATTTTAGAGGTAACACTCTGTATATTAACAGATAATATATCACCCTTGTCTCGCTTTCATCGCCATCAGATATCTATCACTCTTAAATAGCTGAAATTTTCTTGTTTAATACTTTAATGTATAATGCGCATGTAGCATTAATTTTACGCCATCATTTTTGATTTTTGTTTTTATTGCTGCATTTTAATGCGTCAACAACTTTATAGTATTTTCTTTGCGCGGGAATAATAAAAGAAAATATCACAATAGAAAGTTTTCCGATTTAAGGTTAAATTAGGTTAACATTTAGGCAATCACCGATTATGATTGGTAATAATAAAAGTTTTCTTTCTTTTGGAACTTGCTAATCAAAGTAAACAAAAATAAATTTAGTTTTGGTTAAAAAAGGAGAAGAAAAAAATTTACTTTGGCGTTTGTAAATGGTTATTGATATTACCGGGTACCAAACACATTCTTGTAGAGTGCACTCGGATGAAAATGGGCGATAAAAGTACTAAAAGTCATTGCAAGTCGATGTTTAGTGTAATGACACCGCTTCAAAGAATAAGGTTATGTTGTCAGAGAGTTTTTGAGGTTAGGAAATAATTTTAACCTATATTCTGCGTAGTTTTTAATTTAATACTGGTTTGTTTGTAAAATAAGCATGTAATGATGACGCAGCGTGCGTCTGTCTGTGTTTGCGTCTGCGGTGGCGGTGGCGGCGAAGGACGAACACGCGAGACCGGCAGACAGGCGGCGCTGACGTCGCGACGCCGCCGAGAGACGCCGGGCGCACCGTAGGCGCCCGTCATTCGGTCGCTGGCGCGTCCTCTGGCGCGTCGCCACCGCCGCCGCCGCCGCCAGCGAAGTCGCACAAAGACCGCGCTGCGAAATTAATAAAGAATAAAGAAGAAGCGAGACGGAAGAGTCGCCAACGGCGGACATGGGACAACAAATGATGATTTCTTGTTGATTCCCATGTTGCTGCGGCACCACGCCGGCGGCGGCGGTGGTACTGGCGTCGCGTTGTTTGTAAGCGATAATGTAGAAAATAAGAAATGCGCGAGAAAAACTACGTTGTGTTGGAAAAACAAAATCGTTTGTCGGCGTCGTTAATTTTTCATCCTTCAATAACAACGCAAATATATGCGCGCCGCGAAGAACCAAATAAAGTTTTCAATTTCAAAAAGAAAACTTTGCGGTCAGTTCAAAGCCCTCCAAAGTTCATCTTTCATCTTTCATTCGACTGAAATAAAAGTTTTTACGGTGTGGTCCTGTCACTCTAAATAATTTCGTAAAATTAAAGATTTCAACTTGTTTCTTCCACTTTTCAACTAGCAAAGAAAGAGTTAAAAAGGTAAATAATACGCACAATGAGCAGTGTAAACGACTTAAATGGTATTCCGACTAAAACAAGTCCTTTTAACCTTTTTTGTATCTTTTGCACACACACCGCATTCCAAAAAGAAAAGAAAAAAACAGCGCGGAGTGTGTTTGGTTTGTAAATGAATACCGCAGCGACATCTGCATTGTGGCGATGACTCGCCGTGCTGTTTTTTTAATTTCGCGCACAAAAAACTCAGTATGCAGCTAGTGATAAAGACAGAAAGGAACGGGACCGGTTGCATACAACGTGAAAAAGTTGACGTTCTCATCAACTTGCTTGTAAAACATTTCGACGGCATTTTTTCGCGTAGCGGAGAAAAATTTATCAATTGAATTATAACTCTTTTCATTTTGAAAATGAAGAATGGAACATGCAACGTCTATAATTATCGATATTATTAATCAAAACAGTTACCAGCATCTCTCATCGGTTCAATATTTGATTATCATTTCAAAAACACACACTAAGCTTAAAAATAAAAAATAAAAAATTAAAAAAGAGTTGAAGACTGGTCTTGGTCTCTTGGTCTTGTTGTTAGTGCAACAGAAAGAATTCAAGAATTCGACCGGCGTCGCAGTGCATCGATAGATGGGACCACATGCGGCTCGCAACCAGCCTTCGGCCCCATGGGCGTTCTTTTGTTTAATCGTCTCGGAATGAGCGCCGCGCGCGCCCCGTTGTCTTCTTCGGCATGTTGATGTTTGCGTTGCAGCACGCGGGCCTAATAAGCGAGGAGACCGTCTGGGCTCACTACCCACTTGCGTCCCAATCTTCTCTTCTACGGGCCAAGAAATAAAAATAAAAAAATAAATCTCATGCGTTTCATCGCCGCATTATTATTTGTTACCAGTCTCTACTTCGGTTGAGTCTACTCCTCTTCGTGTTTGTTTTATGCTTTATTGATTTAACTTGTGTTTAACCCACGGCTAGAGCTCAAAAGTTCAACTCGGTTGAGGGCTGCAATATGTAATGTATCAGCATCCAGTATATCATAATTAATTACGCGTTTAATGCCAGCCAGTGGTGTGCTCGAGTTCCGATGCGTCGCGATTAATCATTTCGAGAATTTATACGGCGATCATTACAATTACGTGCGGACGTGATTTCGCCGACGAGCACGTTTTATTCACTTTTGTATTTGTATTTAGTTATTAAAGCTATTGGCATGTATGTTGTGTTGCCTATACTATAAGTTGTACAAGTGTAAAATCGTTTTTTTCTTGGTCAATGACAACATAATTAGCATGAGTGACGACTTGCTCGGACTTCTTTCTCGAGTTCCACGCGCGGTGTATTTATTTCTGGCGACAGCCACCAATTCGTCGCTGGTCGCTGGCGTCATTCCGATTGTCGGGGCCGCCGCGAAAGTGGCTCGATGACTATACTACGAGCTGCGGTCGGCGTCTTTTTGTGCGTTTCGAGCGCTTTTTGTGCGCCGATTGATGTCGATAGTGTGTGGGCCCGATGTGTGTATGCGTGTTTAATGATAATAATAATGAAAAACACATGTTCGCCGGATTCGCTGCCTCGGCGCCACCCGACAAACAGCGGCAACCCGGCGACAATCATCGTTTTCGACTGTCGAGACACCGTCTGTCCAATTTTTTTTCGGCTTTTGATAATTATCATATACATAATTAACATTTTGATAAAACATCAAAACAATCCGAAACTGGTTTCTGGTGCATTTCACGATTTAATGCTCCAATTGTTTGTTTGATTGTCGTTGCATCGTGAAACTTGAGAGTGAAACAAGAGTTGATGTTTAAATTTTATGCCTGTAGTGGTTGTGTGGTAGTTGGTACTGGTTGGGAGTCTCGGGATGATGGAATTATCTGCGCCAACCTGTCATTTGCGCGGCGTGTTCGTGCAGGATGTGGACGTCGAGCCCTGATGCGATGCGCGCTGCCCAGACAAATGATACATAATCATATAGTGCGTCTGACGCTGACCCGTACTCACGATCACTGGAAATTACTCTCGGAGAGTATTTTCAAACAAAGCCAAAAAAGGAAATTTAATATTCCATATAAATATAAATATTTTCTTAGTAAAATACTTAGAATGACAATACTCTCATAACTGTTTCCGTGGTGTAGTGGTTATCACATCCGCCTAACACGCGGAAGGTCCCCGGTTCGATCCCGGGCGGAAACATTGTTTTTTCATTTGTTTTTATTTAAAAAAAATTATTTCATATTAATTTTTGGTTTATTTTAATTTTTTGAACGTGTTTATTGTTTTCGGCGTGTTATTTTTAGCCGTGCTTCATTTCGCGCGTAATGGAGTGAAAATAATTTGCACATTGTTTACCTAGACGCCGCCAATTACATTGTGAATTACGGGCCGGCACGGTGGCGACATGGAACCAATAAAAAATCCTCGTAGGCGCCGCGGTTTCGCGCGACTTTCGCGGGCGTTTTTCGCGAGTTTCGCGCGCGCGCTTGCTCGCATTATTACTGCGCCGTAACATTACGCTTCATTACGCCCGCGATCATAACTCGCGCTGCTCTAGGTCGTGCCACTCTCACAACTCATAACGATTACGTAATTATAATTAAGCGCGTGTTACGAGCGCGCCGATAACGTATGCAACTCAATTAGCATCACAATTTAAGGTTATGAATGAATTTGTATTTTGTGATATATCACATTTCGACCGGTGTTGTAAGTACCAATTTCCGTGCCTATACAAATTCGGCTTCTTCAGGCGGTTAATCGGCCTCGTCCTCTGCATTGTTGTCGAGCCCATTGCCACAGATGTTAGAAATTTAATTCGGATGGAAATAAGAGACGCCAACGGAAATAACGGACGCATTCATGCGTATTAAATAAAAATTTCGATGTAAAATTACCGAAACACTCCTTAAAACACTAAAAATTATTTAATTCTAAGTGTTTTTTAGTGTTTTCAAATATAAATACACGAAAGACAGGTGCGGAAGTTGAAATTTCATGCCTGTACCAGCACACAGGTGTGTTTGAGGTCTTAATAACACAGTTCCGCTTTGAAACACCGGAAATCCACCGGCGCCATCTTACCCCTACGCAATACAATGTTGTTGTGGTGATGCCGATGGCGCCACCGGTATTATTTGGTGCGTGTAGGAGAAGAGTATGCGCCCGATCAATTATTATGATATTACGATTCGCGGTTGCGGGCAGCTGCGCAGCGCAGTGTGACTGCGACTGCGGCAGCGGCTTAAGTCGCTGGTGTGTGCGTACGTGATGTGCAGCGGCGACCGCACGACACACACCGGTGCGAAGTCCGGGCCTGGCGCCAAGACGGCGCCAGGCGGTTTCCCCTTCTACGGGCGGACGTGGCGCGCAGAGTCGTCGGCGTCTAGACCGGTCCGCACACACTGGCGGCGGCATCGGCACCAACACGCACACTACCGAATGATCAAAAAGAAGCACAAACATGGCGAATGGCTTCATATCTTCTTTAAACCATTTCTTTAATATAAAAAATTAAAATAAATAAATTTTTATTTTAAAATTTATTTTTTGTTTTATTTTTATTATTTTAGAAGTTTTTTGTGATGATAAAAATATTTGGTTTGTGTAATTTTTATTTTTTGTTGGGTTATGTTTTTTCTGTTTACCCTGTATGTTGGTAGTGTGGTGTGATCATACGTTGGTGACTGGTGTGTGTATCGTTCGAACGAATGCCGCTGTAGGCGCGTCAAGCGCAGCACGACTGCCGGCGCGGTGCGCGTTCACCACTCCGCCAGTCTAACGACGACAGCCGACGTGATACGTGTGCCTCGCGTGCGTCCGCAAACGGTACGCGCGCACCCACAAAACGCACACAATCCGAGCGCATTTCTTTTGATTTTCCGCGATACGCGCTCGAAATTGCTGATATTTTACAACAAACGCGTGTTTTAACACAACAACAACAACGTGTGCCTCCTCCTGTCTAGTGTGCCTACCTACCAACAACCTACATCCACATTTATTTCTCAATACACAGTGTACAGTGCCGAAGACGACCAACAACTTGGTGGAATAATAAAATGATTGAATGCATCCAGTGGTGATAGTGTTTTTGTTTTACGCTACGTTTTTTTTCTGTTTGACGGACGCGCGCGCCGAGTGACCCGAGTGCTCTATCTTTAGCGCCTTTAGCGTCATTGTTATTATTACCACGGCAACGCGTAAACAACAAGCTACCCGGCCAACTGACCCCAACGACGATTACGACTATTACTACTACTACGAGTACTAGAGGCGGCGGTGGCAGCGCCAGCAGCAGGAATATTCGTGAGCACAGCGCGCGTCCGCCGCTGCGTACGCTCAACGTTTCGCATCAACGCTCCGTGGGATTTCAACGTAGTGGCACCCAAATGCTGGTCAGATCACGACGACGCGCGGCGCGAGGAAGATTGTTTAATGTTCATGTTTCGGAGCAGACGGAGCAAACTGATTAGACAGCTGAAGGCGGCGCGCCAGAAACAGAGTCATGAAGCTAGGCGTACGATTGAAGACCACCAACAGCAGCAATTGCTGCAGAACAACCACCACAACCATCATAATAGACTTGGTGGTGGTGGTGCAGGAGGCGGCGGCGGTGATGAGCGCGTCGACGAGCAGCTGTTCAAGCCGCTCAACATCAATCAGCTCGAGATGCTGATGACCGCCGTCGCCGGACGCGGGCAGAGCGCCACCAATTGCGTGCTGCTGGCGCGCGATTGCGAACGCGAGCCGCACGTGCTCTGTTGCCAGCTGTACCGGTGGGCTGATCTGCGGCATGCCGCCGAGCTGCGCAGGATGCCCGAGTGTCGGTCTGCTGTTGATCCGGTCTATATTTGCTGTAATCCTTATCACTGGAGTCGTCTCTGTCAACCAGGTAAGCGAAAAGTTCACTTAAGTGACTTAAGTCATAATGGACATGTGTGGGATTCATTCATGACATCGATCGCCCGAAAAGAATAAACAAACAAAGGCTTTCGATAAACAAACACGTCAGAGCGTTAATTAATTTAGGTTTCATTCATCATCAATGAGTTTTTTCATTCATTTTTACAACCTACGTGAATGTATTTAGCGCTTGTATTAATTACAATTGTATTTATTGCGCCAACATTGTTTTCTTGGGTTATGTTGGATGTTTTACGTGGAACATGAAACGCAACTTAAATGCGTACTCGAAAAACTCATCAACGAGTGTGGATGGACGACGAAGACGAGTCTCTTCGGGTCTTTCGTTCTCGTCGCGCATTCATCCGCTTCTCGTGTCCGTCCCACCGTCCGGATTCCATCGAGACTTCCAAGAACGTCTCGGCGACCATGCACGCTCGCTGAAGAGATACCGGCGCGCCAGACCCACGCTCCGTTTTCTTTTTTAATGATACACTTCGGATGCCTTCGGGTATGTGCACACGCACACGCATACCGCGCGAACGCATCCACTTTTCGTTTGGCCACAAGTGCTCTTTCCGAGAACGACGCCAATTCTTCAAGCGCGGCGCTTTCCCTCAAAAGAGCAAATTTTACGATGGAGAATTACGAATTTAAAAAAAATTTAAATTTGTAGTTGATTTTTCTGGTACACTCAGTATAGACATACTCATATGTTCATATCTGAAGAGTGAGGAGCATCCTAACGACTTTAGCTGTACCTATAAGTACTTACCTTTCGAGTGTGTACTTAAAGTGCTTCTTCGTCTCGGTCTTCCCCTTCTGGCCGTCGATGGCAAGTGAGCAGAATAAATGAAGAACAAACACGGCGGTTGTGTTGCACTTCTATCTCCTGTCTCTCGTCTCTCTGGTCGGTCGTAGTCTTTGGTTATTATTTTTAATTTTCGAAGGTTTCAAGGCTGCGTCTGACATAATTGTGTTCGTGCGAGCAAATTGGAATTCCACATTCCATTCTGCCCAGCCAAGTTCTCAAAAACAAAAATATAAAAATAAAAGAAGAGAAAAATTCTAATAGGGTGGAAACGGAAAATATGTTCATTAACTGCCTGGGATGCTGAAATTCTGGAGTGCAGATAAGTTTACTTAGCTGGTTAAACAGTTCAGGAGCAAAGTGGTTCCAAGTTCGCACATTCGTGGGAATGTCTATTCCGCACCAGGTGCGCATCCCACAATGATGTAGATGAGTGGCTAATGATAATTGCTGTCAGCTGGACGACTGGGAAGTGACACCGCCACTCCGAATATGGCGAAATATTTGCTCAGCTTGCTTAATACTTGCACTTTCTTTCGCTAATGGTTTCGAGGATATCTGAAGGGTTTTAAAGTTATTTTTCTACTTACTTTGACTGCAATAAGTGCTTTCGGACTCTATCTCTTGGGTCGTGGGACTAATTTACATAATTCGTGTTGATTTCTTCGTCATTTCGGAAATGATAATGGCGGAAATGCGTTAGGCGCCTCTTAAAGTGCTGCGGCGCGAAGAGATTAAACCCGAGTGGCTGATAAAATGCTGGGCGATGTGGGGCGCACTTTAGATAGCCGACACCGCCACAAATAAAACCAAACAAAAGCGGAATTATCTCACCATATAAATGTGAATACAAAAACTACACATTGGCGTGAGTCTCAAGTGCAAATATGCGACATTTATACGACTTTTGAAATTTTATTATTTAAAAGTATTTTATTCGTGTGTGTGTGTGTGTGTGTGGGTATTTTCCGTTTGTGGTTTGTTGGTTGTTGGTGAAACCGTCAAGTTAATGATGGGCGATGTTCTGTAGGCCTGTAAAAATATTTTTTAAATGAGTAATTACTAAACAAACTGCCATGCTCGTGGCCACGGCTGCGGCCTTAATGGCACGCCGGCGTTGTTAAGTTAAATACATAGACGGCACGAAACAATGCGCCACAAAACGAAGAAAAAATCGCGCCGAGAGAGGACCAAAGGAATGCCTCCAACGTGCGCGCACGCCAACCGGCTTCAGGTGCATCTTTCATCCGGCGTCTCGCTTCGACCCGCTGGTGCGCTGGGGGTCAGACACTCGCTGGCGCGCAGAGTTATGAGAACCCACCGGTTCTCTTTCTCCACAATTATACGCATCTCGCGGCGAATGCCCACACACACCGAGTGTTCTTGGTGATTGTTGAATTTGTTTTATATGGTTGAGGTTGGTGTGCAGGTAACACTCGGTATGTGGTTTCACAGAGAGCGAAACGGTTTGGTCGTGCGTTGGGGCCGCGTGTGCCCACCCAGGTCTCGGCGCTCGGTGCGGCGGAATTGGGGCTCCCGAGAGCCTGGCGCCGTCGTTATCTGCCCGAACCACTCAACGCGCGGGCCTCGACCATCGTCATCATCATCATCATCATCATCATCATCGTTGAGAATTATTTCTCGTTTGTCTCGCTTACTCTGATATAGTTAGGCACGGCCTGTTGGAGTTAATTTTTTTAAGTGGGTCGCTTTTTTATAAAAGCCCGACCTCTGAAGTACAGGCTTCATTTTTCTCTTCTGCAGTTTTACTAACTCATGGGTCATGGGTCGGAAATGTCACATTCCAACATTATTTCTAGCCTGGGACAGAAACAGATTTGCGGCGAAATTCCAGTCTATTCTTGGCGTCTTTGTTTTGATCTGGTTATTCTCAGTCTCGGCGCGTCCCGACGCTGAGCAGATATCTCCCCCGGTTGGATTCCCACTTGTTGCATACATCCCAGAAATCCTCTAGCTACATGATCCGCGCTCTCTAGTCTTATACTATGTCTCCGGGCACAGTGATTTATCTGCCCGCGCGCACGTGAACGCACAAATCAGACAAAAGGTTTCGCCACGTCGTAAAGCTCGCCCCGCTTTTCAACACATTGAACAATCTACGCGTAGATTTATTGCGACTATTGCCAGAGCGAGGTGTGCACGCACACAGGCGAACCAGTTCGAACTTGAAATTGAAATTTGCGCCGTACTGGATGGATGACAGTTGCGTAACGTGAACCACAGTGGATCTATTGATAGATACACACTCGAATGAATCAGTCAACACGGGTGGGTGCCTCCGCCACAGAGAGGAAACCCTTCATAGGCCTCACTGAGGCTGATATCGCGCATGTTTTCGCTTGAAATTATTATTGCGATTTATTGCACGGTGATAAATCAGTCGATTACATATGGTCAATAAATGTTCAGGGGCAAACGTTGCACATTTTTTTCTTTTATTTTTATCTGATTTGATTGTTTTAGACAAAAAAACTGCACAATTGCCAAAAATTTAATTTATTCTATTCACTATCTAAAAATTTCTTCTTTTTTTGAGTGATAATCTAGAAAAGCGGAAATAGTTTTTAAACGTTTTATTTTTTGATCGGTTGCCATGGGCGAGAGATGCGAACATCAATATTTTAGCTCGACGTTAAAAGCATATTAATAAAAGTCAAAAATCGAAGTGAGAAGTTAAGTTTAAGGTGAACGACGTGCGTGTGTTTTGCGGAGGCACGAAGTGGTTGTCGCCGCAACACCCACACGTACTCTTTCCTATTAATACCTCGCTTGCTACGCAAAGTGTGCGATTACAAGAAAGTTTTCTTCTTAATATTTTGTTGTGTGTTCGCTCGTATATCAAAAAGAGTGAATTTTTAGGTTTCTGGTGGGGCACATCTGTGTGACTTAATTACGTCCAAGTCGTAAATTTATCGTACATTTATATTATGACATCTTCTAAAATTTCGCTGCGTGTGTATATTAAAAATTGTCGTAAAACGATCATAAAAAGCGTGTTTGGGTAAAGTGGTTTTGGAAAATTTGGAAAATCGAAAAAATCACGCGCCGGCGCCCGCTCGCCGGCTGTTTGCGACATGTTAACGCATGTCACGCGCATTAAAACGCGAAACATGCCAGGATGGTAAGCGTTTCGTGCGTTAACAAAGCCGAGACGAAGCGCACTTTAAATTTTACGAGCTGAATTTTCGGCGCCGTGAAAAAAAAACCGAACTAAAAATGTATATTCACTCCTTTTAATATTATTTTGTTTATTGATATGAATCAAGATGGCGGCTGGGTTTACGTCCGGTGGATGTGTATGTGTGTAAAAAACACATGGTCGACACATGCTGAGTATTTTCTTGCGATGCAATATAATCTCTGCATACATTCACCAGAGTTTACATTTTCTAATTACACAAATAGTCTGCGCGCTCGGTTCGGTTTATCAACGCTGGAAGTTCCACGTCAGCATTTTAATATGTACTAATACAATTTTATTTGTTTTTTTGCAGATTCTCCACCGCCACCTTATTCACACTGTGCCATGGATAGTTTTAAACCTGAAGGTGAGTGTCTCTTTAAATGTTACTTGCAGTCGATTGTTTGTATTTACAAAGCGCAATGTCCTCTGGCGACGGTGTGTCGCGAATTTTAAAACGCACATCGCGCATTCTTTTGCATACAGCTTAGGTGAGCGCTGTGTGTGCTTTACGAGCGTCATCAAGGTCGCCATCGATGGAACGCGCGCACCTAGTCCTTTGGACTTGACTTAACTTAAGTCAAGTAGCCGCTGTACATGTACTTAAGTAAAATTAAATAAAACTATTTACACACTGCGCAAATCGTGAAAAAGTAAAAAATTATTTATAATTTGAAGACTTAAGTTAAGTCAAGTTGGAGTCACACTCCTGGTTTCAGTGACTGTGGCTCTACAACTCGGATGGCGTGATGTCAACGTGTGTAAACGTGACGGGAATAGGCGTTTGCGCGTTGTCAGCGTCGTCAACAATGAAACGCACTCGCTATCGCTTCTGTAGGGCTCTGTGTCGGTCATACTATGTGTGTTTGTCAGCGTGTGAGAGTGTTTTCGTTCGTGGCGGCACACAATGCTCAAGTTTCAATTTATTTTTAAACATCATCATCACAGCCGCATTGCATTGCGCGCACGGCGTTCTTCTCTGCACCAGCAACAGCAGCAGCAGTAACATCGTCAAGGGAAAACATTCGGGATGTGTTTACAAGCATACAAGATAACCGTGTAACAAAATGTTTAAATTTTAAAAAGTAGCACGTGAGAATGTATTTTTGTTTCTTTCTGAATGAATTTTATGCGTTATGATTATTCAAATCGATTAGGCAATATAATTATTCGTGTATTTATGTGAACACAACATGTCTGGCTTGTTGTGTGTTATGAATTGAACTCGACAGCTCCGTCGATGTCGGTCGTTGTCGCCTCGGCGTTGATTTCTTGTATGGAACGTACTTTGCCGGAATGCGGCGAATGTGCTCCACCATTGTGAAAACAAACTGCTTGTCTAAATAAACTCGACGTCAGCGAGGCAGGCGCGCGCGCGCGCACTGCTAAGCTAAACAAATTAAATACATTAAACAAAAACAAAAAAATCAACGCTTTGCATCACCCCGAAAAAAAAAACATGTGCACATAAATCTCTGAAAGATAATATTTTGAGCAATTTGCAGTTGAAAGCAGTTAATTGAATATTATGTGATGTTATTAAATATTAATTTTCGAAGAGTTGTGTGGTGCTGCGTTGCGAACGAAAACAAACGATAGCGATAACGTTTTCCATGCCACAGCGTGATCATGCCACACACTCCACATTCGATAATCTCTCCGGCGCTCGTGTTGTGTGTTTGGGGGCCTCGGTTCGTGATTTATGTTTCGGATCCTGGATAATTCTCTCACACAAAACGCACAACAAATCGCAGCTTAATTACGCAAACGATAAATACTAGATCGGAGCCTAAATATGTGACGTTAATCTCGTTATCAGCAAATATTTGTGTTTAGGGACTGTAGATGTTGAGCTGAAACAACACGCTCTTGAGATTCCACGCTAACAAAACAAACACAACTGACTCTCGAGAGAGTGGAGAAGAAGAAAAAGAAGCACTTTACTGAGCAAACAGTCGCGCAGTGTTGCCAGATCATCACATATCGTCTAGTCACACATAAAAAGCATAATATCTAGTAAAACATTCATAATCTTCGACTTTGGCTGTGAAGTGAGTAGTGAGGAGAGAAGAATGTTCACCTATAAAATGTTTGTGCAGTGTGTTGCACATTGTTACTAATCCCCTCGGTCGGTCGCGCGCGGTGTGAAAGAGTTCTTCGCTTCTTCTTCTCTTCTTCGGTCGGTTTGTGAGTGCATCGGGCGCGCGGCGACCGCGACGGACAATCTCCGGAGGCCCGTTATTTACGGCCATTACGTTATATTTCCTGGCGCCTCTCTCTCCGGCCGGGCTCTTTACTTCTTTGTGCGACACTCGCACGCCATGCGCATATCTTTGCATCTTGCTGTATTTGCTCATTCATGCATTTTATACAAGGCGAATATAAAATGGAAACACTTGTACTTTAATTATCAACTCATCATTTTTTCACTGTGGAATATTACATGGACACTTTGTATGTTTTTAGTATCTTTGTGTAATAATTATGAAAATGTCTTGCAAAGTACAGTTGGTTCTTCCGTCTCACACCTTGGTGAACTCTCAAAAGGAATGAGAGGTTATCACGATGTTGCATCTTGTGTCTGATGCTTCTTTATGGTAATATTCTAACTTCTTCCTGTACATTCTATATTAGCGATTAGACTTCCAATTAGATTTTTATTTTCTTCTTTTTTGTTTGTTTGTTTTGTGCGTTCCATGGTTTTGTGAACCGTCTGACTCAGTGCCCAGACAAGTGGCGGGTGCGTTGAGTGGCCTGGCGACAGTGGCTGGCGCCTCATGCTCACGCCCGCAACGAAAATGGGGGTCTGGGGTCTGGCACCAACGTATTCATTCAAGGAGACAATCAAACAAGGTCTAAATATCATGCCACGGTGCCATATTCTTTCCTCTTCTATCGTCTATTCTATTTCCAACAATAGAACTTGTAACCGTGTCACAGCACCCTTCTTCTTTTTCTTTTTTTTTTTTCATCCCTTTCAACTACAGTTGGTATTATATGATGCTCCGATGATTTTACGCTTGGTTTCTTGCTCACCGGTTCATTATTCATGAATGAATCACGAATCTGGCGCCTAAACTTCCCTGTCGGTTATTTTTTAATTTTTATACGTGCAACCCGAAATTTATGCGCTCATAAATTCATCGAATATAATTAACGCCAACACGGTGTACCTATATGTGTTTACACGCTGCGGTTTTTAATTTTGCAATGCGCATTATTCTAACCCATCGGCGGATTGCTTTGATCCTTTGATGTGTCATCGCACACACGTGCGACAAGGACTTAAATTCCCCGCATAATTTCATCAATCAACACAAATGCTTAATGCTTAAAAACTGCAACATTTAAAATATTATTAGCAAGTTGGTGTTAAGTGACTTACTTAGTACTTAGCACTAGGAATATTAATTGAAGCTTTGAAAAGTTTCAATCGGCTTTGTTCTAAACATAAATTAATTCAATACGCCGGCGATTAGAATTTATTGTAAAATCTGCTGTTGTCTGATGCCGACATTCGCATCAGTCGAATGCCAGCGCAATTAAAGTTAATTAAACTGCTGTGTCAACTGATTAAGCGTCGAAGCGCGCGGCCACAGAGGGTAGCGGCATCGTGAACAGGCTAACAAACACCACATAGTCGCGCATATGAGTATATATGCATTTATTATCAACGAAAATGTCAAAATATTCATTATTTACCGCGGTTTAATTTCGTTTTACGTCGGATTTATATCCAACGGTACAAATTGCGCTCGAAGACGTTTAATTAATGTGAGAACCGCGGAGGAATATTTATTACGCCATATATTATTGTATTTTTATGCACGTGTAATTACCGCATTGCATTGCATTGCAATGCAGTGCAGTTCATTATTTCCTGAAATAGTTCTGGAATGTGTCCGTGCATATTTTTTTCAACCACACGAACAATGAACTCTTATTTAGTTATTTATTATTTGTTTGTTTTTGAGATTGCAGCCGGACACAAATAAATAAGTGTAATTTATTTATAAATTGTGCAAACTGGTTTGGTTTGCGGCCGGTGTCTTGATTAATAATCCAATAATACAACATTGTAATAACACGGCGCATAAATTTGAAAATATGAATGAAACCGGAGTAAAATGCGATTTGTTTTATTGTCACATGCGAGCGACAGCTTAACGTACACGTTTATGTTTATTTATAAGTACGCAATGGTAATACCTAATAATATTTATTAGTTATAAAAATACATATTTCCACTTCTACATTGTTTGACATTGTTTTTTCTGTTTTTATTTTAGACCGAGCACCAAGCGAAGCTTCTATAGTCTTTAGGGATTCATTCATCGGCTCACTGACGACCAGCGGCGAAGGTAAGAATAAAAAAAAATCTTATTAAATATGCGCGACATCGAATTAGAAACGACGAAATACAAACGGAATGACATCATGTCTTTCTTTAATTTGCTGGTCTTGGTTTCTTGCGGTCACCTTTGTTGGATAAATTTAATATTTAATATTTAATTGGTTAAAAATATTATTTTTTCCTGTTGATATTTTGCGATTTATTGAATTTAGAATCGTTTTCAAGTGTGTTGTGTCTAAGGATTCGAACACAAAGTTGTAGTTTCTTCGCGAGATGTTAACTCGTTCGGTCGGAGCGCGAGATGTGAGATGCCGGGCCTCACCGATTCAAGGTGACCAAGCCTCCGCGCATGCGGCCATGCCCAGCAAGCTCGCCGAACTCGAATCTATCGTTTTCCATCGATGCTCCATACACTATATACTGTTAAACATCAATAAAATCATTACAAAGCTTTAAAATATCAAAAATTCATAAAAATCGCACCAAAAATTTAATTTTTCTACATAAATACACAACATAACCTTATTTTTAACCTATTTAACCTCTAAAAACTTACATAACCTTAGTTTTTATCTATTTTTGTAATTTTTAACAATAGAATCACTTGCAGATTCTTCTAATGTAGCAAAATTCAAATTGATTATTATTTCCAAACCTCTATAACTGGTTTGTGCGCCAGTGCACACAGAGAAGCACAGCGAAGTCGTTTTCCAAACTGGTAGCCCAATGCATACAGGGTGTTCGACGCGCGCGTCTCACTCCGACCTAAATTAAACTCTTGAATGAGTCAGAGAACGCTGCGGTTAAGTCTACGCCGCGAGTTTAGACTTTGATGGTTTATTAGTTTTCTAAACATTCGGCGCGCACAGCGAAGGATAATATTTTTCCGCGATGTCTTGCCATGCCTTGCTCTCAAGCCTCTCTCGTATATATCTCTATGTGAGTGTGTGTATTTGCGTTTCTGTGCGCACACACAGCATCGGCCTCTCCTCGAGCCTGATGTTTATTATAAACAAGCCACTGCGGCTGGCGCCTGATTTATAAATAGCATGGCGTAATTTGTTTTTTGCTACTTCTCTCTACAACATTTATACAGTGTTTCGCGACGGAAAAAAATCGAATTCGAAAATTTGTGATTCATTGTGATTCATTTCTCGTAGTAGAAATGATTGATTTTTATTGATTTCAAGTGTGTGAACTTGATTATTCCTCCGGGGGGCGGGTTTAATATAACAGTTGTGGGATAATATTGATTCTAAGTTTACAGAGATTATTTGATTACAAGTTTTTGTCGAGTTGTTTGCCGAAATCGTGCGTTATCACTTTTGTATATCAAGATCGCGATGGATAAAGTGGCGGTTGGCGGTTGTATTTGGCTTAAAATATTATCATTATGACTCAAGTACGTGTACCTCACTTAATTAATCCTGGTCATGGAATATGGAATATTTTTTTACTTAAAACTAGTTTTATCTCAATTATTTAATACGATTTTTTTGGTAATCCGGGTGAATTTTTATCATTTTGATGATAAATTACGTGTAGTACCGGTTTAAGCTCCTCCTCTTGACTCTGGCGCCATCTATTGATGTTTTAAAAAGTTTTTTTTGTTTGATTTATGTTATCGACCAATTTTTGCGATTTTGTACGATTTCCAAGCGTAATTTATGGATTTTTCGGTAATTATCACTGAAATTTTCATAATTTTAATGATAAAATGCGTATTAAGTCATTATAAGCTCCGCCTCTTGACGCTGGCGCCATCTATCGATGTTTAAAAAAAGGTTTTTGTTAGTTTCTTTTGTTTGATTTATGTAATCGACCAATTTTTGCGATTTTGTACGATTTCCAAGCGTAATTTATGGATTTTTCGGTAATTTTCACTGAAATTTTCATAATTTTAATGATAAAATGCGTATTAAGTCATTTTAAGCTCCGCCTCTTGACGCTGGCGCCATCTATCGATGTTTAAAAAAAGGTTTTTGTTAGTTTCTTTTGTTTGATTTATGTTATCGACCAATTTTTGCGATTTTGTACGATTTCCAAGCGTAATTTATTGATTTTTCGGTAATTATCACTGAAATTTTGATAATTTTAAAGGTAAAATGCGTATTAAGTCATTTTAAGCTCCGCCTCTTGACTCTAGCGCCATCTATTGATGTTTTAAAAAAAGTTTTTGTTCGTTTTTTTGTTTGATTTATGTTATCGACCAATTTTTGCAATTTTGTACGTTTTCCAAGCGTAATTTATGCGAATGCCGACTGGGAGTGAATGCGTGGGACAGATTTCGATATATTCTGTGTAGTCGGCGGCGATAGCGTCCGTCCTTGTTTGAGCTGTGGCGCCAGACATGCGGCGCGCATGTCTCGCAATCCGTAATGAGTTCAAGTTTTCGAGTGCGCCAGCCGCGCTTTTTTCCCCCGGTGCAATGCAACTGCATATGTATTAAAAGTGAAAAGTCGCAACCCAGGTACAGGTTGAACACAGGTATTTTATGATGATACGCTTTTAATGATACCTACCGCATATTAAATATTACAAGTTATGTGACATCTATTTCCTTACTTTTATGTGTTTGACTTGAAAATTCTCAACTTGTGTTCATTGACTTATATTTTTTTATTTACCTTTCAATTAAATACTTTGTTCCCTTTTCACGCGGCGACACTCGCAGTAATTAAATTGGCGCCATCGTTAATGTACGCGCGCTCGCGCACACATTGCTTATAGTCTATAAATATTTAATATGTGCATTACACGATTATGTATTTATACGTTTTATTTTAATGTTGCGAGCACGCGCATTGTTATGCATTTTTACGCCGCCACAATTTGCTCAATTTATTTTATTGTCGCATGTCGCCTCATTTGCTGCTAATTACATTTTCGGATGATAATAACTCTGGAAATTTAATTTTTGCGCTTTTTTGTGCTTTCTGCCTTGGAAATGGCAAAATAATGATTGCTCAAGTTATGCATGTGCATATGGCGTTACCCAACTGTTAGAAAATGCGAAAAACATTTCGCATGTAGCGGCGGCGCGCACGTAAAAAACTTGCAAACTTGTTCATCCCATGCCGCGCGCGGTCGGTATGTGCGCACATGTTTCGCGATTCGCCGGCGATAGCGGCGGAGAGAACGGTGCCGGCGCCGATAATTGCATTAATAATCTCGTCATGTTTATAAATAGACGCGCACATTCGCACTCCGACATAGCACAACTAATATAAAACTTATTTTATATTCTCTCTCGGCTGCTGCAGCTTGTGTAAACCCGCTGGCGCTAGCCAAAGGATTCGCAGAATTACCACAAAAACACACACGCAGCTTATTCAATTAAACACATCTCTATGTTTTAATTATTTAATTACAATCAAGTGAAGTAGATGCGAAATTATTGCATTGTGGTGTGTCGTCAATGTGTGTTTATGCAGTAAAATGTCAGAGATGTGCGCTGAAATGTCTTGAAAATAAAGTTTTTGATTAGTTGGATTGTTGTGACGTGCATGAGCTTACATTGTATCGTTGCTGAGCTACATAATTGCCGAAGAATGTGTCCTGCATGTGCATGGGCGTTTTTGGACGCCGTGGCGACATGCGTTTATTGTCAAATTACGCGATTGCATGCGCCAACAAATTTAATCAAAACATTTTCTTTAGTTTTTTAAAATTACATTAATGTAATAAGTTTTTATGCATTATTTCTTTGCATGTTTCAAATGAATATAATTTAATTGTTTTTGTGTAGTTTTTGGACAATCTGTATGAACGTGTTATTACATTTAGAAATGACTAAAGTGCAACATTATTTTGACGCTCATCCAGGACGATTTTGGCGCGCGCGCGCACATCTCGCACACGCTTGTCTTTTCGTCGGAATAAAAGTGTTTTCACTATTTGTCACAGACAATGTCAACGTTTTTACAACGTTACACACGTTCGCATCAGCACGCCTCGAAACAAATTTATCGCATAAATCTATTAACACATAGATTTATTTTCCTATTATATAAATTTCCTCTTTTCTTATTATTTTTTTCTTCTCTGCGTCTTGTGGTGATAGCAATATAGTTTATAAATGTGGAATATTTTGCGACTTTCTAATGTCGCGACACTGATGTCGCAGTGATGTCATTCGAGACACTTTCTTTTCGATATATCGTTAACAGGTTAACATGCTGCGATGCAGGAAGGATTGATTTTTTGCTGTTTTTGTGCCGGTTTTAGTGTTAATGGCTTGTTAATGTGTAAGTGTGTGGAAAATTATTTTGTGCTGGCGCCAGCGTTGTAATAAGTTTATTATTCCAGCCATTCCAGGATTGTGTTTACGTCTCGCGGGCCCGGCGCCGTTTGTTTTCCACTTTTTCCGACATTTCACTCGCGAGAGTGTTTTTCAACGGTTCCTCGAATCGAAATTTATCACGCCATGCTTTTCGTGCATGGTCATTAAGTATGAATTAATGAAAATGCAATTTGTGTGTTCATGTTTTGTTTTGTAGCGCGTTGGAAGAGACGATTGACGTCTTTTGCGTTTTGCAAGGTGTCGCGACGTACACGCGACATGCCCCGTATGGCGGAGCGGAGCGCTTTTTGCCGGCGGCGCCGCGCTGTTGTGGCTGGACGGATCGCAATGACCTAACGGCTAAATTTAGCTCGAAGACTGATGTCGCCGACACTTTTTTTTTCGCTCTTTTACACCAACAACCAATCATTCAAGAAACAAACTAAAACGCAGTAATATCAGCAATAAAATGTACGGAAAAAATCCGCGATATAATATTATGATGATTACGTCATTTTCCGCGTACTCTCATTTATATACTTTTTGCGCGGTGTGTTTGTTTCATCTCTAGAGGTGAGTGGAGCGCGGGCGCCAAAAACGAAATATTCGCACGCGTTATTTATTGTGCACGCGGAACGCCCGGCGCGTCCAGCATCTTCGCCTCGTCGGCGAATCATTTTAATAGCGCTCGGTTTTCGCGTGAATCAACAGGTGGCACTAGTGTTACTACAACCCGCGACGCCATATTGAGAGTTGTTACGACTTCCGCCTTGGATTTCAACTTGCTTTTTATTTTTATTTGTTTAATATGATGTAGAGAAGTGAATGAAATTTGTACATTTCGTTCACAAAGCAAGAGAAAAAACAACAATTAAGATGAAGTCGCGTCGCGCGTTATAGCCGGAGATTGTGTGTGTGTGAGTGTAGTCGACGAGTTTGCTCGGTTTGGACGCGTTTTAAAAATAGACATTATACGGCTGGCGCCAAGATTACCGCCGATCGACGGTCGCGGCTCGCAGCGATTGCACACACATACGCGCGTTTTCCGCCCGCGACGTGTTTTCGGCGCTCTGTCGCGGAATTACGTCACGGCCGTGCATCGGCATTTCGCTTCGATTCCTTCTTCTTCTGTGCTGTGTTACTGCTGCTTCTTTGGCTGCTACACACCTTCGCCGAAGGTTATACACTCACGTCGTCCGATAAAAACTCGTTTCTGCTGATTAATTCATGCGCTCTTTCGCGATCATTATTTATTTGTTTATTTCGACGCGCGCGCGCGCGTTTAAAAGCCACGACGCATTTTAATAATTTACTATACGATATAGATGTGTGTGTGTGTAGATCGTGATCGTTTCCGCAAAAAGCAATTTTTCGTCGTTTTGGCCGTGAATCGCGTGTTAATTCTTTTCGCTCTCTCTCGGCGTCTGGTTAAAAATACACGCCGCATAATTGATTCACGACGCGCATTGTTTTCTGCGCGACGACGCAATTTAACACAACATAAATTTTAATTTCGAAACGTAGCGCCACTCTGTTTCTCGTATATTGTACGCATGTACACGTGAAATGATATTGATGGGTTTATTTTTAACACCCGGTAGATTTGAGTAGTGTGTGTTTGTGCGCTTTGCACAAATGTGTACATTGCGTATTTTCGCACGTACGCACACGCCGACCGAAAACAACAATGTGGCGCCCGACATTATCAACAGTTCTTTGATCCCCCGGCGGCGCACAATGCGTTTAATTCGTTACAATGGCTGAATTGTAATCCGATTTATTCCTAAATTGATCGCCATTGAGTGAAGCGAGTCGTAGGCAACCAAATGCACACGCATACACTGGACAATTGCATTAGGTGTTTTAGTTGTGTGTGTTTGAGTGTGATATTATCGAATATTTTATGCGGCGTTAGCGTCGAACGCCTTCGTAACATTCGCTCGCCAGACGCTCGAAAAACCTTGTGTGTCGCGCGGTGGTAAAGTCGGCGGCGCGCGTCTAAACACATTCTACCTACTCCGGCTGGCGCCATCGTGGGGCCGCGCAAATGCGATGGCAAATGAAAACTTTATTATTAAATGTGGGTCATATTCGATTTTAGTAACGCCAGCAAACGGCTGCGCTATAAAAGTCCTACGCGAATCGAATCGCGCGCGCCAAGAATGGACATAATCGCCAATCAATCGGTATCCGACCGAAACAAATGCAACGCGCGGATTATGTATTGTTGATGGACAAGATCGGCATGGACACACGGAGTGTGTTGTTTATTCATTCGCCGCTACTATGTCTATTAATCTGGACACTTTTCCCGGGGCATAAATCTTCCGTTGGCGCGACTTCAACAGCGCGCTGTGTTGATGTTCATTCCCCTTCGTTAGTTTTGTGGTTTTATTTTTCGGTTGTTTTGCGTTACCAGCTACCCGATTTTATCCCGATGACGGAAATGCTACGCATGGACGCAACATGTGTCACTCGCATTGGTTTAAATTCAAAATATGCGCTGATGCTGCGCGCTGCGCTGATGCTGCGCGCTGCGCTGCGCTGCGCGTCTTGCAGTGAAGATGTTGAGCTTGAGGAAATCGGCCTTCCTTCGGTGTGCCCGATGGCATCGACCTCTGGAACGCGCGCGCGCTCGCAGCTTTACGACCGATTCAATATTTCCAGCCGATTGTGCAATCGACGCGCGGCTAATGAGAAAAATGCAAATCACGCGCCGCCCACCAGCAATTGCATTGTGTTGCACGCTACAACAATGGAAACTATTTTTTTCATTTAAACATTGATTGTTTTCTGTATCACTCAGTATATAGATTTGTATATATTTTGAGTTATTCGAATGCGGTCGAGAGTGACAGGTGCATCAGGCGACGCCGACCTCGACTCGTGCGTTAATTCACGTCGGGACGTGACGTCGGCGCATGGCGCCAGGCGTCCATCTGCCGGCGTCGAAAGGTGGCGGCATGGCGGACGCATCGATCAGCGTCGCACCACCTGGTGCCGCCGCCGCCGCCACTCTACCAACACCACCAATATAATCATATACTGAATGTTTTTTTTTCTCTCGATTGTTTTAGATTCTTCAGTAAATTCAAGCGGCTGGTGTAAGCTGGCTTACTGGGAGCAGCAGAAGCGCGTCGGCGAGCAGTACCCTGTCTTCGCGTCGCACCTGAACGTCTTCGGCGACATCCCCTGCGGCGACGGCTTGTCACTCACACAGCTGGCGCAGCACAGCTTCAGTCCGCCTGATTCCGTCTCTCGGACTAGGTGTAAAATTGGTTTAGGTAATTATCTTACCTTGAAATGATTGTTATGTGAAATTATTTATCATCAATTAATCATCGGTGTTTGTTTAACGCACGCGTAATTATTACAATCTTAGCCTGTTATCGCATTAGAGAGCGAATTGCGCTTTGCATTGATAATTATTGATAATTATACGTTCGGACGCCTCGTGTGTCAGTCGCACAATTTGCATTTAGTATTTTAATGAGTTGGTTTGCATACTGATGTGTTGATGTGATTCGTTTTAGGGGTAACGCTGTCACGAGAAGAGGACGGAATCTGGGTGTATAATCGCAGCGAGCATCCGGTGTTTGTGAACTCGCTGACGCTGGAGGACCCGTGCGTCTCGTCGTCGACGTCGGCGACGCCGACCAAAGTACCTGCCGAGCACTGCATCTGCGTGTTCGATCCGACCAAGGCGGCGCTGGCGAACTACGGATGGGACTTTGCGCGCCGGCGGCGCGATGGACCCGTCGACACCAATTCGGTGCAGATCAGCTTCGCGAAGGGCTGGGGCGCGCGGTATTCGCGGCAGGATGTTATGTCCTGTCCGTGCTGGATCGAGGTGCTCCTGGAGCCGTGCAGGTGATACCGTCGTAGACATCGCCGCCGGCGTCGTCGTCTGCGTCTACTCTAAGCTACAACAAATCCAGAAGGCTGACTTTTTTCACACTACACACCACACACAACACAGGAGCGATGACGATGAGAATTCGAACGTCGGCAGTGCCGCTTTCTTTCCGTCCTATTAATGTAATACAACTCGTTTAATTGTTCGTTTTCGGAGGGCGTTTCTGGTGCGAAACACAATTCGACGATCGAGAGGCGCTGTGGACGAGAGATGCAACAACAAAATACTTTACTCTGTACAAAAATACGAAATATTGATTGCCGTGCGCGCGTTTTAAGCGACGCACCGATTATTTGTTAACCGAGTGTCGAAAACCACGTAACCCCTTGTTAGATTACTTCTTTTTTAACATACACACACACAAAATGCGAATAATCATTGTGTAAGATGAAACCCTACTCGGCAACAAGTACATACGCCAGTATAAACACAAACGTTTTTTAACGCCCTAGGCTAGGATAGCGATTTTGAATCGATAGAGTTTTTTAAAACCGCGAAACGTACTACACACTAGAAACACACACACAAACAAAAACGCCTTATAAGCATCGGTTCTTGCGATGTGATAACATTATAAGGGTTTTACTGTCATTAGTAATACTTGTACACTTTGGTGCTTTACGTAGATGTGGGACCATATACTCAAGTCGAAAGTGATTTCTCGTTTCGCACTCGCACCATCGAGTTATTGCCTTGGATTGTCGCGCAATCCAGACGAATAATGACCACCGTCGAATCGCATACGTACTGACGAACGACGCTTACTTCCTCGTAAAACAATTGTTGACGCGCATATGTAATCCTGTTGACCGATACTAATTTTTTGACGATAAATAATCTAATCTAATATCTAAGAGAAAATACTGCTAGTCAGAAAGGAGAATAATTATGTACTGTTAGGATGCCACGTTTATTTTGTCATACGAAATATTGTTCTATTTTTTAACTGTACTGTTATTTGTAAAATGTAACACGAAAGCAAGGCCTCTACGTCGCGCGGAATTGTCTCCTTAATTAATATATGTGTATTTCTTTGTTAGTCGTCGGAAGAGGAGAAGTAACGTTAGAGTTTATCAATTTAATGCGTACTGACTGTAATTTGTACATTATTATTACTGAATAGTTTTTGGCGTACTGTGTTTCGAGCCGATTGTATAGATTTTAAAACAAAGTGATCCCGAGATTCCACTGTTTGCCTACCTAAACGAAAACAAAAACCTTTTGTTGAACGCACTTGTATGTATTTGTATATGATGAAGTGATGAGCACGATGTTCGATCGACTTTGACTCCCCTTAGAGGCTTTGCTAGGAATAACGACTTGTAAATATTGTAAAACAGCAGTGCCTTTGAAGCAATTTCAAAATAAGACAGCTTATTTATTTATATATTGTATATGATATGTACGGATGATGTACTTGTTTGGGGCGGGGCGCGCCGGCCCGCTTGAAAGTTGTCTAATTTATTTAATATTTTTGTACAGTCGAAAAAGTTATAAATAATTATTAGTGATGAACAATTGTGTTTCACAGAATTGCAAAATCTGAACGAAAATGAATCGAAAATAATAACATCTTAAATAATTCTTAACGTTGTATGCTTATCGAAATATTTTTAGTGTTTTGTTGTTTTCTTCTGGTGGTTCCTATCAGTTTGGGTAAACAATGCACATGCATTGCGCCGGCGCTGCGGTCTTTGTTCATTCCGCTGCAGGCTTAGCTGAGCCAGTTATGTCTCGGCGGTTGGGTTAAGCGCGTCTTCCGCGATTCGTGAATTTCTTCCGATTTTACTTCGGCTACTACTTGTGTTATATCCGGTAAACAATCTGTATTCAGACACTAAAAGTGCTAATTATTAACCGCGTGTGGGACTTGCTACTAATTAGACAGTTGTGCGTAAATTTTGAAATGTGTGTTTTCTACAATTGATTGCTGTTGAAGTACATCTTCCTTTTGCTTCAGATGGGTGCTGCAAAGGTAGGTGGATTTTTTTACTGTTTTTTGAAAATTTTGTGATTTGCCTAGCTCGACATTGCGAATCGGTAATATTAATTACTAATGCAAATAAAAAATTGAACAAAATTTAATGTTTCCTATTGAAATTAAATTATCTCAAAGTGTGCTATGTTGATATGTATTTCTTCGTCTCGTGATCGTATAGAATGTTGTCATTGTGGTGTTGTTATTGTTTTTAACTGGACGTGTGTCGTCGCTGAAGTCAAACTGGTTGGTTCTTATCTCTATAGTCAGTTTAATCGCGATCCGTTATCGCACATTGCTGCATTTCTGTTGGTTTTAGTGCAAATTCTCCTTATATTAGAATATATTTGGATATTCATGCAATGGCATCGCATTTTTATTGGATTTTAGTTAAAGACAGAAATCAGGAAATATATTTGGCGTAACTATATTTAAAACTAATTGGTACTGAATTCTAATGCTTGTTTATTTGTTTTTACACTATAAAATATAGTTACACTGTTAATAACTAGATGGCGCTAGGATGAACATATTTGCTATCAATTGTATTATATGAGCCGCTTATTTTGAAAGTGACCTAACTCCGTTTTTCAATTTTTTGCCGGTTACCATGGTTACATGTACAACTTCATGTTATTTATCAGTGACGCACTTCAGATTGCTTATATTCAGAGAAAATACGGTACATTTTTTACACATAGGTTTTCCGAATTAATTGAATAACTGACCCGTGTGGTTTGAAAGTGGCCTAACTCCATTTATAGTTACATCAAGGTATTTATTATTGATAATGTCGGAAAGCAGCGATGAAGGTAATTTCAATTAATTAGTATTTACAAGTCCACCTCATTTTTGGGACAATTGCGTTAGTTAATTAACCTGTACGTTTAATTAATATAAAACTTAAAATTTAATATTAAATTATAGAAATTATTGCACCCATGAGGAAGAACCGAAGAAGACCACTTAGTTCAGATAGTGAAAAAGAAATAGTAATTAATAATTTAAAAAAAGCGAATAAGAAAAAGAGTTATAAAATAATATTCCTCGTCAGAGGATGAAGATTCAAATAACAATGGAGAAAAGATTGATGCACCATATATCCAAAAAGTGCGAAAGATAAAACGGAATTCAGGAAAAGATATTGCAGTTAAACCGGAAGTATTGTTCATGAAAAAATTTCGAACCAAAGATTGTGGTTGTCGGAATGCGTGCACAAAAATTATAATGAAGAAGAAAGAAAGAATATTTTTGAGAAGTTTTGGGGTTTGGCAGATTTTAACAAACAAAATGTATTACTTCACGAAGCTGCCTGTGAAACGAAGACGTTTTTTTTCTTCAATTTGAAACATCTTAAATTATGTTGAATGGACTTGGGCATCTTCAAATTTTATAATGAATCTGGCTGTTAATTTTGAAAGTGGCCCAACTCCATTCTTGATAAGGAAACGCACGTTATTTACTTAATAATTGCCACTACTTTAACAGGAACAGTAAATTTAACATCCTAAGATACGCTTAAGCAGTATGACTCCTTTGTATCTTATACGTATATTTTTAAATTCATTGAAACGCAAAACTTTCAATATCTCGATTTGAAGATAAATGGAGTTAGGCCACTTTCAAAATAAGCGGCACATATGTTTATTCAATAGTGTATGTGAGTTTGTATTGAATTCAACGACGGCCCTTGTGCAAAAGCTATGAGTAGCTCAAAGGGAGAGGTACCTGCGGTTGTTCTACTTGACCACACATGCACGACTGTTCAGTCGTCACCGTCCCTTGTTTTGGGCTACCTCTTTATACCTGTGGTCGACCCGTAAAAAGTGGTGGGGGTACGCCGCCTAGATGTACGCAGTGGTTTACTAGATAGATATTTGTCATAAAGTCTAGGTCCTCATGCACATGATTCATTTAGTAGCACGAGGGAGATAACACATGAATAGTGGTTTCTTTTAAATTTAAATTTGTCAATATTTAAATGCGTAAATTAATAGACTGATACTTGAAATCTAATCAAGATAAGGAATAAACAAAGTTCCGCGATTTACTTGTTTTTTGATTATGTAGACTTGTGGTTTACTAGTTTTATCGGAATTACTTGATATTTTGCGTAGTTTTGAAGGATTATTCCACTTTATCGCATTATTCGAACCTGATTTGGTTTTAATTAATCGTTTTTCTTGTTTTCGTGGCAAGAGAACAACGATAATCAAATGAATCACAAAGAAAATGATCTCCATCGCAGTGATGAAACTAACACCCAAGAGTAAAGCCAAAGTTCCACCGATTGACACTAAAATTGTCAAATGTTTCATCAAATACGTAGATATCAATATTCACTAACCTATTAAGTCATCAAACCCAAAAATTATATCCCTGTGATACTTTGTGGTTGGTGGTAAGAGTCCCCAACGAAATGTTAATCTTTGATCAAAGTATCCATACTCCCTATACGAGTACAACAAAAAATCAATTAAAATCTCCCACTATCTTAAAATTTAAGAAATCATTACCACATGGTTACTTTTGGAGCTTCAGCAAGATATTTAATAAAATCACATGGTTCAGGACAATTACACCCCAGCTCAGTTGGCGGTCTAGTTATTTCTTTGCTATATTTAGCAACGCATAATAATTCAGATAAATCGCATTCTCTGCCAGCTAGAAAAAAACATATCAGTTCGTATTATTATATAACAAGTGGTAAATAAGTTAGGTTATACAAAACTTATGATAGAAAAATGGCCGACATCCACACAGCTTCTTAACCAACTTAAGTCGACATGCCATGTAACAAATACTCGTGCTATATGCAGGAATATCTTTAGTGAGAGGTTCATCATCAAAACGACACTTGCGCTGGGCGGGTGATAAAGTTTTCAGTTTGGGATTTGCGCTCGCATGCTGCATTTTGAAGTTAATCTCCAATTCTTCGCTTTCTTTGACATGAAGAGGTGCTTCACTGGTTGCATGCGCAATATCCAAATATGAATGAACATAAATCTAAACAAAATGTCAAGTAATTTAATATTTTGACTTTTTCCTTTGAGGTAATAATATTTATTACCTGTAATGGCGCTAATGGATCTGAATCATATCGAGCATAGCATAATCCATTTAAATAATGACAATGTAGAATGTGTTCTTCATTCGGAAGATTACTACTGCCGATAATGGTAGAATTGGGACCCATTACACTATAAATCAATGAATACAAAATTGCGTCTATTCCATTCTATTTCCACGTTTAGATTTTTGTATTTGAACTTTTGTTCATGACTAAAGCCCGTGATTAAAGTATTTTAGTCACGACCGGGTTAAAAGTAACACTTTTTGTGTTTCAAAACCGTGGAGAAATAGAAATAGAAAATAGTAGTTACCTGTAGGTGAAATGTTTGGCCATTTTTGTATTCACAGAGAAACAAATCCCCAGCTCAGTCATAACCAAATGCCAGTCAGTTTTTCTTTGTGTATCAAACGTAACTAAATTTCCTGTTAATTCCGGATGTACCTTTGCTGCAAGCTCCAATAAATCAATAGCTTTCAATTCATCATCTTGCGCAAACTTTTCCAAACGATGCAGCGAAGTATAAGAAATATTTGCAACAGTTGTAACAAATTCTCTGTAGTATTCATACTTAGAATCTGATTCATTTAAACCCCACGTTCTAAAAATTAGAGAAAATATAAAGAAAAGTTAAAATATTTTGAATTAATTCTACTCCTCGATGTATTCGTCGACAAACACTTCATCTACTTTATTTACAAAACATGCAGTAGCGCTTGGAAAAGGATTAAACCAATTGCGATAGTCTTTCTGAATGGATACCACTGTAGGATTCGCGTAGTACCGGTTGACATTTTGTACAGAGAGAAGTATAGCTGCATAAATAGCCAGGGCAATGATTATGCTCCAAAATAAACTTGAATAAAACAATTTTTAATGATTTTTTATCAAAATTTTTGGGAATATTGATGTTACCGTTCAAGGGGATGTAATTTTTTCGCCGCCATATTGGGCACGCCATGAATGGTAGTACCTCGAGCAAAAACAACAAACTCAGCGCCTAAAATCTGACCGCAATTTCGTAAACGTCTCATTTCTGCCAAGTTTTCAAAAAAACTGAATCAAAAATTCTGTAAGAATAAAAATCATAAAAAAGGTCAGAAATATTAAATATTGATGCCATTTAGATCCATTTACAGATTACGAGTACAATTGGCTAAAGTACAATCATAATGTGATTGTCCTAGCATCGCGAGCAAGACCTTAAACGCATGTAATCGCTTATCAAACCGAAAAAAGCAAAGCAAAAAACCGCGTCATTGCGCTTCTATTTGCCACACATTATAAATCAACCAACAATTGCGTGCGTACACGGTCCCCGTATATAAACTGTCCTTTTTTACGAGGCTGCCATTTTTTTACTTTACCAAGAATTGGAATACTGCGCCAAAAAAAAATTTAAAAATTAAAAATGAAGCAACTTACAGCACTAATTGTGCTTGTGCTCGCGTGTTCTTATGGCGCCGAAGCAAGTAAGTCTCAATAATATAATTAACAAATATGCAGTTGTTATATGATATAACTTGCAGGCAATCTCACTTCCACAATCGCCGAATTTGTATATCAATCGGCCACGTACATTCCGATGCAGATCTTCCTCACATGCGATTTTGCGTTGAAGCATTTCACGCTTCCGGTGCTCACATACTTCGTCAACATCACTATAACGTTCTTCCAGTTGGACGAAGACTTTATGCCTGACTTTGTCTCTGGTTTGGAGCTGATGATTCATGTCTGGATCGATCTGGCACAGATGAATATCGCCGGCTCGGAGATTCTGGCGAATAGTTGTTTGAAATTCGCCGAATTGCTCGACAACGGCTCTTATTTTATTAGCCATTAGTTTTTAAATATTAGTTGTTATTTGTTGTTAATAAAATAGTACATATTATCTCCTGTTATGATTGCGTTTGATAGATATTTTGAAAAAATACAAAGTTGATAGTTTTTTGATTGTTTTTGTACGATAAAATGATGATTGAAGTGGATTGAACAAATTTTTATTAAAATGTATTCATAGAATGATGATTTATCGATAATTTCTACTCCAAAGTACTTTAAACTAAGTTTAACTATATTTTTCATTAATTTATCCTTGAAATATTTGAATATTTCTATGATAATACAATAAATAATAAAATTCCTCTTGTAACAGACAAAAACTTGTGTAAACCGAAAAAAATATTCACAGTAATAAATAACTCCACGTCTTCTTCTGTTTACACTTTTCATCAATCATCATAAAAAGTTTTTTAATAAAAAAAAGTTATATGCGTGTGTTCTACGTATGTTTGCAAAGCACACAGTTTCGTGCGCAAAATGCTCGCGCAAAAAGCTCGCATAACAAAACAAATCGTTAAATAAAAATCATTACCGCATCCATTTCGGAAAAGAGAATGAAATACATTTTGAGTTTTTTAATCGTGCTTCTGCTCTACGTCATGTGCCCGCCGGTAGAGTGTACTTTTCTGCATCGACGTGCAACTATCAAAGAAAAACGCATCGCGGCTCAACATGCGCAGAATCAACGTTCGACACGGCAAAGAAGCGGCACAGAGGTCGCAGTGGACGACCGAGGAAGATGTATAACCTCTAAATAAAGGTTATGTGCTTATAGGTTATAATATGAGCGTTGATTTTAGCTATATTCAATATTGGACAGATTTTGGACCCGCTTCTTGGCACACCGATTACTTTCCAAGCTGTGGTTTTAGAAATTCTGAAATTTCCATTGAAACAAGCGTTGGTTAGCTTGCATTGGACTAATGAACATATTGTACGCCGTATCATACAATACCTAACCACAAAGATGAATAATTTTTATGATACTTATTTGGATAGTTCGGATTTGCCGATTTTCGTTGCTATCGCTGCTTTTATTCTCGGAACTGTAGCGGAATCGTTTACGAAAACCGATGAAGTACTTGATAAATTAGATAGTTTTATTAACGACATCCTGGATGTCATCGTTGGGGATTAGTTGGTTAGATTTCATATAAAATGTTCTTCTATAACTATAAATTGTTATGTTTCTGTAATTGTGTGATACATTAAAGAAAAATTACCAAAATGTGTTTATTTTTGTTGTAATGTTAAGTAATATTATAAAATACGATAAAAGAGATAAAATTAACATGGTGGATTGTTGAGACGATAGATGGCGCTAGTTGTGCGCAGTGTTGACTGAATAAACTTGATAACACATCCATAAATTAAATTAAAAAGCAAATGGTGGATAATTTACGTCACGCGAAATGGCTACGCACAATAAAAATAAACACTGTTTAACCAGTTGCCTTACCACGAGAAATTTATTAGCACGCCGGTGTGAGTTTGGGTTTTAAAATCAATCGGAAAATGGTCCGGACTGCTATTTCCAGAGCGTTTTTAATCGTAGCACTTACAAGTTGCTACATACAAGCAAATCGTAAGCCTAATCAACAAATTTTATTTCAACAATTGATTAAAGTAATATTATAGCCGTTGATAATGTATCCAAAAATAAAGAAGCTGTTGATTATCATTATCACTTGGATATCGAAGATGACGACGCTGTGAAAACACGTGTCAAACGCAAAGCTCGTCTTATGTATGATTATGATGATGACGCCGATGATAAACCAGATGATGATAAAAATACCCCGAAAGGCAAAGATACAATGGCGGATAGAGCAATCAAATCGATATTTTTCTTTGCGCCGAGGAACATTTTGCGTGGAGCTAAAAAGATCGTCGAGTTTGCCGAAGGTGGTTTTTTGGCCGTTTCCAATTCACTGCGGGTTACTTTCACCAAACTTATCAATTCGATGAGTTAGGTTATGTGTACAAAATGGCGTGCTTAACAATATCAATAAAGTTACTTGTATCTAGTAGTAAATTAGCTGTATGTTACTTTTTTGTTCATAAAATTGGTTCAAGGTCGTTGGATTGTTTGACAAATACATTTTTATTGCGTCAGGGTGGAAATGAGTTGAACTGTAGGCGTAGAGTGAGTTTTGTGTTAGATACGTGTGAGATCAGGTTGGTTTGTTAGAATGTCGCCGGTCATAACCTCAATTATTGTCTTGTGTTTATGCAACTTAGTATACACATCGAATAGTACTGAAACCGTGCATCAACATCATCACCATCATCGTAAAAGTGAAATGTCTCCGTATAGATATCAGAAAAGTGATTAATTTACATTATAATAATAAATATTTATTTATTTAGTAAATATTTCAGAAAGTGATGATCGTGAGGTGAATGCACGACAAGAGGAAACTGGAAATGTTTTCAAAGAAATGTACGAATTGATTGTTAAGTTTTTCGGGATGTTTTCAAAACCAATCGGTAATTTCTTCACTGGAATCTGGAATGTTTTAACTTTTGTACCAAAGTTTTTCATTCAATTGATGAATCTTACTGGATCAATATCCCGCACCATTTTTGAAATGATTATGAAAGGTGGTTATAGTTGGCTTAAGGTTCAAGACATTATCGTGGACTTTATTAGGAATTTCCAAAAGGAATTATTGGATGCACTGCGTGCAAACTTCTTCCCACAGATTTCTCCGTATAGATCATAATTGCTTAAATAATAATACTTAACTAGTTTAAATTCTCTATAATTTTATATAAGTAAATAATGAATAATGCGACGGAAAATTCTAGAGTGTTTATTAACGCACGAAAAACGTTGTAAATCAACGTCCGTTATTTCCACGTATTAAGATATTGTGTTTTATATACTCACTGTTAAAATAATTATTATAAACATGAATTAAGAGTAGAAATATGATATTTTCTTCGAAATTGTACAAACTGTATAAATTATAACATTATAACCTTATCTTTTGTTTGCTTTACGAAAAGTTCGCTTTTGTTTATGAGAAACCAAAATCTACGTTTATTGTGTCTTTGACGTTGTTCAAAATGGCCGCGAAGTGTGTCATCGCAGTTGCGATATTGATTGTTGTAGTTGTAATTGATTCGATAGAATCGAAAGCTGTGTCAATTCCTGAAGAAGACGAAACTGTTAATATTAATATAAAAAATGGCGCTGGTTTGAAAATTTCATATCCTGCAGGGGAGATTATTGTACCTTCAGAGAGGAAGAACGTTAGGATTAAGACAATTGATGTTTTTGAGGAAAAAAATTCGCCACCAGTTGGGCCTGAACCCAAAGAAACCGATCGCAGTGTTCTTAAGTATCCGTATTGTAAGTTATAGATAAATATTACTCGTAATTTCTACGTTTTATGATGAATATATTATTGTATAGATCATCAACAAAGTAATAACCTCAAAGAACGTGTAAGACCGGAAGTGTATCCATGGCAGCAACATGTTCGACCGAAAGAAACGCATGGAAAACGTCAAATGAATGATTATTACGATGATTTTGAAACATATGATTATTATGACGACTTTTTCCGGCAACCTGAACATTCGAATGATCAGTCTAGAGAATTAGTGCATAACAGACATATGGCGGCCATTTTGGATTTCATGCAGGAGGTTGTTTGGGCTGGACGGGCATTTTTACAGGGAGATATAAATAATGTTAAAAATATGGCTTTTTATTTGATGCAAAAGTATTTATTTGGTGGGGGTTATGGTGGTTTTTAATACAAAGGAAATAATTTATGTTGAGTATTTTTAAAATTAGGTTACGTGAATAGTAAAACGAGGTTATATTGGTTAGCAGTATAAATAAATATTTAATGTAAACAGATGCATGATTTTTAAATAGAATTACACAAATTTATCAATTTTCTTGTTGCATTTTTTTAATATAAACAATTAATTAAATTATGGCGCGGTAATGAGTAATATCTCTTAATATACGCGTAATTTTGTATTATTCGAATTGAGCAATATCTAAAATCCTAGTTTTATTTTAAAGGTTTTCCACCACCATATGTTTATTATATTTAAAAAATTACGAAATTATTTTTAATCTGGCGGATTGTTGATAACATAGGTGGCGCTAGTTGTATCCAGTGTTGACTGAATAAACTTGATTCTAGATTCTGCGTTTATTGCTTGAATGTATTTCTGAGCTACGTATGCATTAAAAACCATCAAAACACCAACAGTGATAAACAAAAAATAGAAACTGACAATAGTATAATAATATTCTTCCTTTGACAACACTACATCATCTAGTTCTACTCTAAGAGTAGTAAGTTCACATCCCGTTTTCATTTTCTTTTCAATATCAATACTTGCTCTACGAGTCATATTGTTCTGTTTTGCAGGACATTGTATTTCACCTTCAGTCAAGCATATCCTAAACTCCACATCACTTAAGTCACATATGTCAATCTGCATTGTTCGTATTCTAGAGTCTGTTGCATCCAAATATAAAAGTTTCTTCATTTTACTTTGCGAGGAAAACATAACCTCACTTTTCGCTCTTTTTATCATAAGCGATTCCAAAGTTGGCGAGATTAAATGAATACTCCTCAATATATTATTATTCAAACACAATTTTTTCAGATTAACATGCGTACTCAAATCCCAATTGATTTGTGTCAAACGATTATTTTCCAAGTACAATGTTTTTAAATTAACCGAATCCAACACAAACTGGCTGTCAATGCTAGTTATTTGATTATCAGACAAATCAAGCGTTTCTAATTTTTTGCCTTCAATATTAAACATTGTTAAATTGTTTCCAGCAAGGCTTAGATATTTCAAGTTAGAAAACGCACAAAAAGCAGTATATTCAACATAAATAATTTTACTGTGTGTGATTGACATTTCAGTACAATTTCTGTTTAGATTACTGAGTTTATTGCTGTTTAAACTAGGATAATTTTGATTTTCGAAGTTGCAAACCTGTGACTGAGCGGTGATATAACTAACAGATAATATTAGTATAACAATTTTGGCGGTATGCCGGTCCAACAATGAGCAAACAAAAATAAACCATAAAATTGTCAAACATGCACGCCCACATGACGAATTTTGCACTTTAAATTCTTTTTTCATTTCTAATTTTTCAATTAAAATATCGTCACGAGTACGATTATTCAATAACGAAATATTTTTGAAATCGTGAAGAATTGTCTCTTCATCAATATCACTTCCTTTTAAATTTAAAACTATCAACGTGGCGTTAAAACTTTCTTTCAATACATTTACATCTGTCATGTTTAGAGAGCAATTGACACAACTAAATTTACGTAGTTTAGCATTACTAGAACCTTGAAGTTGCAGTTTATTACCGTCTAAATTTACGTCTGTTAAATCTTTGGAAAATATCCAATCAAAATTAAACACTTTCATACCTGCCATGCGAATTTCTAAGTGAATGATTTTATTCAAAGAAGTGAGGAGGCTTTTCCATGATAATTCGTTTTGTGCGTGGCATCCTACAAGTCGCAATGTTTTCATTTCTTTGAAGACTGCGTTGTAAGTGTTGATGATGTCCAGAAAGTTGATGATGGTGTTTTTTCCTTGATTGTCAATTATTTGAATCTTGTCGAAGTCTTGGGCGGAAAGATTTTGCATTGTTTCTTGGTTTAATTTATCGCAGAGTATTTCTGTAAGTGAACCAAAAGGATAACCATAGGTTACTCCTATTCCCATTGAAATTAAGAATAAACATCTAGAAATAACAATATAAACGGTTTTATATGTATACAATTCGTTTTTCATTTATTCAGTTTTTTCCTTAAACCTAAATTATAAATATCACAATGAATACCTTCCACATTCCATTTTAAACATGATGAATGGGTGTTCAACTCAACGAGTTTGCTTCATAACTGAATATATTAGTTTAACAACTTAATAATTACTCAAATAACTATAGAAATACTTATCATACTGAATAAATAGATATAGATAACATATATTTGTGACTTCTTGCAGGAAGTATCACCTCATAAATTTCTTATTAAGCTTGCATGTTCATATTTTGATTTCACTGAATAGTTCCTCAAATTACGATGATACCTCACTATGACAAAAATAATTCCAATCATCTGAAGAAATATTAAACTGCCCAATATGTAGAAACTTATAACAAGTTGGTAATATTCCTTATTTGTAAGAACAACATCGTCAATATTATTAATTCTCATTGTGGTGTAGTCACATCCGACTTTTCTGATCTCTGACTTTATTGTACTCGTACTCGTGGACGACTCCTCGACGTTCACAGCTTTAACTGTTGCAAGTACTTTAGGACAGTTAATATCTTCCTCTGATACATGAATCAATAGCTCAGAGTCACTTAATGAACATAAGCTGCTTTCCCTTTTTATTTCCGTCCCTGTAGCTTCCAAGAATGTAAGTTGCTTCAATTCACTCTCCGGAGAAAACTCTACGGTTCTTGTTCCCCATTTTATCCATAGCGAATCCAGAGTTGGTGAAATCAAGTGGATCCATTCCAGACGATTTTCATTGAGTAGCACTTTTTGAAGGTTAGAATGAAAGCTCAAATCCCATTCAATACGAGATATTTGATTATCTTCCAAGTACAATTCTGTTAGATGCGGAGAATTTTCAAACAGTTTTGGGTCAATGTTCGTTATTTTATTGTGTGCTAAATTAAGCACTTGTAGTTTGTTGGATTCAATGTGAAATGTTGTTAGATTGTTGCCGACAAGACTTAGGTTTGTCAAGTTTTCAAATTCACCGAATGCAGAATATTCAACGTATACAATTTTACTGTATTCAATTGAAATTATTGAAGTGTTGGGTTCAAGTTGAAAATTCTTGAAAAATGTGCTTTTGATGATTGGAAGATTTCGATGTTTGACGAAAAATGCCTGAGTTGGAACAATTGCAAAGGTGAGAACGATAATAAAACCGATAACCTTTGTAAATCTGCCCTTAAATAATGCACCCAATAAAACCAAGATTAAAAGTGTGGGCGGAGTTTTTGTCGAAGCTGAAGACCTAGTTTCTTCAATAAAATTCTTGTGGTAAATATCCTCACGAGAATTAGAATTTAGCAATGCTAATGTTGGGAAACTTTCAAGTATTTCCATTTCATCAATGCTACTTTCTTTTAAACTCAAAGTAATCAACGAGTTTTTAAACTGTTTCAATGTTTCAATACTTGCAGGACTCAGATTACATTTATCACATATAAACTGATGTAATTTCTTCGTAATACTTTTTCCTTTTAAGACCACTCCTTTGTTATAGCTCAAATTCAATTCCCGTAATTCCTTTGATGCAATCCAATCAAAATCGAATTCAGTGAGGTCAGCCGACATAATTTCCAAAGTTTGAATATTTCTCAGTTCGGTAATCGGACGTTTCCATGACTCATCTTCCATCTGGCAACCGTCGACGCGTAGAATTTCCATTTGATGTAAATACCTTCCCATTTCCGGCACGTAACCAAGAAAGTGGCTTCGAGGGTTCCACGTTGTAAATCGGTTACTTATTGCAACCTTCGTAATGTGTTGGCTGGCCAAAAACTTTATTTTTTCTGTTGTTAGTTCATTGCAGGGAACGTCCATGTAAGGTTTGCAGAATACTGGTCCTATTAGAACTGCTAGGAGCAGCCACAAGCTAAAATAAGAATTTTTTGATTTTTATTGGGTTACCGTAATCACTAATAGTATTTTTCGACTTCCACCTTTAAAGGCAGTGAATAAAGTATTTTAGTCACGGGCATTAGCATAGGGCGGAGCTTGCGCCTGCGCGTTTGCCAAAGGTGCAGCACCAACAACATATAATCTTTCATTTTCTCCTAGTGTGCGAGCGAATTTGGAAGATTTAAAATAGCAAATTCAAATACAAAAACTAAACGTGGAAATAGAGTGGAAGTAGAAAAAGTAGCGTAAGCATCACGTGGCTGAACGTTGTTAAACATTCGATTTTAACCACTTGTTACTTAATATTATAATAGATGCAAAATAATTATATTCAAATATATTTACCGATTTTTCATTTTGATGATAGCTGTTTCACAAAAGCAAATAAAACATGCGAAGGCGATAGGTACTAGTTTTACTAGTGATAAAATAATATCAAACGAAACTAATTTATATCCCTTGAGTCTGTTCTGATAGTGTAATCAATTAGGTATCTAAATGCGCACGAAAATGAATAAAGTGTTTACATCTGGAATCATTGGTTGGATATCAGACAATGCACATTTTTAAAGTCAGCGGAAAACAAGATTAAACTTGGTTTAAAATTTTAAGTATTTAGTGATAAACTATTTTTAGTGACTTTGTTCATTTTTGAAAAATTATCACGTGCGAAATAATATTTTGAATCGAATAGTTTTGAATTGACGTCAAGTTATTCTTTGTCATACAACCTGCATTGCAAAACCAGATTTTGCTTCTTAATTACCATATTCGTCGAAATTCGTCGCAATCGCACATAACTAGATTGAAAAAAGAACATAAAACAAAACAGAAACATTCAAGGGTAACAGGAGCCATATAAATGCATGCATTTTATTTATATTTTCATCAGTTTCTTTTCTCATTCTAAACAAAACTGCACAAGATGAATTGTGTGTTAATTATAAGTTTGATTCTTGCTGTTGGGGTTTATTCTGCTAAATTGCGTAAGTACTAAGTACTCCATAAGAATAAATTAATTATTATACAAAATGAATTTAATATTACCAGCTGAATATTTAACAAAATGCCAAAAAGGCCCAGATAGCTCAGATTGTGTGAAAACAAATACACAAGCTGTTATTGATGCCCTCATCAAAAACGGTAATTTATTTTCATATAAACAATGAATAATTTAATATCTGATTCACAAATCTGATAACAAATAATAGTTGGTGAGCCAAAATTCAAACTCCAAGGATTAACTCCAATCCACGTAGATAAAATAGATCTGCAAGCCACATCACAACTCAAAGTTATTTTATCCAATGTTGACTTCTTCGGTTTTAACGAACTGCAACCCGCTGGGGGCGGCGTTACTGAGGAAACTCTTCAAGTCAAAGCGCATCTTCCACGCGTTGAACTTGTAGGTGATTACGACATCAACGGTAAAATTCTTATTCTGCCAATTCAAGGGCAAGGCACTTTCAATATCACCATGGGTTAGTTATTTCTATGACCCAATACTTTAGTTTTATATTCACAAGTTGTAATTTTAGTTGATTTTGACGTGGATTACACTGCGAAGCTTTTAGTAGAGGAGCGCAAAGGCAAGAAGTATTATCAAGTCGCAAACGATGATAACACCGTGTTGAAAATTGATAAAATCAAGCGGGTGCATTGGCAATTCAAGAATTTGTTCAATGGCGACGATCGTCTTGGTCCCGAAATGAATAGATTCTTGAATGAGAACTGGAAAGAAGTTTTCGGTGAAGTACAACTTGCAATTGAACAAACAGCTGCGTTTTCCATCGTTAATTATTTTATCAATGGATATTTACATTATATTCCAATTGAGGAACTGTTCTAGGAATAGTTTCAAGTGTTTTTGATACGTATTATAAGTGTAAATCATTAAGAAAATAACAAAATTTATCTAAAACTGATTCACAACAGCATATTATTAAATAAATTTAAAACGTATTAACTTTACAAGGTTAAATATTCAATTTGTTAGAAGAAAAACAATAACTAATCATCTCAACAACATTGTTTTCTCTTCTATTATATTCAACAGAAATATAAAACTAAAATCCTCATTAAAACTGAGCGCTTGGACATTACATAATTTAAAAATTCGATTCAATGCTCAAGTCCACTATCGTTTTCATTGTCAACTGCTTCTGATGCAATCGAATGATTTACACTCAACACGTGGATAAAAAGTAAAATCCATTTTTACGGTCTTCAAACGAGAATCTTCAATATGAACACCTCATACACGTCGAATGCTTGAAAAGTAGTTAATACCAAATTAGGATATCGAATAAAAACGAACTGAATAAACGTGTTTACGTTGTTGATTTTATATTTTTTCTTGAGAAACGTATTAACTTGATCGATCAACATAGTACTAAATATTATGCAAACGATGTTTATGGATTTGTTTTTTTTGCTGCTCGGTGTGTTGATATTTTGCACGCATAATACACAATTATGGAGCTGCTTCCTTGTGCTGTCCCGAATGGCGTCACCTTGCATATGTAGTGGAACAAGTGTACTGTCAAGGATTAACACCTTGATTCATTTTTTTTTCGTTTGCGCTATAAATACGCTGAATGCGTCGGACGCAGCTTCAGTTTCATCACGTTGATGAAGTATCCAACAATACGCATTATGAAGGGTTTTGTTTTGGTTTTAACGGCGTGCGTTTTACTCGCAGAAGTAAACTCTGCAAAACTACGTAAGTTGGATTAATTTTAAGCGAGATATTCAAATTACATCAGTATACTTGCAGCGGATTATTTGAAGAAGTGTAAAAAGGGTCCGGAAGGTGCCAAATGTGTGATTGACAATGGTCTTGCCGCTGTAAGTTCATTGACTAAAGATGGCGAGCCGAAATTCAAACTGCAGAGTCTCACACCCATCCATGTGGATAAAATTGATCTGCAAGCAACTCCACAGTTGAAAGTAGTGCTTGATGATGTAGATTTTACTGGGTTTGAAGGATTATCGTTGACTGATGGTAAAATCGACGATAACGAGTTGACTTTCAAGGCGCATCTTAATCGGATGGAACTTGTTGGCAAATACGACATCAATGGCCGTATTTTGATCCTGCCGATTCAGGGCAAGGGTACTTGCAATATTACAATGGGTATTAACTTCATCAATATCATATAAATCAATTTTTTAATGTTTTTACATAAATTTCTAGTAAATCTTGATTTTAACTACAAAACAAAACTGTTTACCGAGGAACGCAAAGGTAAAAAGTACTTCAGAGTTGAATCCAATGAGAATACTGTAGGTGAAATTAACAATATCAAACGTGTGTACTGGCAATTTGATAATTTGTTCAATGGTGATGAGCGTTTGGGTCCTGAGATGAATCGCTTCTTGAATGAGAACTGGAAGGATGTTTATGGTGAAGTGAAGACTGCGATTGAACAAACCGCTGCGTATTCTATTTTCAATTATTTCATCAATGGTTATTTACATTTTGTGCCTATTGATGAGATGTTTGAGGAGTAAATATCGATTTAAACATCGAATTGTTAAATATTTTCTTATCTATGTTATTAATAACTAAACTTACTTATTTGTAAGTGTAAAAAAACTATTCCAACGATAGACAATAATAAAATTTGTATTGTTACACGGTAGTTTTATTGTAAATTGTAAAATTTGGTGATATATTCGTATAAGTACGTTGCGGCTGATAAAAAAATACACAAATAGAGTTCTAAACTTAAAAGTTTTGATAAAAAACATGAATACATAAAATATTACTTGTGATCAAGATCAAAAACAGAAACATCAGGCGCAATTAGTCTTGTAAACTTTAAATACTCAGTTTTAAGTGTTTCCCTCGCTGATAAACGCTTTTCCGGATTAATTTCCAATATTTTCTGTAATGAATTAAACATTTACTAATAATTATCATAAATTTTTAAGTATTTACCATTAAAAAGTGTTTTTGTTCTTCACTGTGAAACTTAACATAACTATTCAAATCTTGTGGTTGCCAAACAGGAAAAGTCTTCCTAAAATCCGGCAGTGTTGAACACCCAGGCCATGTATCTTCATTCGGAGTGCCGCAAATCTTAAACACTTTGTAGATCTGATCAATCTCCGAATCGCCCGGAAAAAGCGCTGTTTTCGACACAATTTCAGACATAATACAAGCTAAACTCCACACATCAACTGCCGGCCCATACAATTTCGAACCCAGGAGTAATTCAGGCGCACGATACCATAGTGTAACCACTTCATGTGTATACGCACGCACAGGAATCATAAAACATCGTGACAAACCAAAATCAGCTAGTTTTATGTGCCCTTCATGATCGATCAGAATGTTTTGCGGTTTTAAATCTCGGTGAAGAATGCGGTGTGAATGCAGGTATGCAAGACCATCAAATAATTGCCTCATATAACTCTTAAAGTAAAATAATTGAAATAAAACAATAAAAAGTCAAATAAAATGAAATATTTACTTTGACTAAATCTTCAGATGGAGCTGTGGGAGTTGCATCTAAATAATGTTTGAGATCCATGTCAAGATATTCAAAAACAAGGTGAATTGCTTTCTGATCACCACAAATGATATCGAGCAGTTCAACAATTGAAGAATGATGGAGATTTTTAAGGAGAGAGATTTCCCGGATTGCTGTGGATGGAACACCTTCAGATGATCTATTCTCAAACCTAATACAGAAATAAATCAGTCAATAGAAATCTTTAAAGTTGTATATTTGAATTATACATTGTACAGATCAGTCACAACATGTATGTTATATTTACAGCACAGTTTGTGAAGAGATGAGTTAGTGAAATGAGCTGAATCTTGTGGTGCTACGAATAGGAAACGGTACGAAGCAACACGCAAATTCAACTCATCTAAAGAACCCAGCGTTAGTGAGTGTGCTAAGCGAGTTAAAATAAAGAAATAAAACACCACATTTTTTTAGTTATAGTTTGTTTGATTGCGATGTGCTTTTGTTTGAGACTTTGAGCGTTAGTCTTGAGTTCTTAGTGCGTTTGATGATTACCTGTCGAGTTTCATTCGCTTGAGCGCTACATATTTGCCCGTGATCTTGTCTTTCGCTTTGTAGACGACGCCGTAGGTGCCTTCGCCGGCTTTCTTCAGCCGGATGAATTTGTCCAACTTATTCGCATTTTGCTCGAGCGTTTCGGGCGATACCGCGAGCATTTTGACACGGCCACTGCGGGTATTTTCGCGCGAAAAACAATCGACTTCGGATGCACCGCCATTGTTGTTTATAATGGAGGCGCAAGCGCAAAATCAATAACTCCACAACTGTTTCGACCAATCAGAGGCAAGTTAGCGCAGAACTGTCAAACATTCGTGGTAAAAATTCATTCATACAAAATATTAACTTAAATATTACAATTTGTAATAAAACTTATTTTATTAACATAAATTAAGTTATAATTAAAAAAATATTAAGTTTTATTATAATGTAACAAAAGATAATTTCAAAAAATTTCTTGAAGAGTAAGCAAATTTATTATGAAGACGTGGTTAATGTTAGGCAACCAAATATACACCATAAGTTGTCGATCTCGCACCTGTAAACAGATTACGTGTGCATTTATTACCAATCAGTATTAATCCTAGTCACTGGATTAGTTCAGCTTAACGACAGAAACTTTTCTCTCTACTACAAAATAAAATCAGGTATGTTAATTATCTATTTAAATCACACAGCATCGTTTGCTGCAGATAAGATGTCAGGCTCATTTTAACTCATTGAGTTGTTATGGTAATATGTAGTCCAAAGTTCAAGTTCAGATTACTCGCTAGAGTCGGTTTCGCATGTTCACTACTTAACTCGTTCTACGTACATAGATAGCGCGTTCGCGTGTTGTTGCTCACCGGTTTGTGCAGATAACGTGCCAGTTCACTCAAAACTCTCATAACAGTCAGTCAGAGGCTTATGCAAGCAAGATTTCGATCTTGCGCTGTTTTCTATTGTGTTACGTGTAAAGAAAGTTTCTAATCATGTCATCGCCGATGAGGATGGCTTTGGGTGGAAGGGTAAATAGAAATTTTTCTATGCTCATTCATATTCAGCTTCTAAGCTGCATAAATTCAGTGTTAGAAACTCGCTTAGACAACACAACCTCATACACGCTCACTCAACGCGTAAAACTCGTCGAATTTGTATTAAATACATTTATATTTTTAGTTGTTAGTGATGGCTGCAAGAAACTATGCAACCAAACCCCAACTCAATGAAGTCGTCATCGTGAGCGCTGTGCGCACACCGATGGGTTCCTTCCAAGGCAGTCTTGCACCTCTATCAGCTCCACAATTAGGCAGTGTTGCAATCAAAGCCGCCATTGAACGATCTGGCATCGCCAAAGAAGAAATCAAAGAAGTTTTCATGGGTCATGTATGTCAGGGAAGCGCAGGGCAAGCGCCTGCACGTCAGGCAACTCTATTCGCAGGTCTGCCTGAGTCCACCATTTGCACTACTGTTAACAAAGTCTGCGCATCCGGTATGAAATCTGTAATGTTAGCTGCACAGAGTATTCAGACCGGCGATCAAGATGTTTGTCTTGCTGGTGGTATGGAATCGATGTCAAATGTTCCATATTACATGAAACGTGGACAAACCCCGTATGGTGGTATTAATCTCATCGATGGCATTGTTTTCGACGGTCTAACAGACGTATACAACAAATTCCACATGGGAAACTGCGCGGAAAACACCGCGAAGAAAATGGAACTCACGCGGGCGATGCAGGATGAGTACGCGATCAACAGTTACAAGCGATCGGAAGCAGCATATCAGAACAAAGCATTTGAAAAGGAATTGGTGCCTGTTCCAGTGCCACAGAAACGTGGACAGCCCGATAAAATCTTCGCTGAAGATGAAGAATATAAAAGGATTGATTTTGATAAGTTTGGTAAACTAGCGACTGTTTTCCAGAAAGAAAATGGAACTGTTACAGCTGGTAATGCTTCTACGTTGAACGATGGAGCTGCTGCGTTGATTTTAACAAGTCGTGAAGCTGCTGATCGCTTGGGATTGAAACCTCTGGCGAAAATTGTTGGTTTTCATGATGCTGCAACTGCCCCGATTGATTTCCCGCTTGCACCAGCCAAGGGTATTCCTGGTTTGTTGGAAAAAACAGGAGTTAGTAAAGATAGCGTTGCAATGTGGGAAATCAACGAAGCATTCAGCGCTGTAGTTGTGGCGAATCAGAAAATTTTGGGTTTGGATCCGGCCAAGGTGAATATTCATGGTGGTGCTGTCAGTCTGGGTCATCCTATTGGTATGTCTGGAGCGAGAATTATTGTTCATTTGGTGCATGCTTTGAAACAAGGAGAGAAAGGCGTTGCGTCGATTTGTAACGGCGGCGGTGGTGCTTCGTCGATCATGATTGAGAAATTGTAAGTATGGTTGTAATTATCTGCAACGAATAATGTGGAAAATCAATGCTGGGTTCTTTGGACCGACAATAAAATGATGATTCAGGTGTTTTTATACGTGGGATGCATTTCTTGGTTTATCTCAAATACTTTTATAAACACTGTTACAAACTCATATGAAATGTAAACTTTTTATGCTGAGAATATATTTTAAACAAATGTTTCAATAATATAAGTAAAATATATCATGTTTTTTGCTTGTTATATTATTTAAAATTGGGTTATTCTACTCTTAAAATGGATATATTAATTGGCAGCATGTGGAAATTGTTAAATTTGACTTGAAAGTCTGATTGCCATTGTTGATTTGTTTATTTTTGCACTTTTGTGTTAAGGTTTATGCTTCTTTGCTATTATTAGCGACAAATAAGTTTTATTTGTTGTAAATTTTAAATATTATTAAAATTAAATTGAAATTGTGTTTGGATAAGCTGTGAAGTTTGTGCGTTATAAACGCTCAAGGTTTCATTTCAAAAGTATAATTCATTAAATTGAGCATAGATGGCGCTGTGATACACTTTGTTGCATTAAATTCCTTGCTTCGTTCTCGTCGCGATTGTTTGTTTACATCTTGGATCACGCCACATCGTGTAGTTTTTTTTATCTATTTATCAAGGAGATAAATAGTAACCGCCGCGTTCGTGGAAGCAGGTAGTTTCTTAAATAAAATAACGCGAATTTACATTTTATATTTTTGTAATAAGTTTATATTATTAATTTTGAATCGAATATCAAAATAATTTAAAAAGTGTATCGACAGGCATATTGTAAAAATTTGTATTATGTTCGGAGCCGGATCTTGGTGCATTTCTTTTGTTTTCATCACTAATATACGCGAAGAAATAGTCATACGCTCGCACACAGCGTTGCAGCGCGTAACAGTAGTTTGTTTGGTCCGTGAGTTTCTATTTACATTGCGTGAATCGACGATTTTCGTGTACGCGTAGCCTAACTTCATAGTCAGCACCCAGATGGCACTAGGATGCACATATTCGCGTTAAATTCACACTCGCGTTCTCGTCGCACTCATTCGCATGTTCGTGTGAATCAGTGAAGTTGTTTTTGGTGTCAGTGAGATAACACGAAGTTGGGTGTTATTGCCTGTGCACATGTGAGTTCACGTAACATGTAAATAAAAATTCACAGTTAAATAGCAGAATAGTAGCGAAATTATTTTAAAAATATATTTTCTAATAATTATTGTAAATCACATTTTTTTTACAAAATATTTTCATAAAAAATGTTAAAAAATGTTTAAATAGTAAGCAAAGCAACAAATTTGAAAAATATTTGCTTTTATTACAAATGCCATGATAAAAATACTTAAAATTTAGGTGTTTTGGCATTTAAGGAACTTGGAACGCTATTTTAATCGAAATAGTGTGTTTAAAGTATCCAAAAGTATGTATGTCGGTATATTCAGCACCTGGCAACACTCGAATATATTAAATTTTATTGTAACTACTAAATATTCAATTTTCCTTTCGTTTAACGCGTAATATTTCGGCTCCATGACGTAATAATCATGCTCCACCTTCCAAACTGTTTCAAATTGCTTCAGCCTGTTATTTATTCAATCGTGCATCCATTGTCTCAGCAGAAACACAAACACAAGCCCGAAAACAATAAATTAACATTCACTTTCCGCTCTTGCATTTAAGTACTCGAAGAGTACTAGTATATTGAGCGCCAATTTAATTTAAACTTTGTAATATTTAGCAATAAATTTCGTGTTTTTTGCAGGAAGGACACCGAATTGGGTTATGATGTGCAAATGCCAATGCTCACGCTTTATACACGTGAACCATGTCCGATGTGTGATGAGCTCAAAGAAGAATTACAACCGTTTTTGGCTTCCGGAGCGTGTAAACTTCAAATGGTAAATATAGCAACAAAAGAAAATTTGAAATATCTACGATTGTATCGATATGAAATACCTGTGCTGTTTTTAAATGGAGAATTTTTGTGTAAACATCGATTGAATCGTGATTTACTTGAGAAGTCACTCAAAGAATTAAAATCTTTGTAAATCTCGATATAAATCAACATTATGGCTGTCAAAATTTACAAATATTGTTGTAATTAATCTGCTATTACTATTGTATCGGTATAAAAGACTTGTGTTGTTATTTAAACAAAGAATTTTTGTTTAAACATTGACTAAATCGTGATTTACTCAAAATATCACGCAAAAAACTAAAATCTTCGTAAATCACATCATATTATTGTTAATATTTATAAATTTTGTGTTCACAAATGTCATATTATCACGTTATTGTTATAAAACACATGTGTTACTTTTTAAACCGAGAAATTTTGAGTAAAAATTGATTGAATCGTGTTTTACTAGAAAAATCACTCAAAGAATTAAAATGTTTCTAAACTACTACATAAATCATCAAAACCACTGTCAAAAATCATAAATTTAGTTGTAACTAATGCGCTATTGTTATGATAATCACTTCTGGTATGATCACAGCTCGCCCAAGCAAGCAGGAAGTGAAATAAACAAATAAAACAACAACCAGCATACGAAATCGATCGGTGATCAGTGATCACAGTAAATACGACACAAAGAAGGCGTAGTTTACAACAAACGCGCCTGAACTGTGTCTACACATCAACATATCAACGCTATTTGCTAAAAGATATAACCTTGGTGTTAGAATAACCGTCTAACAACTACCACACACTCACAATTTGCGAGTAGATTAGACTAGTTAAACCTGCCAAACTGAGCCGAAACAAATACTAAGATGAAAATTTCGAATTCACCGATCGAATGACATTGAAACACCGAAAGCAATCGCATGTAAATCACAAACAAAAGAATAGATTAGGATTAGTTACATAATACATGATTACACACAATGAGAACCAAACTGGCGACTGAAAGTGAACGCTAAGAATATAAATGATAACGAATGAAGATCAGAGGCAAGTTAGGCAACTTATGTTGACGTTTTCATCATCCATCATTCGCGGTATTCATTCATATTTGTATTCAGTATTGTTCACTTCCTGAATGCGATGTTTTATCAATAAATAACATCCGAAAAGTTGGAATATTTTGCGCAGGTCAAAGAACTCGTCAAACCTCTCGAATTCTGCACGATTGTGTGGTTTAATTAATTTTTAAATTAAATTTTAATACGTGGAATATAAATGAATATGGAATGGTGGAATTAACACATTCATCTGAGTACAAAAGCATTGAGTTAATTTATTTTGATAAAGTACCGTTTTTTTACTTATTGTAAAATGTTTTAATGTTACTTGAATTAAAGATAAACTCTGTTTAACGGCGAAATTTGTACATTTTGTTGGTTTATATTAATTTTCTTTTTATATTTGGTTCATACAGTATATAGGCAACCAACATAACAGATTTTACAACGAAAACGACGAAAATATTTTTGTTTCAAGCAATTATAACCTAGAATATTTTTTCAGCAGACATGAAATCTATGGTAACATTTGTAATATTGTTGTAATTATGATCCCAACATCCCTACAAATTGCAATGCAAATTTCTATAACATAAGCACGATTTTTCAGCTAATTTGTTGGGGTGCATGTTACGTTACAACAAAATCATTTAAACATAACACAAGTGAATACAACTAAGCGACGCGGAATTCATATTTAGACTTCAGGAAATATTTACCGGCATTTTTACAAGAGGAATTGAGTTAATAACCAGCGCAACAAATGATTAAACAGATGCTGATCCATGTAAAATTCTATATATGGTTTTTAATTTGTTTCTGCACTATATATGCAACCAATCTAACGGATTTCAAATACAATGCAACCAATCTAACGGATTTCATAGACTAAAATGCAAAATAATCAACTTTAAGTTTAACTTGATAATTAAACGAGTGTAACAGGTACATAACTAGTAGTAAACGTGGTTTAACGATTGTTATTATAGACAAGTACGTTTTATATGTGTGTAAGTGTGTGCATGTGCCCATGCTGTCCATTTTCAAGTCAATGCCAATGCCGTGAAGAAGCGAGATGAGTTCATGGACGACCATCCGAGGCATCCAAGTCATCCACGTATGGGAAAGGGCAACACGCATCACATGGGTAACGTAACCAGTAAGCGTAAGGTGGGTTTTGGAATAAACTCACTAAACTACCGTTTGTTACGAAATTTCAAAGCAATTTGAATTGCATATCGTTTAATCCATGAAAATGACTAATTCTAAACTTAAGTCTAAAGTACTGTCTTTGATATAATGCAATAAAGGCAATGCAAATAGTAATCCGTTCATTAAATGCAAAGCTTTGAAGTTTATGACGAAGAGGAAGAAAAGACGAGACAGTATTCATATTCATATTCATGTTGCGTATTCAAAGAGACACTTTTATTTTATTTACGAACGAGTAAGTGTAAATTTTGCACGCGTTGTACGCATCTTGATATGAATGAGTGTTATTCATATGTTGGGTTGCATAACACTCACAATTCATACAAATGAATATAAGTGAGGTTAAAATTAATAAAAAGTCAAAATGGTGACTTAAATAGCGAAAAAATATGTTTAAAGGTCGAAATTTTGTTTTTAAAAATTTTTAAATTTAAAAAATTTAAATTCTGTGCCTTGTGGTGCAAGATTACCAAAGACCCAAGCGAGCACAATAGAAACAAAGTGCGAGAAAAGCGAGGACTGACCGAAAGCACAAACACAAAGCAGCCAAAGCAGGTAGAATAAGAGAACAAGTCTCTGCAAGTCTGAGAGTCTCGCTTGGGGTCCGTGCCGGCACAACAACTCGAGGGGAGTCTGCGACTTTAACTTCTTCGTCTGACCAGCGTCCATCCACTTGTACCTGCGTAAATTTAAAAATTTAAATCGTCGATGGGACGATGCACCCTATTATCTTCATTCTTATTCAAACACCAGTTTAACTCATAAATAAAACCAACAAAAATATTTTTTTTTTGCTTAAAAACTATTTTTTTTATAAAATAAATATATAAGTAAGTGTAAAATAAGTGTTGGTAATGTTAAAATTTATTAAATTTACGTATTTATTGATATATAATTGATTTAAGTAATGCGCGCATGCGCAGATGACTCTTGTGAGTTAAGTTTTTCGATTGCGCTGGCCGTGCCCGCACTCAATGCGTACGTGTGTGTGTGTGTGTGTGATCCCGGCCGGTTCGTGGAGAGAGGTTCGTTCACATTTCACGTCCATCGGCTGCGCCGCTGTCGGTGCGTGGCCTGCGGTGTGTGCACTCCGCTAACAACAATTTCAGTGCGGCGCGTCGCTGTGCATCGAAGTCGGTATTATCGGATGCATCGGTGCATCGGTAGTCAGCACGCGGTTTTCGTAGTTTCGTAGTCGTAGTTGCAGTTCCAGTGACTTCGTTGTTGCAACATTGTGCGCGATAACAGCCGAAAACTCACATTTATTCATAGTGCCAAATATAAAACTGATAAAAACAAAGTTTACGTTTGATATACGAAAGAAAACAAGTTAATGAAATGCGTTTTGGATGTGTTTGCTCAATTTTTTGAAGGAGTTTTTGAATCAAAACAATGTTTTAAGGTGGAAAGTGCATAAAGTGCGAGTGGAATATTTCTGAGGTGGTAGAATAAAATTTAGCGGCCACATGCACACGAGGTCCGGAAATTGTGCGACCTTTGTATATTCACATCACAGATGAACCCACGTACAGGGGATTTATTTTAATAAGGTAAAAAAGTTTATATTATTCAGATTTTATGGTAAATTAGATAAAAATATAATTATTTTGTACTAAAAACATGAAAAAACTGCTAATTTGTCTTTTTTTATGATAATTTAGTTATTAATTAATTTTGAAGATAATTTATTGACAAACTTTGCGCTAGTGTGTAAAACTATCATTTTTCAAAGATTTTATACTAAATTAGACAAAAATATTAATATTTAATGTTAAAAACACTAAAAAACAGCCAATTTCACTTTTTTATTATAAATTAGTTAATAATAATTAATTTTGAAGTTAATTTATTGACAAATCTTGCCCTACTGCGTAAAACTCGGATTTTAAACAAAATTAGACAAAAATACCATTATTTCATGCTTAAAACACTAAAAAACTACAATTTTGTCTTTTTATGATAATTTACTTAATATTAATTAATTTTAAAGTTATTATATTGATAAAAGTTGCGCAAATGCTTAAAATTAATATTTTACACACTGAAAACTCATTTTTTTCTTAAAATTTCAAAGAATTTATTGAATTTATTTATATTGGTTTCTATGAAATATTTATTTATGGATTTTTTGTTATTGCTTGTTTACTATGAAGACTGAAATCTATTTTAATGATGATTTCGTGTGCATTCGCGCACGAGTCCACATCTCGTCACGAAAATCATCTCATTTCGTGCTCGCCGTGCTTTTTATAATTTATTTTTATTTTTGGACGCTGTTTTGAATTCGGACTCCTCTGGAGATGCTTTTTTTGTGCTCTAGACCAGGAGGTAGAATATATTTCAAGTTTTTATCTTGTAGCGTGTTCTAGCGAATAAATAAATTAATAATTGTAGTTTATTTATGATTGGGATTAATTTTTCAATCAAAACAGGAAGTATTTAGATATTTATTGTAATTATTTATTTATATAAAATTATTTCTCGGTAAAACTATAAAAAACTCGACTGATTTGTGAAATATTTGCATTTAAAATAACAATTGATAACAAGTGATATTTAAACATAATTTGAGATTATACAGGGTGTTTAGTGGGGGGAAAACTCCTATGTCGACAACCCGCAAAAAGTGGTGGGGGTTGATCTCGTGTAGAAGCTCCCGCGCGAGTTTCAGCAGAAAAAAGTTCTTAATTTGTGATAAAAACATAAATTTTACATAATCAATATTAATATTGATAATTTTTCACTCCTTGATTATAATTCGTGATTAATACATTTACGTCACATCAACGATAAACAAACAAAGCTGAAATTTATTTAAAAAAATGTATTCAACTATTCATTCGGCACACATGACAGAAAAGCAATTTAAATTAACATGCGCGCGTTGGCGTGGATTTATTGCCTTTTGCGTTGGATTTTACAACTTTATAGCAATCGTTGCGTTTATAACCGACGCATAAAAATCATTCAAGCATTCATACATTATGAAAACGTTAGTAAATCGTTAGGAAATCGTTTGTTTAAACGTGCGTGCTTTACTTTCTTTGTATCAGGAAATCAAAGCTAAGAATACGTGGGCATCAGAAGTTTAGGAAATGTTATTGAGATGCAGAGATCACACAAAGCAAAGCAAGAAAAGAAAAAAAAGGCAAGAGACTTTGTATTCAAAATTCTACGAATGCGTAGGATGCTGGACCATACTATAATACAGTAGGTGTCAATATATTCTTAGAATCACAGGCAGAAAATAAAATAAAACACATTGATATCTTATTTAGTGACACAATTGTATAAAGTACCTATAAATGCATCACATAACTTTTGTGAAATGTATCGTAACTGGTTGTTGCCTTGGCAACGAGGAAGTGTTACGTTTACAACAATAACAGAAAGGTGTGTAACATGAGGGGTCTGAAATGCATTCGTAAATGAATCGGAAGACGGGAAGCCAGCCATCTTGACAGTTTCGCAAGGGTGTTGGTCGTTGTTATCAAAGGGACGCTTCTAGTGCACATGATAGTGTTAGTTGTAGTGATAGTACTATTAGTGGCACTTACTCGTATAATGCAGCTGTAGTGAGACAAAATGACAGGTATTGTGTTTTTTTCAATGAGTAGTAGTAATTATAATGAATCTTATCATTTCACAATTTCTTTTAAAATATATTAAAATAATTGGAGTTTTGAGTGATTCATGGCATAAATTTAAATAATTATTACTTTTAGTGTGCTAAATTTTAATTTTATGTGACCATGTGATCAATGTCAACATTGTTATCATTTATTTAAAGTGAAGTGATAATAATTTTAATGCTGCTGGTATTTAGCGTAATTTATTTTGATTATCACATGGTTGAAGTTAGATTAACAAGCATGTGAGAATTGGAATTATAATTAGGTCGGAAAAATACTTAAAATTTAAAATTTAAAGGAAATTTTGTTCGTTTTTATTTAATTTTAATAGTATATTAAGTATGAAGTGGCTAAACCTGAGTTTTAGTCATGAGATTGATTAATAGCGAGAGTAGCAAATGTTTAATCATTCGAGTGTTTAATAATGTTTAGCCACGTGATGCTTACTGTATTTTTTCTACTTTCACTGAATTTCAACGTTTAGTTTTTGTATTTTAACTTTTTATTCCAAATTTCCGAAATTCGCACGTAAAATACGGGGAAATGCCAACCTGTGACTAAAACCCGTGACTAAAGTACTTTAGTCACGGCCTTCGTCATCCGTGTTTAAAGTAGCACTTTTTGTATCTAAAAACCAGCAAAAATCTGAAATAAAATTCATTTAAAAAGAAAAATTATTATTAAATTATTATTCTTAGTTTATTTGTTTTCCGCGTTTGCATTTTCAATGCCTTTCTATTTCACTCACCGCATATCAATTTCAACAATAGTTATTACTTTGTTTATAACGTTGCAAAATTCAATAAACCAGCTGTTTTCATGCATATTTATTTATCCTACCGTTTGTAGCGTTTATTGTTAGTGATATTACTGCGTGTAAAACGATTAATGATTGCACATTAGTGTTTTATTCGTATGTATGGATAATGCTAGAAACATTTATAGTTTTGCGCATATTTCAAGGGAAAACAATTAGCATTTGATACACTTTCATGCACACCTCACTGCAATTGTTTATTACTACATAAAAAGTGTTCTAAACACAATAATAATTAAAATTCTACATTTAAAAATAAATGTATCATTAATTTCCTTATTTGATACAAATTTCTTTACAAAACATTTTTTTTTTCAATGGAAAACATCTGTTTTAAATAAAATTAACAATATAAACGTTTTAAAGTGACTTAAGTACATTGCTTTGTAAGTTGCTTCAAAAGACATTCACCAGACTGTGAAGAATGAAGGATGAAGAATGAAGAACGCAGCAAATTAACCTTTTTGAGTGTTTCCTAATATTTATGCATGCTAATAATAAATCTCGACTCAAGATGCAATAGCTAGGTACTTAACTCACTTAAAAATCTGTCTGTAAAAGTCTTTGGTATAATTTACATTCTAAACTTACTTCTGACATTAAACAGTGTAAACTAGCCTCCGAAACATGCGCATATGACTAATGATTGATTATTGTGGTAACAATAGCTAGAAATTGGTTTGTTTTGTTGCTTTTGACTCGAAACTGACTAGACAATTGTATACGAGTCATGATTATATAAGTATGGCATTAATTTTCGATTATTCACTCAGATTTTAATGAGCTAGTATTCATTTCACAACAATAATACTAATATTAATTTAAAATTAAAATAAAACTAGTTAAATACATTTTTAGTTCATATTTTTATTAGAAGATGGCGCAACGTGTCTGATTCTTGAATATTTCTGGTGTTTTTATCTGTTTGGACACGAAAAACACGTGTCGAATGAACTAAACCAGCGCGTTATTGATTTACACATTTGTTTACATCATTTTGTGTTGTGTGTTGTAACATTTACGTACTTCCGGCTATGCTAATAATTTTGTCAGCGTCTGGTGTTCTACTTTTCGTTTTTTTTTTTTTGTTTAAAACGCTCGAATAAAGTTGTCACACGTGCGCTTTTGAAGTCTTAATTTGCCTACAACATTAAAATTGACGCACCTAGTTAATTGAGAGGTAATTACGCGATTACACGCTGATTTCTCAGCGCATTACATGTCGAAATTGTTCTCAACTTTTCGAAGCTGTAATTAATTTTTCAAACATGAAATTAAATTACTGCTTAGCTTGGTATATTAAATAACTCTTAATATAAGTTTTAGTGCCTATAGAAGCTGATATAACGAGTTATTTCTGTTCTAGTTCCTAGCGAAGTGAAAATGTATTTCTCATGAGTTGAAATGATTTACATTTTATATAGTTTTTTAAATCTCATTGTTGTATCTGTTATTTAATGAGAAATTTTAATTTACTTAACAATAGTAGTACTTAAAGTTGTGATTTGCGTTGAGAGACATTTGATAATTACATAATCGTCATAATTCTATTTTATTTCTATCAATTTATAATTTAATGTGTGACGTTAACGTTTTTTTTAGTTAATGAATGTTTCATTGATTTACGAGCACTGTTTGTACATTAAGCATTAAAATTTAAAAAGTTTGAAAGTAAAAGTCTCAATGGAATTTGGTTTTATATTTGTTGTTTTATGTTTTGCTATTTTTAAACCGTGATAAAATAATTTAATTCAAGTTTTTTTTTATTTAATATGAGAGAAACTTGAAAAGTACAACGAAAAATTGCAGTGATTATTGTTTTACTGCTTTTAAACTTGATTATAATTGATTGTAAAGTTATTGGCACTCGTCACGCAATCGTTGTTTTATTTAAACCTATCATTAGTAAAAATTTTGAGTTTAGAAAAAATTTATGACATCCTGTAATGTGGAACAACGTGTAATTAATTTTTGACGGTGGCATAAATACCAGATAATTACTGGGAGCGTATTACACATTTGTGTTTTGCATATTTCGTAATCAACGTGAATTTTAGAGAAAATTTTCGATATTTTTTGAGGTAATATTTTCTTCTGGGCAAGGTGAAGGTAATCAATCAAATCTTTGATGTATTATTCCGACGTGACCTTTATTATCAATCAATATTATGAATAGAATTTTGTTTATTTGAATTTTGCTTTATATTTATTAGAATATAATTTGAAATGTTTGGATAAATTAATATTTAATGTCGTATTTTTTACAACTAGCAAATATGGTGCATAAAACAAACGAAATGTAAACAATTGGCGATGCGGTTGATGAAATATAGCCAATTTGGTGTTTATCAGCGACATTTCATCGCATTTATTGGCTTTGCCGCCTTATCAAGCAATATATTACTGCCCAAATGCGTATTTGTGAAACACTCGACATGTCAAAATTGAAACAGTGTTTATTCACGTCATTTCGTTGCATCACAAAAATGTTTAGTTTTTCAAGTGCATAAAAGTTTTATTTTTATAAATTTATTTAAGTTTTAAGTAAATAACACGGAATTACTTTTAGATATTTAATAATTTCAAGTATTGAGAGTACTTAAATGATGAGATGATACAATTTTTTAATCTTCAAAGTGATTTTATGTGATTTATTAATTTTTTAATTTATTTTTATTAATTTTTCTTTGGTTTATAGAAAAGTTTTGGATGTTATGTTGATTGAATTAATATTATAATTAATTTGAGTAATAAAATCATGATTACAATCAATTTAGTAATATTTTTGACATTGTTAAGAATTAATTGCTAAGTAAATGCAGGTAATTATTGCAATTAATGATTAAATTATGAACAATTAACGAAATTACGAAAATCACACACTAGGCGTCTAATTGCTTGCGTAAATACGCGTACTCAATCAATTACTATTAATGACTATTTATTATACAGATATTAGATAACATAAGAATTAAAATTGGGAAAATAATGGAAGTCGTAAATAATTCATAATGAAAAAATGCAAATTTCCATTTTATCGATTTTTTTATTGCGAATATTTCGAAAACTAAAAGTGATAGAGTGAAACGGATTAAAGATTCTTAATCCATAGGAAATTCTCTATTTGATATCATATAACACGCATAAATTAGGAAAATTAGAGGGATCGAAAATAATTGATAACGAAAAAAATGCAAATTTTAATTTTTTTGATATTTTGATTGCGAATATCTCCAAAATTAAAAGTGATAAAAATGAACGGTTTGAAGATTCTGAATCTTCAAGAAATTCTCTATAAGATAACATTTAAAACACTTAAAATAGTTATTAAAAAAAATATGTAATTTAAATTTTTCTAACCTAGGCAACCAATTAACACATAAACTAAAACATTTTTATTTAATTCTAAAATTCCTATCTTTCGTAATTGATTTCTATATATTTTATCTATAAATTACTTGTGCAACAAATCTAAAACACCGTTCGTCCGCTCTTCTTCTTCGACAGTTTCCCAGTTTACAGCATTACATATTCTGTTAATCCTCGCCGTCGTGTTAAGCATAGTAATATCGGATAACGATAACTGTAAACTCGTGCCGAGTCTTCGCCCATTTACAAGCGCCTGCCTATAATCAGAATAATCTGATTTTAATTCGTTCATCGACGTCGAGATTTCCCATTAATTTATTGCCACTGAACTTGTGATCGTGTAAATGTATGCAATTATTAAGAGTTAAAAGTCGTGGGTTAATGAGGCGTGTCGTTGTCGGTAGCAGGAAGCCGCTTGGCTGTTAATTAACGCAGCGTTTGTACAAATTATTACAGAAAACTAAAACAAGTGCTCGTGTTTTGTAACTTGTTGTTGGGTTACGCCACCTGGTGTTGTTTATGTGAACTGAGAGTAATTTATGTTTTATTTTAGAAAATTACGCGTAACTTTTGCAGTTTTTGTGATAATTTGATGATTTTTTATGAAAAGTAAAGATAATTTAATTGTTTATCAGTGCAGTACAAGAAAATTTTGTTTTTATCACTAGAAGATCTGAAACTTAAGTTTTGAAATAAAAATTTCGAAAAAAAATAAAAATTTTTGCTTTAAAAGCTATTAATTAGTGAAAAACGGAGTTATGTGATGTTTCTAAAGCATGTTAAGTAGGCAAACAGAGTTTTACAGCTGTACTTATGGTTGCAGTGGCACATAACTTAAAATTAACTGCAGTTATACTAACTTACTTCTCATACACTTGATCCACTTGATTTAATCTTGATCGCACTCCGTTTTTCATTTTCCGTTTCTTCACACCACATAAAATACATAAATACATTATAAAAGCATTAAAATGTTAATATTTTAATGTATTTCACTGTAGGCAACCAGATTTACACATAATTCCGCATAGAAATGTAAATATTTGAACTGTAGCACCGTCAACGTTGAAGTTTCTAGTTCAAGTCGTTATTCACCATTGTCATAAACGGTGCTTTGACTTATGCTCGTAGACTTTAACATAATTACGGAAAAGTCGCGCATGCGCAAGATATGGCGAATTGAGAGCGCGGTTTTCTTGCAACCGCATGAATCACGTCTTTATTTCTATAGAGATGACTTTATTTTCGCCATGCAGTGCACATAAATACCATTTAACAGTTATTGGTCATTAAATTCGTGATAAAAATTAATTGTTAACGCAAATAAACAAATAAACGTCCCGCAGCATGAGGCGGAAGTAAAATATAACAAAACGACATATCTTGACATAGTTTTTAGTAGGTAATAATGTAAATTTCGTTGTCAAACATAATAATTCAAACAATGGGACATAAAATGACAAAAATATTAAAATTTTAACTGTTGCTTTGTTTGCTTTTGTTTAAAATATGTGGGCGTCGGTAGTGGGTCATTGTGACATCAATTTAAGATAATAATTATCACTACGAAGTCAAAAAACGTTGAACTTTCAACTTTTATAGCCATGATAACAATCCACGTGTAATTATTGTAATGTGAAAGATTTATGCACGTGTATCATGCATAATAAACAATTGATAATATTACTTTACTGCGAATTACGAATTAGAAATCATTGTTCATCGATGGAGCGCGCGCGCGCGCTAACGCAACGAGCGATTGTCGTGCGTTTTTCGTTACGCCTTAAATGGAAGATTGCAAAATTCGCAAACAACGCGAATGCAACAAACGAGGACGCTCCCAGCATTGTTTCACACGCAGACCTCACTCAATTGTGCTGTAATTACTTGCTTTTTCTTATTTTCTTATTTTTTCGCTTCATTTCATGCAAAAACGCCGTAAACAAGCGAAAAAACGATAGGTTAAGTTGTGATTATGATATAGGCAACCCATTTAACATATTTTTCTTTTTTTTACAGAAATTTTAATAAAATGGCTGCAATGACATCGTCCACACAACTTCCTTCCACATCAAAATCGAATTTCAACGATTCCACATCACTTTTGATTAATTTCGATGCATTAGAAGATGGTGATGATGAAGATTTGCAAACGCATGTTGAAGCACTCAATGTCTTACTGCAATTGGACCAAATATTGAATGATTGCCTGATGGAAGACGGTGAAGTGATGGATGATATGAACAGCACGACTAGTTTTATTCTGAACAACACCAGCGACGTCAGTCAAGCGTTCAGCGATGATTTCGTTCAATTCGATCGAAACGTTTGTTCCACATCCGGTCAGATGGCAACCCAAACAACACGAAGTCGTAGCAGTAGTTGTAGTACAAGTAGTCGTAGTAGAAGAAACTCAAAGTCTGATTCCGATCTAAGGTCAAGTTCAGGGAGTATACAATTGTCGATTGAGGAATGCCTAAATGATTTAGACGAATATTTAAGAAGTTTTGATGTGGAGTCTTTGGATTTGAGTAGTCATTTGAATGCGTTGGGCAAGCGTGAAAGCCTAACGACCTTAACGCGCTCGGCTTCTGATTGTCGTTCACGCTCCGCGGAGTTAATTAGAAACCACGCGTTGCGCGCGACAATCGCAGCGATTAAGCACAATGCGAGTCAAACGAGGCAGCGCGTGCAGACAAATGGCACACCTGGAGGAAGTGTCATCAACCCTCCTTTGATAGATACGAGTAACAAGCGGACGTCCGGTATTCCGGACGTGGTCATACCGATCGACTGGAACTGGCTGGAGGGTCAACGCCAGCAACCCGGTGTTGTGATTGACCACATGGCAACCAGCAACACTACAAGTTCTGGTTCCAGTGGAGGTGGTGGTGGCGAGCGGCACACGTGGGTCCGTACGTCGATGAGGCGTTTGGAACCGCTACGAATCAGTGATAACGTGAACGCGTCGACGATGCCACCGGACGGACCCACGCGGCCGATTAGTGCTCCATCGAGGATCACCGTGCAGAACCACGTGGCGCGGAGTAGATCCAGATCCAGAGAAGTCCGTGAAAATTTAACAAGTAGAGATAGAGCCAGGAGTAGTTCTGCATCATCACGAAGTCGTCGAGCGAGGAGTTTATCGAGTGTTTCCAGCCTCCCTTCGAGTATTGATAGTTCACCAAGTTGTACACCGATTCCTACCATTTCACATGGAGTTGCTAATAGTGTGCCGTCCTATGAGCAGACTGATGCCGAAAATTCAAATAACAACAATCGGTGAGTTGAATATTTTGTGTTTGTGCTTGTAATTTGTGTGCAAATTTTTTGTGGTCGATTATTTGCTCATTTGCATGTGAAGGTCAAGAAGGGCATGTACTACTGCCCTCTGTAACTCAAGTCATAACTATTTTTAGATTTAATTTACTCACTTGGTATTCGTAATAATAATTATTATAAATCTTTACTTTGGTGTTTAATGGTAATAAACGCTGATATGAAGTATTTTCCGATGACAATACAGATTGCTGGTAGTATTGTGGTGGTCAAGTGGATAGAATATTGATTGTGGCCCACACAGTCAGCGATAATGGCGAGTTTTTAATCCCCACTGACCGCGCTTGTAATTTCGGTCACGCAATGCGAACAAAAGCAAAAAAAAATGGTTTTATTTTATTATATATTGTGCGATGTGGCCAATAAAGGCCGAGGCATTGAAGGCGAACTTTCTTTTAACCCGCACGCGGTTATTTTTAAACTATTATCACGCCAGCGACGGTAATATGTAATTTTCCACACAGAGTCATGGATACGCAATCAGATGTCACTTCTGTCATGTTATTGTTAGAATTATTTTCTTTTCGAACGCGGCTGTAAGTTTCGTCGCGTGATTTTCTGCATGAAATTTTGCGAAATTTTTGTGTTTTTTTGAGATTGTATAAGTATTATGGCGGCTAAAAGCGGTTCCGGCGCGGGTGATATTCCTGATAAGGGTGTTACCCAAACACCCGGTATACAAAAAAATCATAGACAAATTCGAATAACGATTTCTAATTTAAATACGTCCGGGGGAGATACAGTTGTGGTTTCGGGGCCTAAGAAACCTCCGCCTGGGCCTCCTGCTCCGCCTGGAGGTGGAGATAAATCTAAGAAACCTGGTCAACCTGCTCAGCCTCCAAATAAACCTGGACCTCCTGGTCAGAAACCTCCTGCTCCTCCTAAGCCTCCTGGAAAACCTGGTCCACCTGCGCAGAAACCTGGAGTTCCTCCTAAACCTGGACAAAAACCTCCTCAACCTACACCTCCGCCTAAACCAGGACAGAAACCACCACCTACTCCTTCTGGTAAACCTCCTCCGAGACCTGCAACACCTCCTAAGCGACCAGGACAACCAGGAGGTCCAGGACCTCGTAAACCCGGGGATCCATGTCACGAACCTCCTAAGCCTGGGAAACCTGGACCTAAACCACCTGGACCTCCTAAACCTGGGCAACCAGGACCTCCTAAACCTGGGCAACCAGGACCTCCCAAACCAGGACAACCCGGGCCTAAACAACCTCCTATACCTGGACAACCTGGACCACCAGGACCAAAACAACCTCCTACACCTCCCAAACCTGGACAGCCTGGACCACCTGGACCCAAACAACCTCCTGCCCCTCCCAAACCAGGCCAACCAGGACCAAAACCTCAAACACCTCCCCAAAAACCCGGAAAATCCCCAAAAACCAAATCCAGACCTCACATACCAGGCACAATGCCAAAAGTCGGCATAAAACCAGGTTGCAAAGCAAACCAAGTTAAAACCTCCGGTCACTTCCGATCATTCTCCACATCACCCATGTCAGTCCTCCAACATTATCCCAAACCTCTCGTGAATGTCCCAATAAGTATGGTTTCATGTGGGGCATGTTCTGGTTTTCACATCCAGACCTTACTCAAACATTTCCTACCCTTGAAAACTTCCTACCAGGAAACAGCAAAAATGGCCGCAACTGTTTCCAAACCAGCCTCTAATTCATTTCGGGTATCTCCACTCTTAAAGGTATTTTTATTTTAACTTCTTTTTCACTCAGCGTTGTTTTCGAAATCGTGTGCTCATCGGTGTGCAGCGAGCTAGTAAATCATCTAAAAACACACAACACACAGATTGACAAAACGCCTGCGCGTCTGCAGAGATGCGTGTAATCGCGGTGTAATCTTAAACGCTTCGACAATTCGCTTGTTCTCTTTCCGCAGCTCTCCAGATGGTCGATGATTGTCGCTGGCATCCTGGTTGGCCTCGACCGTGCTCGGAAGCTTACTGCTAATAGACGTCTCGTCAATACTTGTGCAACTTCTATGGAAGAATAATGCGAAATTTTGATTTCATGCAGAAAATAATAAATTTTAGTTCATTTTAATTTGGTATTTTACTCCTAGGTGGCGTTAGTTGCGTTATTAAAACAATAGTTGCCATTTTTGACACTATAAACATGTTTTAATTTGATTATTCACTACTAGATGACGTTAGTTGCGTTATGATAATATTAGCAGCCATCTTGAAGGTGTTTCCTTATTATCTGTCGTATTTTTAATGAATACTTCCATAAATACATCCGCCATGTTGGTATACGGCTGTGCAAACATGTGCAAACGTGGAGAAATGCATATTATCAGAAACAAAGCGCGAGACTGCAGTGCAAACACGCAAATATCGTAAACATGCAAACACAGAAAAAAAAATGGCGATTATGCGCTCACCACCATCGTCGGGGCCGCCACAACGACACGTCGCGAATTGTCAACGAATATTGTTTTATTATTACTTTCCTGTTTACCGCTGTTTTACATTTGCATTTTGTGCGCAATCCGCACTCAGTCAACCTACGTGAAGGTGTTGTTTTTTAATTTTTTAACAATTGCTATCAGTACCTACGTGCTCATGTTGAATAATAATTATTCACCAACGATTTTTTGTTTTAAGCGCGTAGAGTGATAAAACCAAGATGTCAGCATGTTAAACGTGGTTATTAAGGAGTTGTGAACGTGATAATTAATATTTTGTGCGTTAATTAATTAATTAATTAGTTTATTAGTAGTAATAATTTATTTTTTGGTGCTTGAATTCATGAGGAGTGATTATCATGTAATACTCTTTAATTCGCCGTGACACGATATGAGATTAAGGGCTTAAAGTGATATTGTTTTTATTATCCGGCATCATATACGGTTCGGAACATCGAGGCTTAGATAGCCTGTATTTTGCATTCAGTTCAGAAGTCTCTATGCGGCATCCACTACAGAATTTCAGTTTTTCTTCACGTGGAGAACGCACGAGGGTTGAAGATAATGACAGTGATAGTGAAACAAGGTATGAGAAAAAATTTCTACACGTGTTAATATTAAATTATATAACATCCAGAGTGTGAAAAATATAAAAACGGCGAGAAATCGTAAAAAAGTTATTAAGTCAAGTAATAACCTTTGATTTTATGATTTTTTTCACTCCGTCGTTAAACTTATAAAATATTCATGCGTAATTATCATAAAATAACTGTAATGTCGCTGTGTATTTTCCATACATTGTGCATTATTGATTGAAATAATTACAAACTAAATGATTCATTTTTTCACTGACTTTTTAGCTTAGAACAAACATTAACCTTAATAAATTATTATTGCGACTTGTGAATATGAATAGGACTTTTGTTGGTAACAAAAGCGAAAGGCGTGAAAAGAAAATCACAATTTCGCAAAGTGCGAATATCGATTTTGACAACAATAAATGAGGTTAAAGTTGACTTTATGCAACCAAATCAACACGTCTTTCACTGAGTAAAAAAGTAAAAACTGGGTCGGTTACAACCAAACACGCGTGTTAGAAGTGTTCATGTGTAAAACATTAATCAACACGCTTCGATAAGAATTAAAATCGTTATAATAACTTAATCGATGCTTATGCAACCCACAATGATGATAATTCCCTTCAAGGTAAAAAACGCGTTTGGTAATTTTGCCGAAAATTATTGCATTGCAGGACGATTACGATATATATCTAATTGAATATGAATTATAAAATCTATTGCTAAATAACTAAATATTTTTAACTTAACAACAAAACAAAGCAAAAGTTCTGTTTCCAGTGTTGGATGTTCACGACGTGTAAAATTAGACACAAAAAATTATTTTTAACAAAATTTTCAAAGTGCTGGCCTTTGGAGTTGCTGCGCTACTTGGTACTGTACTTATAGGTCACTAAACTCTTACTTAAAGTTAAATTCTGAAACATAACGGTTGCCAGTTCTAATACAGACCGTGTTTAATTCATATTCCAGCAAAAAAGTGACTTAAGTCATGCATTGAGTGTGAAAAAGTCAAAGTGTTATTATTATAATAATGATCTATGATCAGAAATAATTTTATTATGGATGGAATATGAGTAATCTTTATTTTTATGTGATTTTCTTTTATGCTTCCTTCTGGGCATGCTGTGTTGTTGTACGCATCATCATTCGTCATCGTTTACCGGTTGCGTTCATGAGTTCGTCATGTCCGTTTCTTATCTCGTCTCTTGTCTTGCACTTGCGCGCTGCTTCTTTCTTCGCCGTTGCGCGCGTTTCTTTGTGTCCGATGTTGAGTTGAGTTTACTCAAGTTTAAGTCAAGTCTGCGCGCGTTCGCTTCGTTTCGCTTCACACAATCGCTTTGCGAAGACTTTACCGACACCACCGTGAAGAGATGTTAAAGTTAACTTAAACTTAAGTTAATGTTAACTTATGCGTGGTGTGTTGTGCGAATGCGCGACTTACTTAAGTCAAGCGCGACTTACAACTACCTGTAGAAGTGTGGAGTGTGGAGTTTACCGGTGGTGGAGTTGGTTTCTTGTAACTCTTCAGTCAGTGAGTTTTAGGTCGGCGTGCGGACAACATCCGCGATACTTTTCACACAAAATTTATAAAAACAATGTAAAACATCAAATAATTCAATAATTCAACAGAGAACTTGTTATTTATTACGATGTTGTGCAATAATCATAACTTTAATGACTCAGAGCAAGTACAAAGTGTTTTAAGTGGATTAAAGAACAATAACAATAATCGAAAGTGCAAGTATTGTGTTCAATAGCTTAGAATAATTATTTATTTGTAAATTAGCACTTAAAACTAATATTTATTCGAAAAAAAGTGAAAATTCAAGTGTGAAGAAAGTGAATCGAGTGATTTTTGGACATAATATTTGTGAATGAAAGTTGAAAGTGAATTATTTATTACAATTATGATCGATAACGTTCGCTTAGGATTTTTTTGTTGTCGCAGGTCAGTTTATTTAATATTCTATTTATGTCTCAGGTACTTAAAGTTCAATTGATTAGTGATTATTGTTGTCTATTGCACTTGCGAAACATGAATTCGTGTTTTGTTGTTTTTACAGTTAACTGTACGGACAACTTAAAGTTAATTCTTTAATTGGTATAACGTTTTCAACAACTGTTAAAACTCCTAGAAGCGATATACTCACAAATCTAACCTAGAAACTATTCCCATCGAGAAATATTCTCGTAAAGTTGGTTGTCTATGTGAAATAAAACAAAAATGCGCATAAATAAGTGTTTAATCAGTAATTTATGGTGAAACAATGTAGCGTTTCGTCAATATGATCAAGATAACAGACGAATAAACACTTCGACAGTGTTTGATAAGACTGCGGTGTGGTTAACAAGCAAAAAAACACGTATTAACAACGCGTAAATATTGAGACATCGAGTAGTCTAACAATGTTTTGTTCAATTTGTTTATCAGTCGCATGTTTTTCACTTTATAAGCATGCATAAATAATTTTCTGCACGCTTGAAATTGTCGCAGGTGTGACCGAAAAAGTACCGGAAGTCGTCAAGCTCGACCGCCATTGTGTTCGCATTCAAACCCAACATTGTTCGATTCATGTACGGCGAACAATGAGGAAAAAGTACTTGTAGAAATAGTAATAATGAAAAATAAAAAAGCGTGTGTACATGTGGACATAAATGGCAATCGAATTTGAAAGACGTCGAGATGAAGCAACACGAATGGAAGAAACTAATGAGCATAATAGCACACGTTGTTATTATTGCACAGTTAGCCCATCTTTTGCCGTATCTCGTTATGGGCTAACGGTGATTTCGAAAAAAAATTATTTGATCATGACTTGACTTATTTGACTATAATCATATAATAGATTTCATTTGAGTAGCAGTTGCAGAATCACAATGAAATCAAAAGCAAACTAATAACAATATAAATATTGAAGTATTAATCATAAAAAGTAAAATTTGTTTAGGCTAGGCAACACCCAATACACATTTAAACTTATGTAAATATATTCATGTTTTCTTTAAGTTAAAATGATTTTGTACAATTTTACTCAACAAAAAATGTAAATAATGACAATTAACACCGAAACAAAGAAGTATTTAAGCATAATTACACCGTTTAAGGTTAACTTCTAAGTCAAATGGTCAAAGTTTGACTTAAGTTAAGAAAAAAGAAAGTTTTTGTGTTTCCACAGCGGAAAAACAAAAGATTCACTTCCCGTTTTCAATAGAAAATTAAAAATCTATTGTTAAACTTGTAGCATTCTATGTTACTGGCCTGAAATGCTCGAAATAATTGGAATGGCGGTTATGACGAGTGAAGAAACTGCATTGCAACATCTCCACAGCACACAGCGTCTGGTTGTTGCTCGCAAGACCTGCAAATCAAGCATGTATGCATTTGCAACAGTTTCGGCTTTGGTGGTTTCACTTGCACAACATCGAATTGACTCTATGCCACTACAATTATTATGATTACGCATAATTGAAATTGTATCGTGTATCGTGTATCAATAACCCGGCCAATTGCCGCAATTTATTTGATCCAATTTATTTCGATAAATGTGCGTAATTAAAGCAATATTGAACTTCAATGCGCAAATCTTACACAATCTAACCTAAAATAGGTATAAATAGGTGCATAAATAGGTTATGTTTTGTTTTAGATGCAACATAACCTTGAAATGTGTTGTATATGTTATAAACCGATCAATTTCACTTGAAATGACTGGTTTTTATTAAACGGGCAGAAATGAGTGCAACTTGAATAAATGACATGTTCTTAAACTAGGTTGTCGTTTGTAGTTTTGAGTAGGTCGAAGCAAACAAGTTGATCATATCATTATCAAGTCTTGCGCGCTTATACACGATGTCTTTCCACGCGCGTATCATTACTGAAAATTGTTGTGGAAAACTTAAACACGCGATTTTCCGTGTTTGGTGTTAATGTCAGTTTTACGTTTTTAACTTTCATTTCTTTTGTTTTTACTTTTTCTTTATACAATTATGATTAATGTTTATGTTTTGTTACAGGACATGCGACAGATCTCAAAGAAACGACATGCCGGAAGTGGAAAGTCCACTAGGACAATGGCCACACAGCATGAGTTCGACATTAGCCTATTTGGGTTGTACACTGGGAATATTTAACATTTCACGATTCGCCATCCTGTCGGTACATTTTGGCGCCAACTTCATCTTCCAGTTCCTTATCATCTCTGTGTGTATCGGTATTCCGTTGTTCACGCTGTATCAGTGTCTGGGACAGCAATTAGCCGCTGGTGTGATTGATATGTGGCGTATTTCACCGATGTTTCAAGGCGTTGGAGTGTCATTACTCTTCTTCCAAGTACTCACTGGGCTTTACAGCATTGTGGGCATTTCATGGATGTTTGTGTACTTCCGGGATGCGTTCGTTACGAAATTCGAACGCTATCGATGGGCTGAACCTTTTATATACTATCGAAACGGTTAGTTAAATATATTTTGTTTGTTTTTATTTATTTTTATTTAATTTTTATTTTTTAATTTAGAAATTCAACTTCCTATAAATGGATCTTACAAGTTATCAGAAACAATCCCGGATTACCTCTCCGGAGTAGTATTTCAACGTCATCATCTAGTTTCCGGAAATGCCTACGGAACGATCAAGTTTCAGCCAGCGTTCAACTTGGCTGTTGTCTGGATGATTGTTTTCGTTTCGTTGAGTAAAGGTTTGAGATCGTATGGGAAAGTTATCTACGTCTTCACTCTGATGCCTATTTTTGGCATGGTTATACTTTGTACCAAACTTTTGGGTCTTATGCCCACGGATGCTGTAAACAACATCTTTCCGGAGACTTCATGGAATGAATTTTTTATCAACTCCAGAGTAAGTTATTGCGTTTTGTTGTACCGGATGTTTTTATTGTTATGTGTTGTGATTTAGAGTTGGATGGCAGCCTGTCAGGAAGCATTCCTTACCTGGGGAGTGCTGGGCGCTGCTGTGATGCAGATTGCTTCGCACAATAAAAACAAGAAGCTGCTGCAGCGTGATTCTAGTCTCATTTCCTTCATCACAATCACCGTTCTGGTGCTGGCTGCGTTTTTGGCCAACACTTGTGTTCACATACTAAAAATGCACGGGTATATCTATCAACCGGATTCATTTGGTAAGTACAAGCATTAAACTTCCGCCATTTTGTCATAAATTTTATTTTTTTGATTGAAAAGAGCAGTTTTATGTTAAATCATAATTTGTGATGGAATTTTCTTTGCTTTTATGCATATTTATCTACTTTAGAACATTATATCACAATTTTTGTATTTTAATAATGTTTTAAGCTTAAAATAAGTTGAATTTGATTTGATTTACTCTTGTCACGTGCCTATAACTGTTCTATTCAATTCTCTGTCCTTAATTTAGCTTTGATTGAGTTTCATTAATCTTTTTATAGAAAAACTCTCAACCTACACCTTCCTGCGTCACGTCAGTGAACCCCTGCCAGCCAGCATGGCCGCAACACCTGTCAGATACATGCATCACCATTCATTTATTCTCGGCGATCGAGTTACGCGTCCCGGAATCGATCCGGCGACGGAAAGCGGCTATCAAGTAAGAAGCCACAAACAATTTTATGATTTATATTTCTACATGCTATTTCTTTTCAATCTAGGTACTACGTTTTGCTACCGAATTAATCCCAACCACATTCTCACTCCTTGGCACCGAAAAAGTGTCTCCATTTTGGACTGTCCTCTTTTATTTCGTCCTAATCCTCTTCGGTATCGCACAACAATTAGCAATTTGGCATTGCGTCATCACAGGAATAATGGCAATCAAAGCGAAACTCCTCAAATCATGGGAAACGACAATCACGTTCTTCAGTTGCGCTTGTGGATTTCTTCTGGGTCTTCCAATGACCACAGAATATGGCATTTACGTTGTGTATTTCTTAGATATGACAGTTGGGGGTATTTGGTGGGTGATTGTTGTGATTTTATTACAAATCATCGCCGTTTTTATGGTGCGTGGGCGTCCGTACAGCGGTGACATGTTGGTCACAGCACTTTTCCGGAAAAACGGACCTGGACAATGGGTATCATTACCTGTCATATTATCATTTATATGGAATGTTGTTCTTCCGGTTGTATTAATGGTAAGTTGTTTAGTAAAGGTTTTGCGTGTTTGTATTTTAATATTAAAAATTTAGGTTTGGTGTATAACCTTCTTCAAAAACGGCAACTTCCGGGAACTGTTCATATGGCATCATGGCCCCTCCTTGGAATACTGGCCATTGTGGGCCAGGCAGGTCGGGTCACTTATTCAACTGCTACCTGTGCTCGGGGTGCCTTTCATCGCTGTCATTCAAAGTTATCGATATCTGAACAACGGCCCCAATGATATTCTAGAGGTTAGTGACTTAAATAATTTTGTTTGCACGCGTTCTACTTTCGTGGAACTTTTATTTCTTTATACACTTTTTATGGGTTTTAGTACCAACTAAATCATTATTTTTATTTCCTCCTGCATGCTACTCTGTTTGAATGAATTCTCTTTGAACTAATATTTCGATTAATATTAATAACATGATATATATTCTTGCTCACTTGAAGGATTACGAGACAACTGACTACGTTAGTATCTTATACTTAAGTGGTATTGGTTCATTGTTTAATAAATCATGGTTTAATTAATCTATAGTTGCAGCTTGCGAGCGATGCAAGTGTGTAGGTAAAATGTTGTTGTGCACGACGCACGCGAAAATAGAAATGTTGATTAAATATGTCTTGCGTTAATGGAAAAATGTGGTAAAGTGTAGAAATCAATGGAAACAAATTAGTAAAATGTCGTGCGTGATACAAGTAGTGGCATATAATATAAACACAGGGTGTTTAGAAACAAATTACAAAATTTTCATCAAAATTTATTCGTTTTTCTTTCGTTTCAGATCGTTATATGTAACTATAACCGATATCAGACTTGATTTATTAAATTTTAAAATTCTGTTATGTGACTATAGATTAATTGAACGCAAGACTAAAACAAAAACAAAACCAAGAATCGATTCATGTGTAGTTTTAACTCATTAGCATCCACTCTAACCGAATGTAATTTGTTTCTCCCTCAACCAGCGCATTCAGTTATTGTACAGACCGCCACTTGGTGAGCACATGGATGATCTTGCAATCCAGGAGGCGGCTGCTGCCTCAATGAACAACAATACCAACACAACTAATACAGTCTCAGAGGACCCACCACCGAAATATACACCACCTCCAAGTTATACCACTGCAACAGGCGCGCGTATTGCTAAATTATTAAGACAGAGTTTTCGACGAAGCGTGCGACGCATTGCTAATGTCTTAGGAGAAGCAAGCGGTACACGAAATCGTACTCAGACAGATTCAGGTGCGCAAACAACTCAACCACCTCCACCAGATTATCACGACGTGCTTGTTGAGATGCATCAAAATCGAGATGTTGCTGTTAATATCCCTGAAACACGAGATAGAATGATACAACGTGAACTGGCGACGATTGCCACCTCCAGCACGGGATTAACCGCCGCCGATGTGGCGTGTATCTTAAGGAGTAGTTTTCGTAGAAGTACAGTGCGTACACTACGAAGAGATGCTCAGGCTGACACGACAATGGCGTCGCTGAGTGCGGAGAATCTGGTGGATTCAGCGGCGCCCATCGGCGAGACGTCGTTGGTACTGCACAGTACCAACAATGATAAAGACGAATCGACTGTGATATAGGCATTTAAGTAGCTTAGTTATTTAACGTTTTGTAGCTAGCGACATGTTTTCGTTGTAGTTAACTTCCCGTTGTACAAGGTATTTTCCTACTTTTTAAATTAACCAAATACGAGTTAGTTAACACCAACTAATCAACATATTAATGGTGATTCCACATCAAACGAATGAATTAACAAAATTATTCACAGAAAAAAAAACGTATGAATTATGAATGGAATTTTTGGTTGTGTATATAATTAAAGAACTGATTTTATAATACATAAGTAATGTGTGTTGAACTCGGTTGCGTTTCACTTTTCATTCACTGCGGTATCATCTCAACTTGTTTGCTTCAATCGCGACGTTTATCAAATCATTTCCTAGAAAGAAGTCAGTTGCTACAATGTTCACATCTTTCAACCAATCTTCTCGGAACCACGTGGTCAGGTATCTGTTGACATCATCCGCCATTTTGCGGAGACTGTTTGTGCGGAAGATAATATCAAGCGGTTTTGGTGTTAGTTCAGCCATGATTGCCCACATTGGGTTGAATATTGTATTGTGACTTTTTATCGATGACGAAACAAATGCTTTCAAGTCACCAACATTGGATTTATCTCCCCAGTGTTGTTGTAAGGGATTCCAGAGCCATGAATATTCTCGGGCGATTTCTCTCTGGCCATAGCAGATTATAAGCGTTTTGTTTTGATGCCATATTTCATTCATGGTTGGACCTTTCCCTGCTTGTAATCCTCCGGGTGGTAGTGCTAAATGTCCTAGTTCTCTTTGAATAACACTAACCAATCGGCGGTGTATATCTGCATCGGGTTTTGATGGGTATGGGAATCTGTGAAAGTCCAAAACCACAACTTCTCTTGGTGCTAACTCCATAAATTTTCTGATTTCTTGTAGAATAGGTATGAGTTTACCAATTCTCACAAGATCATGATTTATAAAAAACCTAAAATAATATTAACAACAATTTATGATTAAGATAAAAAGAAATCATAAAAATGATTACCCTTCATCTAGATAGTATCCAACTCGTAGATCAATGTACCTAATACCAAAAACCAACTGTGTCCAAACACTCCGATCTTGATTAATGAGGTAGTTCTCAAAGAAGAGCTTGTAGTTCCCTGAGTAGGCTCCTGAATTATGTGTGCCTGGTATGAATAGATTACCTATTCGTTGATCTTTAATTTGATCCCTAACAAAAAGCATTTAAGTTTGCTGAATTGAAGATTTGAAGTGCAAGTGAAATTAATTAGGTACACGTGTGAAAAATACCTTTGTGTTTATACCTAATATCGTTCATCCACGTGGGATTAATGCTGAGGCAGTTGGTGTCAATGATGTCCGAACCACGGAAAGCGGCGATCCAATACGGGAAGCACTTCCGGCCAGTGTCCACCAGAGACATATTGGGTTGATACTCCCAGTTACCTGGTAACCATGGATGACCAAATCGCAGTTTGGTACGATAGAAACCTTCCGGGTAATAATTGGCATTGATGAGGACTTTGGGTGGCGCTTCCTCCTGTTATCCAGGTGTAATTATTTAAAAATGTGGGAGTATTTAGTTTATGATTGGTTATAATGCAATAGAATGCGTTTTATGTGCATTTCAAACCAGTAAAAGAAAAATTCAATTAACTGTTAAGTGAGTGGTCAACTAGGCCAAGTTCTTCAGATGCTCGCGGGCGCATTAACTCGACTAACTGCATCTAATCAGCGGTAAGTAGTACGTTTGTAAATGCACAAACAAACGCAAGCGTTAAAAGTTTTTCCCCAGTTGTCTAATCACGTTGTTAATCTTTGCATCATTAATTTATTAAGGACGCGGCCGTAATTTGCTGAAACTTACGTTTCTATCACGAGGGTTATAGTCAAAGAGACCGATGTAGTCGGGTTTAATATCACGTGCTTTGTCGCATTTTGATATCCAGTTCATTTCCAGATACGTGTCCTTCAGTGAAGAGACGGTTAAGTGCACCTTACCGCATTTTCTAGTACCTGTAGCAAAGAAGAACATCATTTAACGCATTAAACAAGGTCATTTTAATGCTACGCACGCGCGAAAATTTTATCTACAGTTATATTTGCTTAAAGTCTGTATGCACGCGATTAAGAGTCAATATTTTACGACCTAAAAGTTATCTAAATATATTTATATATTCGCGAACAAAAAAAAATCACCATCGGCGATAACCGTTAATTCTATGAACTAATTTTGTTAACAAAGCGCGTATATTGCATTACTCATTGTGTAATTAACGCCACCAGGAAGTTTACCTCATTTCTGACATGAGAGAAATCACTTTTTGCATTCAGAGACCTCGAAGCGAATTGAATGATTCAACTAATTAGGTTGTTGTTACCACAAGTTCAAAATAAAAACATTTATTAATTGTTAAGTAAAATGTGCTGATGACACATTCATACACTTTATATCAGATTTATAGTGTAAATAATAAACAAACGCAGTAAACAAAACAAACAATACTACAACACGTATTGAAGATAATAATAAATGTAATTTCGGCATGTCACCGGCCGCTGTGAGAGCGTAGAGTGAGAATCAAGATGGTGTCACAGATTGCTGCGTTCGCCTTGAATAGAAGCGATTAATACGGAAACGACCATCTCAATTCATCTCTGCTCTATTCTTTTATTTCATCGTGACGTACGAAAACATCGAAATACTTACTTAAAGTAGGATTCGGTAATCCTTTCGCGCAATCTTTACCTATCAACACTGCATTGACGAAGATAAACAATGTCCAACTAAGATTCATAATTAAAACCCTGCGGACCGCACACAGAATCACAAAAATCTGTCCGCGCACAAAACACAGCACCAGAAAGTTGAAAATTTCAGGTATTATTTTAAATTTGTTAATTTCTGGTTTATCTTATCGCTCAGCATGATGGTTATCATTGTGTGTTGGTTGTTTTTTTCGAGCGTAATTTGTAGTGCGCGTCTCTTGCGCTTTATTCGCTCGTTAGCGCAACACTGCTGCTTGTGCTTCCGACGCTCAATAGCCAGCGCCGACCCGGGGCAGGACGATCGGAATTGGCAGCGTCACACGCCGCCGACTTCGCCGACATGAAGCTCGTGAATCATTTTAATCCATCATGCCATCGTCAACATTATCATGCAAATTAGACTTGAGCGCGGCCACTGAGCTGGATGATATTTCAAAGGCACCGAACTTGTATCGCATTCGATTTGTTTCCGATCACGCGATTATTGAAATTAAGTCGTTATTATATCATACATCACTTGCATACATATACACTTGCAAAGTGTACTTAATTTGTTCTGAAAGTTTTGGAGTAGCCCTCGTATTATTTATATCTACAAAAGCTAAGTGAGTGTTAAGTAGGCAACACACATTGCAGATTAAGATGAAATATATTTCTTGTTATAGTTTACAATAAGACTGAATTAACAGCAATGTTGGGAATATTTTTAACAGTTTTACGCAGTTCATTTACTTCACAGCAATAGCCGTATCCTTGTACAAGGTCAGTGCGGTTCCATGTGATGCTAAATGTTAATTGATTGCAGACATCTGTGCATAGCACATCTTCGGAAACAGCTTTGTTGTAAGGATTGTTGAGACCAACGAGAGCTATACCTGCTTTGGTCCTACGATCATAAACCACTTTCCAATATAATCTCGGTACAGGTATAGCTTGTTTTCCATTCTCGCTGTACAGATACACTTCCGTTTGTTTTCCGGAAGTTGCATGTGGTAAGTCATCACACCATGAGTTCCGGTATAGACTTCAAGATCTAAATCTCTATCGCTTGCCAGTTGACGTACACTTTGCTCTACTTCGTTCCAATTTCCACCATTAAATGTCTGCCATTGCGGTGCTGCATTAACATAGAAGAACGTAGCATTATGTTGGTTACCATAAACAAAATCAGCTTTTGCGGTGAGATGTCCACGACTCAGGTAGTAATCTCCATTACCAATGTACATTTTAGAGTTTTGTGCGAGTCCTAGTTGTTTATTAACGTTGATACGTTGCACGTAATTTGTGTATAAACTATTTACTTTATGATTACCCACGTTGTAGAAGTTTCCATCTTCAAATTCCGGTCGTGGTGTGCTGTACTGACTTCCTTTAATCAGTCTGGTGAGGTTGTATGCGGAATAGGCAGCGTTTTGTTTTGTCGAATCGAAACAAACTGTGATTTCTCGTAGGAATGTTGCAGAACTTACCTGGAAACCAATTTCTATTTCTTTGAATCCGCTGAGACATGATTTTCCTGTGTAGCGTGCGATGTGTCCGGGTTGAGAACATTTGAATTGTGATAATGTGCCTGTTGCTTTGCTGCTTATCACTTCAAAAACTTTTCCGCTTCCTGTGCATCGTACCGGAACAATAGATTGACCAGTATTTCCTCCGTTGAAGATAACTTTACCATTGGGACAGGATAAGTTGATAATGTCGTTCTCATTGAATGCAATATCGCCGTATCTGTTTTTAGGTAGATAGTAGGCATCGTTGGTGGTGCGTGCGACTTGGAATTGGCGTAGGAGTAATGGCGACGCTGATGAGAGGTCCTTCTGGATGGAGATTGTACACGTGCGTTGTGCGGTTGCTGTTGCCAGCAGGCACAGAGACACAAGGGAAAAACACCACATCGTGTTAACGTTACGCAAATGTTAGTAGATACGTGTGTGATCAGCTGAAATGCTTATATATGCTATATGAGGTGTTGTTATCATTTGTTTCACCTATCATTTGTCACTGTGTTCTAGGTGATAAATAAAATTACGCCACACATACAAGTATGGTGATGTACTAACTCATGTATTGTTGTTAGGTAGACCTTGGAGTGATTTTCAAATAAATCACTTTTACAGATAAATTTAACAAAAACAATCAATTTAGGTGATCGATGGATTTTAATTGATAGATATTTGAAGCTATTACTCCCAATGTTTGTAAAGTGTGTATGTGGAAATGTTTCAGGTTTCTTTGTTTAAAAATGGGATGATTATTCGGATTTGTTGATATGGTGATTTAATTTAATGTAATATATTTGATTAAATTCGTCTTTGCTTTAATTTCTTTCATGTATGTAATAGATTTGCAATACATTTTTAAATTATTTTAAGTGTATATTGTTTTATCAATTTGAGACACTTGGGATGCAGGCGTCTACCTGCGGTTGTTTATAAACAAGTTTTTATATCGCTTTTGCAACGCGTACACATCACGCCATCGCGCTTAGCTTCAGTTGCGATTGTACTGTCGTGCGGTTTGGTGTCTGTCTTTGCAATATTTAATTTAATTTTATTCGGTAAATCGCGTTCGATTTGTTTGGCCATAGACGTATTCACTAATAAATGGGGTGTATTGAGTAGAAGTGCTGAATAAATGGAAGTGAAATAAATGAAAATGTACGTAGCTGAATTACGAGTACGTCTTTTACTCATTTGTGTACAATGTGTGTCCAATGTTTGTGTCTAAGTTAGGTGTTATGGGTGTATCGGCATTTTTGATTATTGTGGTTCAGACGACACATCGACGGATACACCTAACCATAAACCAGTTGAAGAAGGTATGAAAAACTATAACTATAACATTTTCTGATCAAGGATTTAGTTTTATTTGTTAGAAGATTTATTTCTAACCACGTTTTAAATTAAAAGCGATAACAAGCAACCAATTGCTGATTATGAAAGATTGGAAAATTCTCTATTAGATAAAAACATAATTATATTTCTTAAAGTAAAATGTCAAAAAACGCGACTGAAAGTACTAAAAAGTGACTTTTTCAATTTTTGCCGCTGCCCTCGTACGGTGCCCTGAATGGGAGTCACTTTTACCGCTAGCCTCATACGGTTCCTTGAATGGGAGTCACTTCTGCCGCTACCCTCATACGGTGCCCTGAATCGAGTCACTTTTACCGCTAGCCTCGTAAGGTATCCTGAATCGAGTCACTTTTACCGCTACCCTCGTACGATGCCCTGAATGGGAGTCATTTTTATCGTCACCCGCGTCACGTGAAGATTATAGAATTTCCAAAAATTCTTTATAGAACAGGATAATGAAATATATTAATTACGTGAAGTAAAAGTTCAATAATAGTTGTTAAAGGAGCTAATATAAGAGATTTGCCTTGTTGTTCCCAGATTTTTCAATTGCAATTATCTCCTAAACTGCCTTTCAATTTTGACTGTATTCAATTCTGGATTTTAGGATACATTGTTAATGTGAATAAGAGGGTGGGTACGTTCAGAATATAAAATCTATCCATTGCATTGGACTGTATCCACAACATGAATTGTTTATACTCGTAGTTCGCACTCTTGGCTCTTATTGATGTTAGTGCACAAACAACTTGTTTTTGTTGCGTTGCAGCGCATCCAATGCGCTCAGCAGTGTTTGTTCCATTTCTTACTTAGTCGATCGTGCGCTGCGGCGTAGTGTGCACGCGTTTACTTGCGCGGCGGTCTTCGTGGGACATATCGAGTTTCCTGTGATTTTAAGTCGGTAGTTGAATTACAATGAGTCACCAAAGATAAGATTTAGAATTAACAGACAAGTGTGGCCTATAGTTAATGAGTTATCGCACGTGGAACCAAGAATTTCGTGGTTTTACAACGTACGCACCACGTGTTTTCTGTCGGCCGTCGGATATCTTCCTTCGGCTAAGAAATACTCAGGCTTGTTTCGTGTATCCATTTAATTATTAATTTGAATGAACATCATTTGTGCATCGTATGGAATATTTCATCTGCGAAAACGTAAAACAGTATGTAACATAAAAACTATATTCTATTACAATTCGACGAATTAAACAGTCCAATGTGGATTTATCACCTTATAAGTAAAAAAGATCAGAAAAATTAGTTAACACTTTAATACATAGCATAGTCGTCACATGGTTGCATATAATAACATTTGTAATACAAGAATGGAATATTGTCGCGTTCCGTCAGCTGTGTATTCACTCCCGATAGATTCCGTTTTTTTTTTGTGCCTGATTGCTGCTGTATTCCTCAGGTGCAAATTTTAAATCTGTATCTCCCAGTATTGAAATTTATTGCAAGAAAATTCCGTGACGCGAGTTAAATTATGAGCTGTAGTATATACGCACTAGTACTCGTTGCGCTAGGAATTGTAGTTTTTATGATATAACACGCGAACGCGGTGTCAAAATTAGTTTGAAATAATTTTTCCAAGTACAGAATCTAATTCTATATCACCCTGTATTAAAATTTATTGCAAGAAAATTCAGCGGGGCGTCAAAAGGTGCGGAATTAAATTCTTCGTCGGGTGGTAATAGTTTGTTGCAGAAACTCCCCCTGTAACCCGCGAAAATTTGCATAAAACTGTAATTTTTCAATGTTTTTTTGGGTTTGCTCGCGGTCTAAGCGTCTCACCAACTTCAGCGCAGCGTCAAAAGATGCGGAATTAAATTCTTCGTCGGGTGGTAATAGTTTGTTGCAGAAACTCCCCCTGTAACCCGCGAAAATTTGCATAAAACTGTAATATTTTGTTGTTTTTTGGGGTTTGCGCGCGATCTAGGCGTCTCACCAATTTCAGCGCGGCGTCAAAAGATGCGGAATTATATTCTTCGTCGGGTGGTAATAGTTTGTTGCAGAAACTCTCCCTGTAACCCGCGAAAATTTGCATAAAACTGTAATTTTCTGTTGTTTTTTCGGGTTTGCGCACGATCTGGGCGTCTCACCAACTTCAGCACGGATGTAGGAGATGCGGAACGCGGTGTCACAATTAGTTTGAAATAATTTTCCCAGGTGCAGAATTTAATCCTGTATCTCCTAGTATCAAAATGTTTTGCAAGAAAATTCCGTGACGCAAGTTATATTGAAAGTTGTGTGTGTGTACCGTAGTACTCGTTGCGCTAGGAGTTGTAGTTTTTTTTAGTAGATCATATAATTCTGGATTTTAGGATACATTGTTAATGTGAATAAGAGAGTACGTTCAGAATATAAAATCTTTCCATTGTATTGAACTGTATCCACAATATGAATTGTTTATACTCCTAGTTCGCACTCTTGTCTCTTATCGGTGTTAGTGCACAAACAACTTGTTTTTATTGCGTTGCAGCGCATCCGATGCGCTCAGCAGTGTTTGTGCCATTTCTTACTTAGTCGATCGTGCACTGCGGCGTAGTGTGCACGCGTTTACTTGCGCAGCGGTCTTCATGGCGACTTATCGCGTTTCTTGTGATTTTAAGTTGGTAGTTGAATTACAATCAGTCACCACAGATAAGATTAGAATTAACAGACCAGTGCGGCCTATATTTAATGAGTTAGCGCGCGTGAAACCAAGAATTTCGTAGTTTTACAACGTACGCACCACGTGTTTACCGTCGGCCGTCGGCTAAGGATTCGTAGTGGTTTTGTTTTGTGTATCCATTTTATTATTAATTTGATTAAACATCATTTGTGTACCGTATGGAATATTTCACCTGCGAAAACGTAAAAAAGTATGTGACATAAATACTATATTCTATTAACATTCGATGAATTAAACAGACAAATGTATATTTATCACCTTATAAGTAAAAAAGATCTGATAAATTAGTAAACACTTTAATCCATAGCATAGTCGTCACATGGTTGCATATAATAACCTTTGTAGTACATGTATTGGAATATTGTCGCATTCCGTCGGCTGCACATTCGCTCTCATTCGGGACTTTGTCGTGCCTTCTTTTTGCTTTTGTATTCATAATTCTGTCTGTGCTAATTTGTGTATAAGAGATCTGAATTTAGTATATCTTCAAAATGTGTTTAATAAATTTATAATTATTGGCAATTGTATTATTTATTATGTTTCTATTCACGTACTTATCACTTCCTCTAGATAAACAGTAGAAAACAGGTAATAAAACATTCACTTTTAATTTTGATTTTGTATCACCCTGTATATAAATTTTCTTAATGCTCTGTGAAAAATGAGCATAATTATATTGTTTTGGGGCGATTTTCTTTTTCAAGTGAAGATTTTCTTTTGACAACACCCAGTATGTAAATTTTCCTTTATGCGCAGCCAAAAATTGACAATCTTTATTGTTTTGGGGTGATTTTCTTTTTGAATTGAAAATTTTCTTTTGGTAACACCCTGTATATAATTTTCCACTAATGTCACGCGAAAACAGGGCGCAATTTGCTTTTTTTTCCAGTGTTATCTTTTGTAATTTCGCAACCGTTAGCATAGCGCGGCTATGCAGGTCATAAACATGTTTTAAAATGACGTCACGTGTTTTGTAGGTATAGAAATTTCAAATTCTAAAGGTATATTGTATTTAGTTTGTTAATAAAGAAATGTTAAAGGCAATGGCTGTGTCTTATGACTTGTGCATCCCTCCTTTCTATCATTTCAGGAACAGGTTTCTAAGAGAGTTCCCTCTCTCAGGGGACTATAAAAATTGTTAAGGTATCCTGTGTGATTTGTGTGTTCCTTCTTTCATTTCAGCTATAGGTCAGAACTTGTAAGAATATTTTTAAGTGTCCCCTCTCTTGAGGCGACTTAAAAATTAGAAATATTTGTACAAGTCCTTAAAAGGATGTCCTTATAAGGAGTTCCCTCTCTCTGGGAATGATCCCCCACCATAAAAATGGTTGATATGCCTGATAATTCCGGGGATGAAGCGCAGAGACATCGTAGCTGTAGGATGGGCCGGGAGTAATGGACGCATCGAAGCAGTGGGCGATCGACCGTAGACTGTCTTATAACGACACGTGCCAAAAAATTTTAAAAATTCTGTCACCCCTATTCTCTTTTCTTCCTGTACTCTCTCTTCTTTTCTTCTTTTCTTACTTCTCCTGCTGCTGCTCTCTACTTGCTCCTCCACCATCTTCTACTTATTCTTACTGTTGCTTCGTCGTACTCTGCTTTTCAAGATATTTCTAACATTTGAATCTTGAATTTTTGTGGTATGCAACCCACATTTCGTAAATTTCTTATTATTTAATAAAATTGCTTTCTACAACTGAGATTCGATCCATGAACCTCCAGCATGCTAGCATATGCGCATGCCACCTGAGCCACAATGCACACTTATCAAAACATATTCGTTTCAGGTATAAATGTTGTTATATTTCTCACCTTTTTAAAAACAACAACACTAGCCTTTATACAAACACCACCATACAAAAATAACTTTTGTAACTATTTCTGGAAACGATAAAGAGAATACATAAATAAATATGCTTGATAGTATTACGTCAACTATTATTTTATTCCAATAAAAATGCAAATCAAAATATAATAAATTATGATTTCAACGTATTACCTTATTTCACCTTATTTATTTAGTTACAATGACTGAAGATGCTACACAGCCGAAACGTGTCTAACAAATCATGACATAATAAATCCAATGGAAATTCAATATCACCGGAAGATATCCGACAGAAGCCACGCGCGCACCTAAATCTTAATCCTGAGTTTTACGCGCAATAATTATCACATTATCCCGTAATTACCACACGCCGTCGACGATCGCCCGAATGTAACGCAAGCACCGAATGTCGGCACCGAATGCCACGAATGTCGACTGACGAATAAAACACGTGCGCATCGCGCAACAACGCACGGCCGACTAAGTAGGGAAGAGAGTTAAGACTGTTGAGAGGCAAGATGAACAAAGCAAATAGTAAACAAACAAAAAGTTCAGTTTCGCGGCTGCCAAGTAAACTACTCACAAAAATTATTTTGCAACCTAAGTAAATTTTAACATAAATTTAATAAATTATTTGCAACAAAAGGAACACACTGACAAGATTATTGTCAGTCAGGAATAAGTACTTACAATATTCAGTTGCTAGATGCCTAAAACAAACAAAAATCAGCATCAGCAAAATACTAAAATGGCGTTTTTGTGGCTTTCCCGTGAGTTTTTCGGAAAAGTTGCGAATGAAAAATGTAAAGAATTTTAATACCTACAATTTGGCGCCAAAATAAAGACGCTATGACAACAGGTTCAACCGCTAGACGTCTAAAACAAACAAAAATCAGCACCAGCAAAACACTAAAATGGCGTTTTCGTGGCTTTCCCGAGAGTTTTTCGGAAAAGTTGTATATGAAAATTATAAAGAATTTTAATACCTACAATTTGACGCCAAAATGAAGAAGCTGTGACAACGGGTTCAGCTACTAGACGCCTAAAACAAACAAAAATCAGCACCAGCAAAACAGTAAAATGGCGTTTTTGTGGCTTTCAATCTGACACCAAAATGAAGAGGCTGTGACAGTTTTTAAAACGGAAAAGTTGTATATGAAAATTATAAAGAATTTTAATACCTACAATTTGACACCAAAATGAAGAGGCTGTGACAACGGGTTCAGCTGCTAGACGCCTAAAACAAACAACAATCAGCACCATCAAAACAGTAAAATGGCGTTTTCGTGGCTTTCCCGAGGGTTTTTCGGAAAAGTTGTATATGAAAATTATAAAGAATTTTAATACCTACAATTTGACGCCAAAATGAAGAAGCTGTGACAACGGGTTCAGCTACTAGACGCCTAAAACAAACAAAAATCAGCACCATCAAAACAGTAAAATGGCGTTTTCGTGGCTTTCCCGAGAGTTTTTCGGAAAAGTTGTATATGAAAATTATAAAGAATTTTAATACCTACAATTTGACGCCAAAATGAAGAAGCTGTGACAACGGGTTCAGCTACTAGACGCCTAAAACAAACAAAAATCAGCACCAGCAAAACAGTAAAATGGCGTTTTCGTGGCTTTCCCGAGAGTTTTTCGGAAAAGTTGTATATGAAAATTATAAAGAATTTTAATACCTACAATTTGACGCCAAAATGAAGAAGCTGTGACAACGGGTTCAGCTACTAGACGCCTAAAACAAACAAAAATCAGCACCAGCAAAACAGTAAAATGGCGTTTTTGTGGCTTTCCCGAGAGTTTTTCGGAAAAGTTGTATATGAAAATTATAAAGAATTTTAATACCTACAATTTGACACCAAAATGAAGAGGCTGTGACAACGGGTTCAGCTGCTAGACGCCTAAAACAAACAAAAATCAGCACCAGCAAAACAGTAAAATGGCGTTTTCGTGGCTTTCCCGAGGGTTTTTCGGAAAAGTTGTATATGAAAATTATAAAGAATTTTAATACCTACAATATGACGCCAAAATGAAGAAGCTGTGACAACGGGTTCAGCTACTAGACGCCTAAAACAAACAAAAATAAGCACCAGCAAAACAGTAAAATGGCGTTTTTGTGGCTTTCCCGAGAGTTTTTCGGAAAAGTTGTATATGAAAATTATAAAGAATTTTAATACCTATAATATGATGTCAAAATGAAGACGCTGTGACAACGGGTTCAACTGCTAGACGCCTAAAACAAACAAAAATCAGCACCAGCAAAACAGTAAAATGGCGTTTTCGTGGCTTTCCCGAGAGTTTTTCGGAAAAGTTGTATATGAAAATTATAAAGAATTTTAATACCTACAATTTGACGCCAAAATGAAGACGCTGTGACAACGGGTTCAGCTGCTAGACGCCTAAAACAAACAAAAATCAGCACCAGCAAAACAGTAAAATGGCGTTTTTGTGGCTTTCCCGTATGTTTTTCGGAAAAGTTGTATATAAAAATTACAAAGAATTTTAATACCTACAATTTGGCGCCGAAATGAAGACGCTGTGATAACGGGTTCAGCTGCTAGACACCTAAAACAAACGAAAATCAGCATCAGCAAAACACTTAAATGGCGTTTTTGTGGCTTTCCCATGAGTTTTTCGGAAAAGGTGTACATGAAAATTGTAAAGAATTTTAATACCTATAATATGATGTGAAAATGAAGAGGCTGTGACAACGAGTTCAGCTGCTAGACGCCTAAAACAAACAAAAATCAGCACCAGCAAAACAGTAAAATGGTATTTTTGTGGCTTTCCCGAGAGTTTTTCGGAAAAGTTGTATATGAAAATTGTAAAGAATTTTAATACCTACAATATGTTGTATGTATGAAGACGCTGCGACAACTGGTTCAGAGGCTAGACCACTAAAACAAACAAAAATCAGTACGTGTGAAACACTAAAATAGCGTTTTTGTGGCTTCCCCGTGGACTTTTACAAAAGTTATGTATAAAACTTATAAATAATTTTATTACTTACAGTTTGATACCAAAATGGCTACCATCTCACATCGGGTTCAGCTGCTAGACTCCTAAAACAAACAATAATCACTTTACAGTGCACCGCAGAATCCAAACATAAAGAGACTGACATGTTTATTTCTTGAAGTAAATAACATTGCTGGTTGTAACATGAGTGGGGTACGTTAGTAGTTTGCATTATCGCTGCAGTATAGCTGCAATCACAGCAGCTATTACAACATGCAATCGAATATTGACCTACTATCAATTTTTTTCTATAATTATTTTAATTTTTGTTTTGTAATTATCTTCTTTTTTCTAACAATTAAATTATTTTCGCGTTGCAACAATCAGCGATAACTATTGTAATTACATATGCAATTTACTTTTACTAATGAACACAAAATAACACAAATAAAACGTTTATTAGCACGAAAACTCGCACGAAAACCTCTTTTAAAGCCGAAAATTCAAACATTATACACTATTCAAGATGTACCTGTTCAATGCATGTTTCGCATTGTTATTAACTTGCGTTTGCTGCAAAATTCGTAAGAAATTTACTTTTAAAATTCTACTTGTATAGTAATCACATTAAATTTCAGCTGATTATGTAAAATTATGTCGCAAAAATGATTCAAACTTATCTCAATGTTTATTGGAAAATGTAAATCGCATTACGCAACATTTAGCTGCTAATGGTAAATAAAAATCATTATTGCATTCCCTTAAAAAATAAAAAATATTATATTTTAGGCGAAGCGACATATAAAATACCAAATATAACAAAGATCCAAGTGGAAAAGATAGCAATGCACGCGACACCTGAATTAGAAGTCGAAATGCGCAACATGAATTTAATTGGTCTTGGAGAAACAGAAATTAAAGAAATTTCCATGACTGATAACGAATTATTCATAAAAGCATATCTTCCACGGTTAGAATTCGTAGGAATATACGTCTTCAATGGGAAAATGTTAATTTTAACTCTGAAATCGAGTGGAGACATGCATGTCATACAAAGTAAGTTAAAACAAAAAGAAATTCTTTGACTTCTTTACGTTTAAAAATTTGCATTGGTTTACAGCTGGTGTTGATTTTGAATATAAAGCTAAACTATTGACAGAAGAACGTCGAGGTAAAAAGTATTACTATGTCAGCGCTGAACCAGAAGATACAAGAACCAATATCACACACATCAAGAACAATTCCTTTAGTTTTGGTAATTTATTTCCGTCGGATCAACGAATTAGCGAAGAAATGAACGTTTTCTTAAACGAAAATTGGCGTGACGTCTATAATGAAGTAAAATACGCAATGGAAAATGCATACAGTTGGTATTTAATCAATCCAGTTATAAATGGATTCTTAAGACATATACCAATCTATAATTTATACGAAACAAATTAACTTTACCAGATTTAAGAAGTTTACTTTAAATTAGACACAATTGATACACAATTTACATTTTTATACACTTTTATAGTCCATGAATTGCACAATTTTGTTCATTTTCATAACTAACGCCTTTTAATTGTGTCTGTAATTACTTGCAACTCGATAAACACACGTGTTGGTAGGTAATAGTAAAAAAGGTGCAATGATTTAATAAAATGCAGATTCACGCTGATTCGTTACAATTAATTACGTTACGAGTATTTTATGCTTAGTGAACTTGGAAAGGTATAAAAGTTAGTCTCAACATAAAATGAATTTAGTACTAAATACTACTAGTAATAGTTATCATAAGTTAAAACTTTCATTTAATTATTTCTTTTGCGAATAAAAAAATGACAAAATTTATTGTATTTCTTCTTGCTTGCATCGCTACATGCTCTGCATTTAAACTTCGTAAGTAATTTTATTTTCTTTACAGAACACGTAATTCATTGTTATTGTTATGTTTATTTAAATTTTACGTGATTGAATTACAATTTTTTTGCGTTTTTTTGTTTGAGTTTAAGAAAAATGTAAGTCAATAACGTAAAATTTAAATAAACATAATATTCGTACGCAATTTTTCTTAAATCGTTTAAAAAATAATTTAATTTGATGTAATCTTTAGCTTCTTACATTAATAAATGTAAATTCAACGACGACAACATGGGACAATGCATAATGGACAACATACCTGTGATTAAGCCACATTTAAAAGATGGAATCAAAGAATTGGCAATTCCACCGTTAGCTCCGTTCCATGTTCAAGAAATTCTCATCGATGCTAGTCAAAACCTGAAAATCAAAATGACTGATTTGGATGTTCTACATTTAGATGAATTTGAAATTAAAAACATAAAGTAAGTATATTCGTATACTTGTGACTAAAGTACTTTAGTCACGATTTTAGCCATCCGCTTTTATTGGCGTTTTAAAAATGGAATTGAAAAAATTATAAATAACATGTCTTTATTTTAATTTTTAGATTAAATGCAGAAACTTTTGATGGCGAAATGGAATTCCACTTTGACCAAATCCAAATTCTCGGCACCTATGACATCGACGGACAAATCCTGGTCTTACCAATCAAAGGACACGGCCCAGCCAATATAACCCTATATCAATTCAATGTGCTTTTCAACTACAGGTTCCAACCGATAGAACGAAAAGGAAAAATGTTTGTGAATATTTCCGATCAACGTTACACTTTTAAATCAGGAAAAATCACTTTGCATCTGGATAACTTATTCAACGGTGATAAAACTCTTGGGGATCAAGTGAACAATTTCTTGAATGAAAATTGGCAGGATGTCGAAGGCCTTCTGCGACCTGCTGTGACCGAAACTGTCACTACACTGGTCGGTGCCATTTTTGATAAAATTGCAAAAAGTGTACCTTTGGATGAATTATTCCTTCTTGATTAAGCAGTAAATCAAAGTTTAATATATCACAAGTTACGAAACATCTTATTTAATGTATAGAAACAAGACCATTTAAAACACACAAAACTAGTTTATAATACTTCATAAAATTGAATTGCTTCAATCAAATTTATTGTCAAATTTTTCTATATAAATAAATTCAGAACGTGTTAACGCAAGTTTTCTTAAACATGGCAAAACTACTGATTTTGTTATTCATTTGTGTTGTAGCATGCTGGGGCAAAAAATTACGTAAGTATTTAAATATTTTTGGAAGTAAAATTTAGTTTTTTGTTTGCTTTTAGCGTCGTATATTACAAAATGCAAATTTCACGATCCTTCGATGACGAAATGCATGAAAGACAACATACCTAACATAAAACCACATCTAAAAGAAGGTAAATCAACAAATCAACACTTTTAAACATTCATAACCTCAAAATTCATTATAACCTATATATTCTAGGCATCAAGGAATTAAGCGTTCCGCCGTTAGTTCCATTCCACTTAGCCGAACTCGTAATAGAAGCGACTAAAGATCTTGTAATCAAATTATCAGACTTAGATGTCTTTGATTTGGATTCATTTGATGTCAGGGAAATGATGTAAGCGCTACATACTCCTATTTATTATTATATTATAAAATTTAATATTATTTATTTTCATATATCATTAGTTCAGTCCCCGAAGAATTTCTTGGTAAACTAGATTTATACTTTGAAAAAATTCAAATCATTGGAACCTATGACATCGACGGAAAAATTCTTATCCTGCCAATCAAAGGACATGGTCCCGCCAATATCACACTGTATCAATTTTTGGTACATTACGAATACATCTATCGTCCTGTCGAGATCAACGGCAAGCCACACTTACAACTCACAAACGGAGATTTTCAATTTCGCGCTGGCAAAATTTCTCTACAATTGGATAATTTATTCAACGGTGATAAAGCTCTCGGAGAACAAGTGAATGCTTTCCTGAATGAAAACTGGAAAGAAATTGAAGATATACTGCGACCGTCAATCACTGAAACAGTCAAAAGTATCATCGATGTGATTTTTAATTCAATCACAAACAATGTCGCATTGGAAGATTTGTTTGCTCTTTAAACAATTAAATTTTTTAATAGTTTTGTTTAAATAATAAATAATCGGTTATAGACTTTCTAGTTGTTATTTTTCAACGTGTGTACAGACATCACAATAATTAAATTTAATTTTGATTTGCTTTGAAAGTAGTTAAAAGCGATGACAAGTTAATGCATTTGCATAATTGCACGCAATAATTACACCAAGTAGTTATTACATAAATTGAAAGATTGTTTTTAACGTCCAGCAGTTTAGAACAAGTCAGTAAATGTTATAGATGTTAAAATGGTTCCAATATTTTTATTTGTTTGTTCGTTTGCTTGTGCAATTGCAGGGAGAGTTCGTAAGTTGAAAAACATATTTTTCTGCTTTAATTTTATTATTTTAATAATTTATATAGCTGATTACATCAATAAGTGTAATTACGATGAAAATACAATCTCGCAATGTGTGCTTGACAATGTTCCAAAGGTACTTCCGCATTTAAAAGACGGAATTAAAGGATTACACCTGCCTCCATTAGTGCCTTTTCATCTTGAAGAATTAACCATTGAACCTAGCCCAGGATTAGTCCTTAAATTAAAGAATCTAGAAATTTATGGTTTAGATAAAGTTAATATGACTCAACTAACGTAAGTAAATTAAAATAATTTAATAAAATTATTGTAACTGAAATAATTTCAGAATAAAAAGTCCAAATATGGAGTTCAAAATGCATTTTGACGAAGTGCGATTCCAAGGAGATTTTGACATCAATGGGAAATTATTGATTCTTCCCATCCAAGGCAAATGTAAATGTTTCATGGCACTGCAAGATTTCTCCGTTGATTATTTCCTTACTTTTGGAGAATCCGAACGTAATGGAAAAAAATATTTCACAACAGATAATCACAAAATTATCTACGATTCAACTAGAATGACATCTGATCTAGAGAAGTTATTCGCTGAACCGACACTTGGCAAACAATTAAAACAATTTATGGAAGAAAATTGGAAGGAAATCAACGACGAGTTTCGCCCGGTGATGACTGAAACTATTCTGCAAATCGTTAAAAACTTATTCAATTCTGTGACCAATTCAATGCCATTGAATGAATTATTCATCGTTTAGCTGTTTTGTGTAAAGTATTTTAAAGTCTTGTTTAGTTTTGAATAGACGCGTATGGTAATAAAATTTTGTAAGCAACATCTAAAAATATCTCTGTGGATTTGAATATTTCAATTTCTATTTAGCTTTCTGTGATTCTGTAATAAATCGAACCAAAAGCGATAAATCATTCATCAACTGACACGTAATGTAACCAAACAATTGGCTAGATTTACGCTTTATTTAAGACGCCTGCTGTGAACTGTTTAAGTTTAAATTCGGAAGACATCAAATGCCATTCGGTGATGACACTAAAAATAAACCAATCGCAATGCTGCTTCAGAGATGGCAGACGAAACAAAACGGTCAGTTTGTGCAAGCGCGGTTGGTTTCGATAGAATTTTACTGCATCTGCGCAGAAAGCTTATGAGAATATCTGACTTAAACTTCGGGAAGCTATGATGCGCGGCAGTGACTCAAAATAACTTTCGCCAACGAGGTTCGAATGTTCGAGTTTTGAGCTTTTTCAGTTGAGCGCACGCCCGCGCAAATCGCGAGTTAATAAGCAAACAAAATGTGACTGACCAGTGACCACGTGGCGAATTTAATAATAATAAAAATGAAAACAAAACGTTCTGAGTAGATAAAAACAAAATGCAAATAATAAAATTCTTTGTGTGTGTTTTATTCTTCGTCAATTTGTGTCAAAAGTGTAATTCTGTAGAAAAACTGAAAATAGGTGAGTGACTTAACTTAAGTCAACTACAAAATGACTTAAATCTCATACTTTAAGGTGGAATTTTTAATATTTCTGAAGAAAGTGAAGAGATTGCTTTTCGACATGCTGTTAGAATGGCAAATAACTATAATCAAAATTACAAACTTTTTCTAACATCCGAAACAGTTTTCGTTGATCACACTGATGTGCTTAAAACAAGTAAAGCTGCTTGTCAACTACTCCAAACACAGGTGGTTGCATTATTTGGACCTAGTTCTAGTATATCATCACCACATGTGCAATCAATGTGTGATAATAAAGAAATGCCACACATAGAAACTCATTGGGATACGAGAAAATCAACGAGTTCAGAAAGAAATCTCTTAAATTTACATCCACATCCACAAACACTCGCAAAAGTCTATGTTGACATCGTCAGAGCTTACAAATGGAAAAGATTTACTATTCTGTATGACACAGATGCCTCATTAGCACAAGTTGACGAGTTACTGACGAGTAACGAACAAGAATTTCAAGTACAAATTCGCCAACTGGATTTAGACAACTCCTGGAGTTACAGAACTGTTTTAAATCTTATTAAAAAAAGCGGAGAAGTAAATTTTGTTCTTGCATGTGAAATTGATGTTTTGGAAGACTTTTTATTACAAGCGCAACACGTTGGGATAATTACAGAACGTTTTAATTACTTAATAATGAATTTAGACATGCATACATTAGATATGGCGGCGTATCAATATGCTGGTTGCAATATTACCGGAGTAATTATTAAAAATATTTTTAAAAAAGTAAAAAATACAAAAGTTGTGATTTTAGGTTAGATTACTAGACCCTGAACTTAATGATGTAATAGAAGTTGCCGATAGTCTCTCGCGAATCAAACAAAAACTCGGAAAACCAGTCGAGCTGGCCAGCCATCTTGCCGCATGGAAAATAAACGTAAAAACAGCGCTACTCATCGACGCTGTGTCATTGTTCTACGAAACACTAAAAGATTTTCATGAGGCGAAGCAGTTTGAACCAAAAACACTCTTTTGTAACGCGACGGATAACTGGGAGCATGGTTACAGCATTATAAACAACATGAAAACTGTAAGTTTTGACTAAATATTTATGTTGCAGAACACGCACGTTCCAATGCACTTAAATATTTATTCATTTGTCATTTGACTTTACTATTTTTAGCGCATCTGGAATGGTTTAACAGGGCATATTAAATTTGATCATCATGGAGTGCGCAGTGAGTTTCTTTTGGATATGGTGGAGTTAACAGAAGGAGGATTGATTAAGATAGGCACGTGGAATTCTACAGACGGGTTAAATATTACACGGTCATATCGTGGGGATGACTTAAGTCACTTGGAAGAAGAAGGAATTCTTCAAAATAAGTCGTTTATAGTTATAACAGCGTTGGTATTATGTTAAAATATTTTTGGAGGATTTTTGGCTTTAAATTTTGGTTTTAGACGGAACCGTATGGGTTTTTAACTGAAACTACTACACAATTATCTGGGAATGATAGATTTGAAGGGTTTGGTATTGATTTGATACATGAATTATCCTTGATGTTGGGTTTTAATTACACTTTTGTGATACAAGAAGACGGAGCTAATGGGAATTACAACCGAGAGACAAAACAGTGGAATGGGATGATACGCGAGATAATAGATGGCGTTAGTTACAAAATACAAATCAAAATGAATTTAAGGTTAAGTTTGAGTTTGTTTCTTTGTAGAGGGCGCATTTAGCTATAACAGATTTGACAATTACCTCAGAAAGACAAGGAGCTGTTGATTTTACAATGCCTTTCATGAATCTTGGAATTAGTATTCTATACCGGAAACCGGAACCGGTTCCTCCTAGTTTATTCACGTTTGCGTCGCCTTTTTCCATACAAGTATGGATGTTACTAGGAGTGGCATACTTTTTTGTTTCTTTCAGTTTATTTCTCATAGGGAGGTTATGTCCTAGCGAATGGACTAATCCTTATCCATGCGTGGAAGAACCTGAATTTTTGATCAATCAATTTACAATGAAGAATTCTTTATGGTTTACTATTGGGAGTTTGATGCAGCAAGGAACAGAAATTGCTCCAATGTATATATTTCTATCATAATTTTAATTAAATTTGATTAATTTTGATGTTTTTAGTGGAATATCAACAAGAATGGTAGCTGGCATCTGGTGGTTCTTCACTTTGATTATGGTCTCATCATACACTGCTAATTTAGCAGCTTTCTTAACTATAGAAACTTTGGTAACATCTTTTAAGAATATAGACGAACTTGCACGTCAGACTGAAATCAAATATGGTGCTAAGACAGATGGAGCCACTTCAAACTTTTTCAGAGTAAATTTTTTTTTAATCAAAAGATTATTAATTTTTCTTTAAAAATAATTATTTTAGGACTCTGAACTTGACACATACAGAACAATATGGAAATACATGTATCACCATCCTGATGTGATGACTTCCGACAATGACATTGGTGTTCGACGAGTAGAAAATGAAAACTACGCATTTCTAATGGAATCAACTACGATTGAATACATGGTTGAGAGGCACTGTACTCTAGCTCAAGTTGGAGGTCTTCTAGATGACAAAGGCTATGGTATTGCAATGAAAAAAGACTCAAAATACCGCAATATACTAAGTGCCGCGGTGTTAAAACTGCAAGAAACCGGAAAACTCACAGCGTTGAAAATAAAATGGTGGAAAGAAAAACGTGGCGGTGGAAATTGCGCTGTATGTCTTCCCAAACACACATTTTAATAAAATAATCCACTAACCTTTATTAATTTTGTTTATATTCGCAGAGTGGTGCAGCTGGCGGCCAAGCAACGCCTCTAGACTTGAAAAACGTGGAAGGTGTCTTCTTCATCCTCACAGTCGGTACCATTTTGAGTTTCCTCGGCACATTCATCGAACTCGCGGTGCATATTCTCCACAACAATTACAAAAACAAACGGAAACTGAACGACAACTTTAAAGAAACGTACATGAACGAATTGCGGTTTATATTTAAGTTTAAAGAACGCGTTAAGAGGTTACAACCTGCCGCGTTGACCGACAACAGCAGTACGACTGACAGCAACGAGTTGATGCAAGATCCAGCAAGGTCAGAAGAACTGGAAGTGGTTACTGATAACCAGACAAGCAGAAAACGTAAACAATCCAAGTGAATATTCAAATATAAGAATTGAATGTGAATTCAGATTCACATAGAAAACGAATTTATTTTTAGATAAGTAGGTAAATTAAAACTGGGATGAACCGACGTGGAAAAATAGTTGTAACACGTGTTGGTGTCATAAAGTGAAAAATGAGTGTCGCGTAAAAATGCATTTATACACACAGTTAACGTGACATTTATTGATGTTCTTTTCTGTTTTTTCGTCTGCAACAATAAAGTGGATTTTATATGGAATAATTCAAGTTTTATTTATAGATAAATTGCAATAAATACTCAATAAATGTATGACCTCGACATGATCAATTTTACAATGAGATGGTACGAACCCAATCGGTTTTTTTTTCAACGGTTAATTTACCCTACGTTTATCAAATGCAAAATGTTATGTACAATGCATAATTTATACATTCTACAACAACACAATGTAAATGTATATTTTATATTGATTTCTTAATGGTAACCTTGACATTGAAACAGAAAAAGTTGATTGATTGTTGTAGAAAGTAAAGTGTTCTTAATATTATGACATTTTTGATTACTAATTATTTCAATTATTTCACGTATGCTTGCATTGTATAATTCCAAGACAAATTACACTAATAATGACGTTGTTGTCTGTGTATGTGTGTATGTTTGTGTGTTTTTGGACCATTAACTTATTTTGCGTCACATCACAAAAACTAAGTTATAAGTTGCTATTCGTAGTCTTGATAGATATGAGAGAGTTCACGTCCGAGATTAGGCCTTGAACAGATTCGTGTGGTCCGCGAGCTTATTTTTTGTTCACGATGCCGTAACTCGAATAGGGTCCCAGCGGATAGAAACTTTCCTCCAGTGAATCCTCCGATGACCGGTGGCCCACCGACGAGGAGCAGCTTTTTGAGCCTTTCGTGCGCAACGTGGACTTGAAATCCGACGACATGTCCGAACACAATGTGGTTTGCTGCAAAACATCCACAGAAAACAAATAATTCATTTAGTAAAAATACACAGCGGCCATTTTGTGTTAATGTTATTACCTCCTGTTTGTTTGGGCCACCATGGATTCGAGGAATGCGCAATGAAACGAAAATTAGCATGGCATTAGTAGCTTTCGTTTGTTCAGTTTGTTATTCGGTGTTTTGCCAACCAACACACAAGTTTACAGAGACATATAGAGCATAACATGATTGAAGTGAATGAGTATGATTTACAAAAGTCAACAAATGCGCTAAAACATTAACAATATTCATAAACAATGCGTAAGTATGATGAGATAACCGTGTTTTTAATAATTTTTTTTAACTTCACTTCTAAATGTGTTGATTGATATTTTGATATTGTCAATAAATTCGTTTCCTCACATGCGTCCAATTCTCAATACACTCCTAAACCCTAAACCAATTAAGCAACAGTCACATATTTAATAAATTCAACGTTCGTCTCGCTTATAATATCAAAACGTTTAAATATTTACATAATTTCTACGCATGTCTTTTGGTTCACATTAAAACATTAATTCTTTTTGTTTATTAAAACCTGTTTTCTTGGCTTAATCAGTAAGAATTCTCATAAATATTTATGTACACATCGATTCACTTTGATTCGATTTTGAGCTGAGCATCGTGGTGTGTTTAATACTTTTTCTCATTAAGCGAAAGTAGAATTTCGGTAAATTATTAGTTAAGACGTAAATATAGATTGGAAATAGTTTAAATTGTAATACTTATTTGGCAGTTAATTAGATATCCGTTGGCACACACGTTTCCGCCATGAATAATTTGGTTATGGCTCGCTTTTTGATTGTGATTATTGGGTTGCCTACGTTCGGATCGTTCGCATGCTTTCATATTGATTTTTTGTGCAGCTTACAGCTACGTGTCGTGTAGGATGCTGCTCACCCGTTCCTCGACGGCCACCTTGCGCGACTTCCACACGAACTCGCAGACAGCAATCACGCACGCCACCCCCATGCCGCCCATGAGCACAACGAATACGCCGCCAACGTTCGCCAGACCCAATTCGTTGGCGGTGCTAGACGCTTTTGTTGTATCATCCTAAATGAATACGAAACACATCAATAAAAACATTGCAGCCAGTTATAAATCACACGGAATGATATAAACCTAAGTATGTGAGAAAATAATAACAATATACACCGTATAAATCAGAATGTTTTTGTGTTTCCTTCGAAAATGTGTTTTCGCTGTTCTTATGGCGGATGCGCCGGGAAAAACGTAATTTACGACCGCAGGATAAAACGCAACAGGTATACACAGGTACCACCAACACAGAAATGCATTAATGACACATTAATACTCACCCTGCACGAGCCACCGCCGCGTTTTTCTTTCCACCAGCGCGTCTTCAAGATATGTAGCTTTCCTTCTTCTTGCAGTTTCAGAATTGCACCGCTGATGGCCGTACGGAATGGCGAGGCTATAAATATAAATTAGTTTAGTGCATGGTTTTAATATTACTTTAGTAACTCACTTGGTGGCATCGCAATGCCATAACCTTTCGAGTCTAACATTCCTCCAACTTGAGTTAATTCGCAATTCCTTTCAATCACGTACTCGATTGATGTGGATTCCATCAGAAACGCATAGCTACCTTTGCCTTTTACTACCCTGTCGACTCCTTCGACATTACTCATCGTAAAAACAGTTGGTCTGGCTGATTCCATAAAAGACCACATTCGTTGGTACGTGGAGAAGTTAGAATCCTGAAATTAATCAATAAATGTTTGTAAATTATTAAATTATTATAAAATAACATACCCGGAAGAATGCAGCAGTTGATCCATCTTTCAAAGCACCGTATTTAATCTTTGTTTGTTTGGCTAGGTCCTCAGCGCTTTCAATAGGTGAATCCATACGTTCGACAGTTAGAAACGCAGCCAGGTTCGCAGTGTAGGATGAAATCATGATGAGTGTGAAGAACCACCACATCCCAGCCACCATCCGAGTTGACACCGCTCTAAAAATGTTTATCATTGCTTCAAACTACCATCATCTGCACATATCTTTAACTATCAACATTTTACTAGTGTTTTTTTTTAAAATAAAGTCAAAGATTGATAGTTAAAGCATGTGTGTAGGAAGAAAATTATGAATATGTTTCAAAATAGTGGTTGATACAGCAAGTCTCCGTGATTCCGTGATAGAGAGTGTGTTTGTTGATAATTTGCAATTAGAGAAAGCAATAGATGAGGCGGCCATCGACTTACTTCGGCGCAATATCGGAGCCTTGCTGCATCAGACTGCCGATGGTGAACCATAGCGAGTTCAACAACGTGAACTGGTTCTCCAACACATCGGGCTCACTATTGCACGGATGCGGGTTGTCCCACTCGTACGGACTGAATCTGTAACCATACATACACACATGGCGGTTAGTTCTTACTTGGGCAGGAAGTCGCAGCCCTGCTGCATGAGCGACCCGATCGCAAACCACATACAGTTGAAGAGCGTGAACTGATTCTCGAGATGATCCGGGTTCGGATTGCATGGATGCGGATTCTGCCATTCGTATGGTGTGAATCTAAAGAAAAATATTCGACATATTGAGAAATGATATCATCATTGGAGTTAACTGGTCCATGTTGATCTCTTCAACCTATATTACTATTTTTATACAGGGAACTGCAATTATTTTATTTTAGAATAAAAGGTTTTTGTAATTCTGCTTACCGCGCAAGAATAAAGAGCAAAACGGAAACGCCAAGATAAGCAGTAGCCATGTAGATCCAAACGTCGAGCGAGAGTGGAGACAGGAAAGAGAACAAGTTCGGGGGCTGCTTGATCGGCTTCCGGTAGAGGATGCTGATGCCGAGGTTCATGAACGGCATCGTGAAGTCCACGGCTTGCTCACGATCATATGTTATGGTCAAATCCGCCACGGCCAGGTCTGCTTTCTGATCCAATAACTCTTTCATCATCCCATCCCATTCCTAACAAAAAATACCAAAAAAATAAAAAAAACGCGTTTAAAACTTTAAGCTAAAAATAATGTATTCTGATTATAACAAACAAAGGATTAATCTGTAAAGTTTGGAACATGTTGGATTTTGATATATTCGTTTTATTTTTGGTTCTTTTGCGGCAAACTATAAGCCTTGGGCGTTAAGCGAGCGCGAACGCAACAATATCATTGCGGCAAAACTTCTAAAACTCTATCACAACATTCTGGCGGCTAGGATATCAGCAAACAAGAAAAAAGCGAATGTTAATACCACCAGCGTAGTATTAGCACTTTTTCTGCACGAAAATATTAACAGTTTTGCAAATAATTTATCCGCTTTCCTCACATAATAGAAAAAAATATAAAAAACGAGTTTTATGATGCTAAACTTTTTGTAATTAAAACCAAGATGAATACTGATGAAGTTTTAAGGTTTTTACAAGTACTTACTTTAGTTTCACGATTTAATGATCCGTAGCGACCGTCAGGTGCCAGTTTGATAGTGTAATTGAAGCCGAGAATTCGTGAAATTTCGTGAATTAAATCGACTGCATATCCTTCAAATTGCGCGTTTCCTGTTAACTTCTCTGATGAATCTTTTCGCATACAATAAGGTGAACTCTATAAAAACCCCAAAAAACAATTAATTTTCTTTAAAAATAAAATTTTTAAATTAAAATTTTAAATACCAATATTGTCGACACAACAAAGGTTTTATTCTGTATAATTTCAACGATTTGTGTGTACGCCTCGCCGTAGGTCCGTGTAAAATTAACACCCTCGGTAGAATTCCACGTGCCAATTTTCTTCAACCCTTCGCGACTCAGATCGATGATATCCAGCGCGAAATCGCTGCGAAAGCCCTGATGGTCGAACTTTATCACGCCTGTGAGTCCTCTCATCTCGACCTAAATACGAAATGATGTCACAAATACAATTTTGAAATATTTTAGATCTAAAAACATACAATCTTCATGTAGTTAATTAAACTGTATCCATGCGGCCAGGTATCCAGCGCGTCGCAACTCAGTGGTTTAATGTCAATCTGTTGGCTGGTGTCCAAATCGTGCAGAGCTTTCGCGAACAAGTGGACTGCATCGTACATTAATGCAGTTTCCGCCTGGAAGAAAAACATTTAAGCATCTAGAATCAACTAAAACTTAAAATAATAAAAATTTTGTTGGAAAAAAGTGAATAAAACGTTTTCTTTCAAATAATTAATTCTAGGTTCTAATTTTTTTGGTTTAACACACGCAGAGAAGCAATTACGTACCTAAGAAAAGTAAATAAAAGGCAAAAAAGAAAAGAAAAAAAAAAGGAAAAAAAAACTTCTTCAGGGAAATTTCGGTGAATTAAAATTAAAAACGCAATTACGTTGTTATATTAAACCGCAGATGAAGATGAAGATGAAAAACTTGGAAGAAAAATAAATCCGTACTAATTAATTACAGCCATTAAAAACCCAACAACGAAATTTTCACATTAATTCTCTACTTACTTTAACAAACGTATTATTATCCTGTTTTTCCACGAATGAAACAAAAGAAACACACGAATTATGTATACAACTACTTTATCTGCACATGTTTAGATGTAAAACAACGACGCATTTTATGACTCCTTTATTGCGCTGCAAGTGTAAGCTTTTGAGTGCATCGGAAGCTTGGTTAATATGAATTTTTTTGCTTTCGGCGCATTTTAATGCAATCCACTCTGCTGTACGAAAGAAGAGCGCGCCAATAAAAGCGTCTGCGACGAGGCAACGCGCGCGCGGCAATCGTTTACCGTGCTAGCGACGACGACAACAGATAAAATTAAATTTAACCGGCGCCTTTTATGTCGTCGCGACGCGCTCGGCGCCCATTGTTTTAGTTTATTAACGCTCATGAGGGCGCGCAACTTAGCGTAAATGGGCGCAGATGCAGATAAACCACAAAACTAACTTCGCGAAGCAATAAGAATATTTTATCACCACCAAAATTAACGATACACAAATGAATAATTTAATATCTTACACAAAAACTCTTCAAGATGGCGCTTTTGTTGTGTTAGTCAAAAGTGGTTATTAGTACATTTTAGAGGCATGCTAAAAGAGACGAGCGGTGATAAAACGCCGGAGTAATTAAATTCTATTACGACCTGCACGGAGGTAACGCGAGGGTGTGAAAAGTTAGCGTCGTTAGCGAGTGAAAAGCAAGGCGGATGGATGCCGTCGATGATGTCCTAGCACACTCACCAAATTGCTATCAGTTTTGCGCCGGCCGTCGCCCAACGACCAATCTCGCACAATCCGCTTAACGTCCGGGCCTTCGGGGTCCACCAGCCGGAAGGCGGTGATGTTCGTCCCGCCGTACTTGAACTCCTCCAGGTCTACGCCGTGCAAGTCCTGTGGGGCACGTAATTACAAGCTTACAAGTATTAAATCAAGTCGCACAACAAGAAAAAACACACTCTATTACGTTTTTCTATATAGTATAACCTAGGCAACCAAGTATACATTAACATTTTGTTAGGTTAGGATGATGTACGAGTATATTCTTAGTTTATTTTTAATTTTTTTATCTTTAGAGGTTTTAAAAAAGGCGATATACTTTAGGATGATAAATGATACGTCAAGACTTTCGATAAAAAGATAAAAAATAATGATTGATTGAAAGTTTAAAAGTTATCTTTTAAAATATATAATATTAAGACATACCAGCGACGTTATCAAGTAGCTGTGGTAATCACTCATCATGCCGATTTGTTGTGCTTGTTTAAGCACATCGTAGATTCTCTCCGTGGAACAATCAAGGACAATATGCGATTCGGCTGAGTTTTTAATCTGCTTTAATAATGGGCTGAAATTATAAAGAAAAAAATGTTTAATATAACAATTTGAATAATTCTTTATTGAAACACATTACCTAATGAATTTTTTTAATATTTATTTTCATCTTTTATGCAGTAACATTAAAAAAAGATCCAAATTGCCGTGCAAAGTACGCTGAGAGTTATATGTTTGAGCAGAAACGATGACGAGCGCGTTTCGTTTCGTTGGCGTTTGCCTTCCACAAGGCAAAACATGAATAATGCATTCGATGCAGCGGTTTTTGTAATGGCAAAGTTAAACCGCCGGCGCCTCCACCAAAACCGCTGCCGCGCAAGTTAGATCCGAACTTATATCGCTAATAATATTTTCCGCTCCCGCATATCCTCTTGAGGAATTTCAGACTTATGCAATTCACATGATGAAATGTACAAGTTAAGCAACTTGAACATTTTCTATATTATATTATACATTATACAAGTTGTACTCGTACTAAATACAAATCAAATTATTATTTGATGTTGATACTTGTTGATGCATGATTAAACTGTCCAAATATTTAGTTTAATTACAAATTAAATTGAATATACTGATAGAGTTAAATTTAATATTGCAATGTGTTGCAATTTGAATATTTTAAAATCTGTTGCTAGTAAAATACACGAAAATATCGAGCTGACTTGAAACGACACAATTTATCACACGTCGATGCCGTCATGCTACTATATTATCAGGAGCGTCGAATGTACGAAATATCGGGGCGTTAGTGGCGGCGGTTGCAGTCAACTGGCGGCGGCAGACAGCCGCGCTCGACACCTCCAGCCACGCACGCGGAAAAGATGTTTTCGACGCGCGGCAAGAGGAAAAAATACGCGCGCGCCCCAAATGGCTCTGTCAGTGGGCTCGAGCATTGAGCAGCAGCAGCCGACGCCAAACGGAATATTGACATTTTCACTGGCCATTTTCGCTAGTTTCTCCCAGCGGGGAAAGCGCATTTGATGTGTCACTATGCTGTCGCTCGAAGCAGTCACATAACGTTCAATTTATTTGCGTACGCGCGCCATAAAACTTTTTTTAGTTTCCATTGGCTTTTTTAACGGGAGTTGAAAGCTGAGATTTTTTGATATTAAAGGATATCTTAATATAAAAATCTTAAAACAGGAAAAATATAAGAAAAGTTATAAAATTTAAAGATTTTTATTATTTTTATTAAAATTTTAGTAAAAAATTAATAAAAACTTTAAAAAAACTTTAATTTAAGCAAAAATTTTTGTAATTTAACTATAAATTGATAAAAAGCAAACAAAAATGCAATTTTTTATAAAAATGTAAAACTTTAAGAAGTAAAACTACACATTTTATCTAAAAATAACTTTTTTTTACATTTTACGTTGTAAATTGATGTTTTTTGCTCGTTTTATTTTTCTATAAGCTTAAAAAACTTTTGTGTACTTTATAACAAGATTAAACCTAAAGTGACTTTTTTTTAATATAACTTCTCCAGTTTCACACATATAAAGTTACTTTCATCCTTATCAAATAATTTCTTTCTGAATTTCCCCAAGCTTTGAATAAATAAACTCCTCTACACACTTTGGTAATCAAATGTCAGTCTTGTTGTTCACAAAATTACTAAGAACGGTGTCAATAGTAATTATCGTTTTCGGTTGCATCCTCTGCCGTTGTCCTTTGTCTCATCACAACAATATAAAAGTCGTTGTCCGCGTGTTTAGTACATCGTCGCCTTGATAGTCGAATAACGCAGCGCGACTACAATAAAACGACGACATAGCGAAATTCCTGTGAGCTTTCGCCGCTCGGGTTGCTTGCGGATAATCCGCGAAACCGTCGAATACGTTTGCGCTCGGATAGTCAGCGCTCGCCCGGCGCCTCCACCCTCTTCAACTTACGTCTGGACGACCCGCCGCTTTCACTTAGTCGAGTCATTCCGGGCGTTTGTATTGCTAAACGTATGCGCATTAGTAATGGGAATGGAAAACTACGAAGAAAAGGTGAGAAAAGATGAGAATGGAATTAAGTGAGAAATAAATGACGGGTATTAAGCGACTAAGTAAAAATACCTAAGCTGGACTTATAAACTGACTCAAAATCCAAGGAATACAGATTACTTGTTTTTGATAAATGAGAGCATTAATAACGGTCAGATAAATTCGAAAATTTAATTTTGAAAAACATTCATTTTAAACAATTTATTACTTTCGGTTGTAAATAAATTCTTTTAGCAAACAGCGAGTAAATTTAATTTATTAAAGCACAATTCAAATATTTGTTGTGTTGCGAATTTTTTATCTCTTAAATAAACCCGCACAAATTGTAATTAACGTGAGTTAAACAAAAAACAGAACCAACAAAATGTAAATTTGGTTGCCTACAATTTGAAAACTATTGATTAAACCCCTCGGGAGTGGAAATTATTAAACCGGAGTTGTTAACAAGCATTCCCAGAAGAGGCTCTCGTAAAATATGATTAAAACACTAAATTGAAGCAAAATTTCATTGCATAATCATAAAAAATACAAAAATTGAGTTTTCTAAAGGAAATTTTTAATTATCACCGTTTTTTTGACTACTGTTTATGTGCATGACAAAAAATCGCATGTAGAATATCTATTTACGACTCTTTGCGCGTTAACTTGAGTCGAAGTTTAGTGCCGGCAGTAAAATCAAGTTTGTCACCCATCGCAGTAATAACGCAGGTTGAACCTTTGTGCTTTAGAGCGTTTTAGCGTTTTGCCGTAAGTGGCGCAGTTACCTATGGCGGAGGCGCCGGGCGACGCGCGTAAAATTTGCACATAAAATATCATAATTTCTTTTCCACACACAAACACTGATATCATGTGTGTCACGTATGCAGTTTTATAATATTGCTTCTACCGCAAAGTTCGAAAATAGTTTTTCGTAAGAAAATCACAAAATTTTTAAATTTTAGTAAAAATTTGATTTAAAATACAAAAATTCAATATTTTAAAAATATAATTTAAATTTATTTATATATTCAACTGTTTAAACCAAAAATACGAAAAATTGAATTTTTTCACTTTCTTCGTACAATATGCGCATATCTATAGAAAACCTCCGGGTTAGGAGTCGAGAGTGGTTTTAATTAAAGTTGAACAATTCATAAAATCTAATGTACTACGTTGTTCTCCGCGCACTACATCACGAACGCCGCCTGTAATTAAAAGCAAACTGAGCCTAGAAAAACGACCCGGGGGCGCACCGCAGAACACACAAAACTCTCAAAACTTATAATTTGCTTTGTGGTTTTAAATTTTCACAATATTTACGTTTCATTTTCATACTGCCTCGCGCTAGAACTAAGGTTATATTAAATTTACAATGGTGTAGGTTGGGTTGCCTATATTATAGCGCTGTTAACACGATAGCAACAAGCGATTAATTTCGAAATGAACCCGGCCGCTCCTTTGATGTCTGATGTTTAAGCAGGTGGACGTGTTGAGTGAATGAAAGCCTGTCGACATCCGACACTAAGCTATGAAGAGGGCCGACAGGAGGATGCAATCAAGAGTGTTCGCTTACCAAGGCGAATTCATTCAAACTATTAAAGCTGATCAGTCAAGTTTAAGTCTAGTTGCCACTTGAACATAACTACACACTTGAAAACTTAAAAAATAAAAATTAAAGAAATAATCACTTTTTGTGTGAATTTTGATTAAATTTTAAATGTAAATCTACATTTGTTAGGTTATTCTAACAAAAAACTACGTAAGTAAGTAACTTGAATGAAGAATGAATCAACTTTTTCGTAATGGACTTGCCAAACTAGCAAATAAAGTAACCAAGTTACCAGCTGCACAAAAACTAGGTGAGGAGTAAATTTTAGATGAAAATAAATGTCGAGAAGTCTAGATAGGAGTTAAAGACGACAAAGACAGCAAAAGTTTGGCTGAAAAGTTTACAAATGCAATGCCCAAGTAAACTCTTAGTTACATAAATATACAGGGTGTTTTTATGAAAAAAATTAAATTACTCGCAGGTTTTAGTTGGTTTTTGAACGCTGTGATCAATAAAACCAACCTCTCATAAATTCCCGATTGCTATCGGGCTTTCTGCACGTTTGCGTCGCCCTAATGCGACGCGTAAACAACCCCCACGCGTGATATAAATTTTTATGTGCGGTTTAATGTACTAATGCGTTCGGCGTAAATCAAACGATGGTTTAAATTATTCACGTTGCGCACACAAGTCATAAATCACATGCTTTTGATTACAAATTTTACAAAAAAAAAAAAATTATTTACTCACCGATAATCAGATCCTTCTCCCAATTGCCTCACAGTGATTGGAAACTCATACGGACCATGCGCTTTGAGGAGTTCCTGCAGGCGTACCAACCCTTCGTTGTTTTCGTAGATGATTGTGAAAGATTTCCAGGCCCACGCCTTCACCAAATCGACGTAAGCCTGAAATGTATTCAAATTGTTATTAAAATGTATTTATTTGGCATATACGAGTATAATAAACATTGGTTTCTTATATGCGTTCGATCGGTCGGAACTAGACTCCCGAGACTAGTATCACTAATAAAGTACCGATATTGTGTTCTACGAGCGCGTATAAACGAACCGAATCGCCATGCGCGTTTATATTACCTCGCTGTATTGATATTTACGACTCAATTTAGTTTCATCGTCGTCGCGCACGAAATAAAACTTGGGAAATGAAAACGAAGATTTGGATTTCTTGCATTCGTATATATTCGTCATCATGATATCATGATATCATCAATCATTGAGTTTTATATTTTATTCATTATATTAATCATGGGATCAAAGCAAGCAAAGGTCTAACCTCTACTGTGGTGTTTGCTTGGTTGCCTACAGTATTATACAACGGTTTGTAGGGTTTGGAGTCAAGCAACCGCGTTTTCTGCTGTCTGGTTACATTTGTCACTTTCTTGTTTGTTTCCTCGACTTACTCCTACATTCCTACATACCAGAGTGGGTAAACCGACTTTCAAAGGTATTTTGTGGAAAATGCATAATTAGTTGCAATAACACAGCTTTCATTAAAATAATTAAAATGAATTTGTATTTTTTTTGGTTAAAATTAATTCTCAGACGTTATACTAGTAAATTATGCTTTGTGTTAGGCAACTATAGTTACTTTAGTATAATGGGTTGCCTATATACATAATAAAGCACTCTCCAGACATGTCGGATGTCGAAGAAGCAATAGGGGTAATCAATAATTACGGCAGCGTCTTCTTACCTTGGATAAAGTGGTCGGATGCGGGTAGAGATTGACTAGGCAACTTTCGCGCCGCAGCCGATAGTCCCAGCGGGTCTCCAGGTGCGGGATCTCCATTGTGTCACAGATGCTCTGCACGTGGGAGGCTGTGTGCGCCGACTGGGGGCCAAAGATTGCCGCCACCCCCGAACGCAGTAAATGACAGACTGAAAAGTAAAAAAAATCACAAAAAATTTTATCATGAATAAAATAAAATTTATAAAGTAAAAAAAAAACACAGAGAATTCAATTTTGTTAAGTAAACTACAAGAGTGTTTGTTTGAGGTTATGTTTGTGTTTGTGCACGTACAGTGGCGAATTTAATTACTTCGCTAGTTCGTTACTCGGGCAATGTTTCAATTAGTGATTGCTTGTCGCACAGCGTGTTATTGTAACATTATCAGACCGTAAAAGGTTTGATATTGCTTGCAATAAAAATCACATTAACCTAAACATACATAAACTATCATGTATTGCAATATTTGTATTTTCTGATGGTTTATATATCGAAACTGGAAATTCTTTCGGGAAAAAATGAGAAGCAAACAAAACGGACACTATTTCCGGAATTGTACATTATTCGAATGTATTCGAGCGTAAAACTGCGCGTACAATTTCACGTAACAAGCATTTGATGTTGATTTTTTTCTCTCTGTGTTTTGTTTTTGGCTAAAACGTGTATCATTTGAAATGGAAAAAAATCAGTACGCAATTTGAGCCCGCCGAATAGTTGAATTTTTTCTACTTTTTTTCCATTCAAAGTACAAACATCCATGGAGTGCCGAAATATTCAATTTTGATTTCGTTCATAGAATTTTTCGAAACGAATTTTTGGTAATTTGCAAAAAAATTCTTGTGAAACACAAAAATTGAATTTTATTATACAGAATGTTGATAAAATATATTTTTTCGAGTGAAAATATTTTACAATTTGTGTGTTTTGTGGAAAAATCGCAAGAACCGCAAAAAACGCGAAGGCGGCGCCTGAAAATCGATAAAACGACGATCGCATTGTCGTTTTCTCATCTCAAGCGAGAACCCTTCGTGCTCCACACGACAATGAGCAACAAATTGAAGCAAAAATACGTCTAGAGCTCCATTATTCTATCTACAACCCAAAAAACAACATCAATAGAAAATTTTCGATCAGTTCTTCGCGTAAAATAGTACAATATACTTTTATAAAAAAAAAACACGCTTTTCATTTGTGGCGCTTTGATGTGAAATTCTATAAGTTCAATGGAAGACCTAGTAGTCGATTGGAAAATATTGAATTGAATCCGAGTGGATTTACCTTTTCATCCTTCTACAACTTTACATAAAGCGATTGCAATTGCGATCACGCTGCGGGCGACAAGAATTTCGTGTTTGGAACAATGATCAAAGAGTAAGCGTGCAAAACGCCTCGAGATATACACCAAGCTGCGACGCATTTAATCGAGGGACGAGAAATCGCACGGGACGCTGCACGTCGGTGATGAATGGGCAAATAACGAACGGTCGGAAATGAAAGCGACAAATTGCGAATTAAGCAAAAAAGCCCCGAATCCACTCAATTCGCAATTTTCTTTTCGTCAATAAAATGCACTTAAATCGCTTTTCAATTGAGTTATTCACCAACTGTGAATTTATAATTTAATTTCAATTTAATTAAGTGAGGTTAAACGTTAAGTTGGTTGCCTATATTACCTAAGCAGCGTATTGCATACGCAGCATTAGGAATATTACGGATTAAAATTGTTGCGTCGCAAACTAATAGAATGTCATTAGGCTAATTAGCGTTAATGATGAAGCATTTATATGCAAAGTGCTACATCACCCTGTGAGCTGTGCATTAGCCAAGCCCAAATATACGTGCACGTCATAGTCACACTCAATTAGTACACAAATGGTGAAAACAACGAAAATTCTACGCGGAAACTCAACGGATGTCAAATGTCAAAATATCAAAAACAAACAAAGCGGTTTAAATACAAAGAGAAACTATATTTACCAAAATAATTGAATTTTTGAAATGCATGAATATTTTTTGGGTTGAATTTATTAGTTGATTATTAATTCTATTGAATTCTGATTTCTGTTGCGGACAATGCAAGGCGTGAGGCATTGTCACGCGAACAAAACACGCCTGCGCGTCGAATTGAGAAATATGGATGCCACGCGATCACAATTTCCACCCGCCGCAGTCGCCGCACGCACCCGCATTCAGGATTGAATGGCGCACGGTGGCTGAATACCGCAATGCCCGGCGGCGGCGCGCGATGGTTGCGAAGCAACACATGAAACACACGTTGTGGAATCTATGCCAGAGTGGATTGAATGCTCAATGCGGCTCAATGTTGTAATAAACTCACCGGGAGTTCATCTTCTTGCGTTCTACGTCCTTGTTCAATGCTCCAAAGACTCAAATTCCTTTCTATCAGACTAAACGGACCATACTTATACACCACATACCTTTATATGGCTAAAATTACTCTGATAACTATAAAAATTTACTTTAAAATAATTTAAAATTATAAAAACGTTTTGTTTTGTGTATGTCTGGTTGCCTATATTACATATATACATTCAAGTATATCATTCACCTCACAAAATAACTAAAACTACGTTTTGTGTATGTTGGGTTGCCTATATAACTTAAATACTTCTTAGAATAAAATTCACTTCCAAAATAACTTATATACATTTAAGTATAGTATAAATATGCGGGATTTTAAAAGATCTCCGCGCTGGATTTATTTCGAGGAAACTTTATGACTTCGGCGCGCACGTGAATTATTCAAGATGCGCCAAGTTGTATGTTTCGTGGATGAAAACCACCAACACATCGACGTGACCAGCGCCATCTGCACAAAAACGACGCAACACGAGTATACACGAATGCGTACGTAAACGTACTGTAGGGAAAATGTTCAAACTGCTTTCAGACACGGTCCGTCTGATGTACAAGTAGAAAAAAGAAAAAAGAAGAAGATAAAAGAAAAAAACATGGCCGCACATTGCACGTATGCGCATAAAGAGCCCACGCTTGAAACTTGTATATTACGGTGTTAGCAACATAAATTTTCATTCGGCTCCCGCACGAGTTTTTCGTTTTTGAAATATTTATGGAGACAAATTTTAATAAGATATTTTCATCTATATTCACGAGAAATGCGAGGAATTTCTTTTTTCGATTTCGATTAGTATTTATCGAAGCATGAAATCCATATTTTAATAAATATACAGAGTGTTTAAAATATTTTTTAAATTTTATATAAGATTTAATTAAAAAAAACACTCTGTATAATGATGAATGTGTATAAATATAGAACGATGGTTAATTATTAACGTGCATTCGATGGCTTAAATTCAAATACGTCGGAATACGAAATTACGCTCGACCGGATAACCGGAAGTAGGAATGCTCTAGGGTAAGCGCATGAAAGAGAATATTGAGATCATGGCCATCTGCGCACACAGGTACAACTCAATGAAATCCGGAATTCAGGAATATTTTTATTCTGTGAACTAAGATTGCATTTCCAGCAAGAAAATTATATTGGAATAACTTAACTCTTGGCGACATTTTGCTTTTTTGCTTTTGTTTGTTAAGATCCAGCGCCCCAGCAAATTAATTAGCTTTAGTCGCTGGCGTAATAGTATTTGTAAGCGTTTAAAATTGCGCGCACTTTATATTAATTTGCGCCGCCGGAGCGAATTAAATTAGCAATTTGGCGGCGCTCTTGTTGTCGACGATGAAATGAACCGCATTAGTGCGAGTATAGGCAACCAACTCATCTTCACACCAAAGTGAAATACACGTACGCAAGTTTAATTTAGAAATCTAAGAAATAATGCGGTATAACCTAGAAATATGTTGAAAATTTGTTCGTGAGTAGTAAAGAAATCACACTCACCTTTCTTCGAGGCGTGAAAACTATCCTGCGGCGACATGCGCTCGATTTGTGCGCTCAGCTTCGAACGTGGCAGGATTGTCCTGTCGTTGTTGATCTTCTCCACCGCATACCGGAATGCCACCTCTTGCTTGTCGTCAGCCGGATGAAAAAGACCACCTGGAATCAATTTCAACAAAAGTTAAAAATCACCGACATAGACAACTTTATAAACACAAATTCTTATTTAAAATCAATTCAAACTAAATTTTTAAAACACATAAACATAAAAAGTTAACATAGGCAACCTTTTATACATAAATTCTTCTTTAAAATCAATCCCATAAACATAATATTAACATAGGCAACTTTATATACACAAATTCTTATTTAAAATCAATTTTAACTAAACTTAAAAAAACACACAAACATAAAAAGTTAACATAGGCAACTTTTTATACATAAATTCTTCTTTAAAATCAATCCCATAAACATAATATTAACATAGGCAACTTTATATACACAAATTCTTATTGCATGTCTTATTCCCGCTGTTTTCTTATTTTAGCAGTACAAAGATAACAACAGGCCAAACATTTATTGATTTATGAATTAGTCCGGAGCGTCTGCGTCTGCCCTCGGAAGGTCGAAAGCCTTGAAAGCCCCTGGAAGCTTTCCAATGCGATTCACGCAGCCTCACGCATTTCGCGTGCCTAAATATGTGTGAGTAGAAGATTGATACGTCTGGAGTGCGTATGGGAGCTGAATAAATATAGAGACTACGTGCATTACAACCCAATCCATAATCCCTGGCAGTGCATCGATGAAACAAAATCGTTTCGATTGCCAATAAGCCACGTGCAAGTGTAATGCGATGAGTGTAAGCTCACCAAACAAGAACTACCGATGATTATACTCGATTGTATCGTACATTTCACTAATGCACGACCATTAATTCCAGTTCAACATAGTTTAATGCTCTGAATTATAATTCCAAGTAAGCGTGCAGTATGATTAGTTGCATACGTCAGATGAATTACGTGTATCTCGTTTCGCTAATCATTATTATTGATATTAAACATGTTAAACATATTTCGGTTTAATGTTTTGCGATGTATTGTTATCCTGGATTACTGTGGAACAATATGCATTGTTCATGTTTCATTATTATCATTTGTCATCTTCAATAATGCGAGGTAGGCAACCAAGTATACACGAAATGAATTATATTTAGGTTGTGTTGATATTTTGTGATTGTTTTAGATATTCTGTATGTGTGTAGTAAACTAATCTAACTTTTATATTTATGATGCGAAGTGGCTTGCGCAAAGTGCGCCTTATTAGGGCTCGCAGCGAGGGAATTTTCGATCTCGGCTGGAAGGCGACGTATGGCTGTGGATTTTCGCATCGCTGGGCCAAAAAGCAGCAGGGCGGGCGTGTTGCGGTCGCAGGATTTATGTCCTCCCGTCGCTGAAGCGTTTTGCCCAACTCTCTACCACTACGCAGAGTCAGTTTACCAGTGGCATTCGCTCGAAATGTTCAATTCAAACCGGCAGAACTAGAACTCCACCTCGAATTGGTAGTAAAAAGTACAAGATGGATTGATGTCGTTGATATAGGGTTAACAAAGTGTTGATTTGCCAAACAACATGAAAATAATCTAATTGAATGACCTAACCTTGCATAACAACGTTTTGTTTAACCTAATCTGTTGTATTTAATAAAATAAAATCAAAAAATTTGAGGTTAATTTTTTGATTTTTAGGTTAAGGTCCAGAAGGTCAAAAAAGCAATCGCGGTGACTTCAGGAGGGCGGACGGGTGAAAACGAGACACGAGACAAGACGGAAATCGTTTTGCATTTATCACCATGAATCCGGATTTACTCGCTGGTTGGGTTGCGGCTCGTCGGCGCTTCTCATCGCTTTTGCAGGAGAAAAAACCTGACGCACGCCAACAAAAGGGCACAGCGGAAAAACTATCCCAATCGGGTTCATGCTCTTACCGTTACCGCACAAACATTGTTCTATTTTCTCTTCGCCGAATGTTTTTCCTGCTTAAAAACACGAAATGCGAATGTCATTCCGCCACAAATCGTCGAAAATCCTACTAAACGTAAACTTGGTAACTAACCGCCAGTTGACTTTCCTCTCGATTTAATTCACATTAGAACACAAATTCATAAAAATAAAGTTAAAGTGCATTCTTGCATTTTACATCCAACTAAATCATATATATGACATGGATGTTGTCATCCATGTGTAAGGAAAAAGTGCATAACCTATAAAATTCACGCACGGCCTGAGGTAACCTCGCATAAATAACCAATTATGCCCGGGCGTTTTATTTCCTTCAGTGTCTTCGCCGTCGACGTTTTCAGACGACTTAACTTTACCCATTGTGCTTTTATGCACCCCCGGCGAAATGGAAATGGTCGCACGGTTATTACATTAACGTTATGATTATTATTAAGTCAACAAAACAGGAAAACGTAAGTAAAAGATAACTCCGGACAAAAGAAAAGCATGGCGGCGGGAGGAGGTAGGGATTTTGGAATGGTGGAAAGGCAAATAATCGACGAGCGTATATAATTTTATGAAGCGAAAGAATGACGACGCGCGTGACGCAACATAACGAGTTCACTATGTCGGCGGAAAATTGCCTTTTATACCAGCCATCGCGCATAATACAACCTACAACGTATACAACCCCAGCGGACATGGCGCAAGGGCAATAAAGAGCGATGCAGGCAAGAAAAAGCAAATTATCGTATACAAAACGTTGCAGAAAAAGAAAATAATAAATTATCATTATATTCAACCCGTCATACAGCACATTTAAAACAATTCTACATAAAACGCCATCTATCAATCAATTTCAAAATTTATAACCTCAATTTTATGCCAAACTTAAGCGAATTTAACCTATAAATCAATTTTTAACTGAATAACTTAAATTTTAAGCCAAATTTAACCTAAAAATCATTTTTTCAAGCCGTCATACAACACATTTAAAACAATTCTGCATAAAACGCCATCTATCAATCAATTTTTAAAGTTTATAACCTCAATTTTATGCCAAACTTAAGCGAATTTAACCTATAAATCAATGTTTAACTGAAGAACTCAAATTTTAAGCCAAATTTAACCTAAAAATCATTTTTTTAGTTTTGTAACCTCAATTTTAAACCAAATTTAACCTACAAATCATTTTTTTTAGCTTAATAACCTCAATTTTAACCAAAACAAATTTTGACGTATAACGTCTTTAAAATTGTTGTAGTCAGAAACTTCACACCAAAACCTCAAAAAAACCTCACGAGGCCGATCGCAGGTATAACGAGAGAGAGACGGACCGATCTCCCGTCATCTCGAGCGCTGCCAGTCATTCCGTGAAACTTGTCACGCGGAATCCACAAGCGGAGGCAGGCATAGCGTTCGAGTGAGTGGACCGATCTTCCGTCTCTCTCAATACAAACGAATGGAGATTTTCTCGAAGTTTTCATTGAATGTTTAACAGTGAAACAAAATGTGAAGTGCAAGTGAAGTTTACAACAATTGCAAAAAAAACTTATATTAAGACGTTATCACCTCAATTTTAACCTAAAACAAATTTTTACTCACCGATTCTGATGACATCTGGTAGTCCACTCACGTAAACACAAAGTGTGACGAGTGCAACCACAATGCTAATCCGCACCTCCATTTCCGCACATCTGTAAACAAAAATACCAAAATTAAATCTGAAATTATGCATTTATAAACACCGCAGAATGATAAACAAAGCAAGCGTGTAATATTTAATGCACTGAAACTATAATATAAACAAAAACACGCGGGCGGTGGCTGCGGAGCTTGATGCACTCGATAAGAGCGCTCGAGGGCGGCACAAATGACGGCCCACAATCCATATATTATTCAAACTCGCCCAACTTGTATCATTAACAGTCTATTCCAAGTCTAACCAAGTTCCGTTCTTCCGCTGGCGCATTTCCGACACAAACTGGAACTTTCGGATGTTGTGCTGTGTCCTACAAGCAACACAATCAACTTTTTGTGCGTAATTAATATAGGCAACCAAATGCACACACACTGTATGTACATATTACCCAACAGTAATGAAAACCCAAGTATTTATAGTTCCGCAGACACTTAAAACTACATCAGAGTGTATTACATTCTCTGCATTCGCTAATAAAAGTTCCACGCTGCATGCAGCGCGACGTAAGGAAGTAATTAGCGCAGTAAAAGTTGCACGAAGTGGGATAAAGGTGTAGCTGCAACCAACAATGCACCAGCGCTGGCTAATTGGCCGTGTAACATAAAAAGCAAGGAATGTAAACGCTGAGATTTCATAGAAATTCACAAATTAGGTTATGTTAATCATGGAAGTTGGCTTCCGGTGCGCTGACATGCTTAATGCCTTAATAAATAAATAAGTTTCGCAAAGTGGCTCGTTGGTATTCGTGAGTAATCGCATAAAAACCGCACTAAGTGGCATTATCATCATTGGATTACCAGTTAGCCATCAAAGAAGCATCAGACTATCCTCTCTAGACTACGCTCTGTGAATGTCTTCAGGGAAAAGGAGCCATTAGTATTCGACTAACGCAAACATTCGCATTCTACTTGAGATGGCCCACTTGTAATTTAGTTAAAGACACATAAAAACTCCAATATTCCTAAGAGCTTTGTCAGCTGACGCGCCAACGCGCGTGGCGGTGGAGAAGAGAACTAGAAATATTTGAGGTTAGGAATGTTAGGGAATAGGAATAATAACAATTAAACTTAAAATTGTTTGGAATGAAAGTTCTACGACGGCGGAAACACGTTGGGCTTAAGAACAAAAGAAAAGTTGTAAACTTTATAGAGGAACACACACATATGTTGCAAACGAAGGAAAACAGCGGAAACAAATTACAACTAACAGAATAACATTTTCTTGTTTTACTAACAAGTTGCAAGGAAAACACAAATTAAATAAAGAAAAATGTTATTCAGAGTGTCTCTTTAACTGTATTAATTTAATTTTGATTTTTTCTTAAAAAAATTTTTGAAAAAAATTGAAATTTTGGTGAAAACGTTAAATAATCGTCAATTATTCATAAAATGCCACTGAAAATATATTTAATAAAGATAAATCTCTAAAAATTGATTTTTATGATAAAAAAGTGAATTTTAAGCTTAAAATATGTCCAGGATAAGAAAAAAACAAAAATTCTTTTCTAAAATTTTTCTAAAAGTTTTCCGGTATAAGAATTACCTACTGGTAAAAAGAAAGCAAAAAGCAAGACGAATGAGCCAAATGAAAAGCGTACTGTGGCGCGAAGTTGGCGAAGACGTGATGAAATACTCTTCGGACGAATATGGAGGCGAAATTTGTAGAAAATTTGTCGCGCTTAGTGCGCCCGCACAAAGGACCAATCCGAGAGTGCTGCGCCCAACGGGAAGCGACTAACAAGTACAAGTAGTGCGACGTCGAGGGAATTTAATAACGGGTCGAAAAGGCGAGGCGCGACGTTTTAAAACGTCGCGATAACCGCACGCCCGCGACATGAAAAGCGGGCTTTTGATAAGGGCAGTTTTCTTCACTAGACGCTTTTTTACATTATAGTTTACTAACTGTGGGATATAATATAGGCAACCAAACTTGCATATAATTGTACATTTGGTTGCATACATTGAAGAATGAAGAATTTTATTTTTAGATTTTTTATGTTAAAATACTCTTTCACCAGCAACATTGTAACATATCCTCTTGTGCACTTCACTCCACAACCGGAAGTCTTGCATAGATACAGCACGTACGCTCGGTTTGAAGCAAACGCCGGCTTGCGTTATCTTTGCGGTAATATTCCTGCCTGACAACGGGTGTGAATACGAATATTACGAATAGTGGAATACAGAGAAGCTCAGCTTGTGCATGCAGGCATGCCGAATGGAAGAAATAAAGTTGCGAACGCAACCAAAATAAAACAAGTGAGGAATGTGTTGGCATGCGTGCGTAATGTGCATTATTTAATTTAAAACGTGCTTAGTTTCCGCAAATACTCGCCGGCTTCTAAGCGGTTATGAGCGAAAATATTATTGAAGATAATAAATTTTATAAAGTATATGATCTCATAGGTAAAAAATGTTGGGAATTTTTATTGCAAACAAAACAAGGAGTAAATTTAGCGAGTTTTGGGAGAGAAAAGTCAAAGTTGTCTCGAAGTTATGGCGAAATTGAGTTAGGAAATTAATTTACGTTCATCATATTTCCAAAGTTCACAATTTGATTATTATTAAATTGCCTAAAGTAATTTTATATATCATATTATAGAATAGGTGTTTTTTGCACATTGTAAACACTATTTTTTTCGCTCCCGTGACTAAAACCCGTGACTAAAGTACTTTAGTCACGACTTTGACCGCCCATGATTAAAATACCACTTTTTATATCTAAAAACCGTGAAAAAACTCGCGTTTTTCAGGAAAAAAGTAAAAAAAAAATATTTTGTTATTATTTTCTTATCCCCCAGAGGCAGAAATGAAAGAAAATAGCTTCTGGGACAGCACATATAAACACATTTCCCAGTTTTATCCCCCAAAGCCTCTAGAGTCTCCATTTTCTTCAAAACAAATAAAAAATTAATACAAAACTTAAAAATATCCGGATTATAAATTCATATTAATACATAATGATTGTAATAATTGAAATTTAATTGAAAATCCTCAACGATTGGAGTTTTCTCATTTTCGCAATGAGCAAAAGGAAGGAAACGAATGCCCTGCGGCGCTAGCAAGTCGTACGCACCTAAATACATCTCTGGTAATTAGTATTCGGTTTCCTCAATTTCGCATTCGACGACCTTCCGGTTCATCACATTCCCGAACGCTTTGCGGATCGCTTAATATGAGAAAACGCCGCAAACTTTTCTAATTAATGCCCTCTTTTACTCCGCTGCGCCGCAACGACCATTCTACTTTCAACGCGCGCGCCCTCAATAAATATAATGCAACATTTAATACTCAAACGCGATCGCAAAAACTTCTCAAAACTCTCGCTTTGTGGTCTCCCACGCGCTTTAAAATTAAATGCTCTCTCTCGGCATAAATGCGCAGAATGTTACACATTACATATTCGGAAAGTTTTAATACACACCACGCGAATATTTTGCTGATGAGCAGTAAAATCGTTGTGTAGTTTGGATAGTGTTTGTTGTAAATGCGGAAACATCAAATTCGATTTGTTGCAATTTGCACACAATGAAAGCTGACGGCGGGCAAATATCAAACAAGGCTAAACGTGTAAATAAACAAACAGTGGGTATATTTCTGAAGCGCTCACGGGCGAATACACGTGTTTTAGGTGCATCCAGATCGCAATTCGAGTGCGATATGCAATGTTTCACGCTTGAAACGATGCGGCGAGTATTACAAAATGAAGCCGATGGCCGGCGGAGGCGCCGGTGTCGACAGGATGCGCGGATTCGTAAATCACAATGTTTCGGCAATTAATATTTATGACGCGTCGTTGTACCCTGGGTGGAAATACGAAATATGTTTTGTGTGGATATATAGACATGTCACTTGAACAAGATATTTGAGGAAAATTAATTTTAGAACAAAATGATGGCATTTTTTGCTATTTTTTATGTTTTTGGTTAAATTATCACCAAATATCTTTGAAAATATTAATATTTTTGACTTTTTACAATAAAATATTAATTTTTTTATCATGTTTTACATGTTTTACTTCAATTTTTAAGTTTTTCTTTAAAAATCAAAAAAAAATTATTTTAAAATACTTTAGTCACGGCTTTGACCATCCGGGTATAAAGTACCACTCTGGAAATAGAATAAAAATATTTTTTTAGCATTTTTGATGTTTTTTCCTTTAATTTTTTCGTTTTTCATTAAAAATCAAAACATTTTTCAATAAAAAACCAAATATATTCACATTCCATCCCAAAAAAAGGAAACTAAACCAAAAATAGCCCTGAGATAAGTCCGGTCAAACCGCAAATAAAAAAATAATCTAATTTTTTACGACCGCAGTCTTTTCTGCGATACACTTGTCAATGCCGTCCAAAAATATTCCGCTCTAACAAAATTATGCAACGACCTTTTATTCATGACAGAAACTCTTCTCCTCATACTCATACAACTTCATTTTATTCTGCAGCAAAATATTCTACTTTGAAACAAAATAAAAAGAAAGTCTCTGTTATAATAAAAATAAGATTAGTTTGGTGCGGCAACCCAACATGCAGAAATGACAGTAAATAGAAACACTATATGACCAGTAATGCACGCACGCATGTGCGGCGTTTGCGCTGGTTTTTGCAGTTTATGTGGCGATATAAACAGCAGTAGTGTGTGCGCGTGCTTTTATTGAGGCTTTAAGGGCTGCGTTGTAAATATAAAAATAGGCGACGCATGCGAAAGGTAAGTGCGGAGTGGTGGCGAGTTGCTTATATCGTAATGGTATCTACAAGTGGTGGAAATAATAAAAATACAAATACGTTACAATCTAAACTGGAAAATCAATTGCTGTGCTTCAAATGTAGGTATTTTATGTTAGTAATTTTAGAATTAAAGCAAAAGTATTAGAGATATCGTAAAAATTCTTTTAGAAATTGATTTTTATATAAATTCAACATCATTTTGTAAAAAAAATTTGTTTTTAAGATAATTATTCAAAAAGTTATTGACAATTAAAATTTGAAATTTAAAAAAAATTTAAAAATGATAAAAAATACCTGTAACTATTAATAAAAACAAATTTATCAAAAAATATGCTTTTAAATAAATGCAAAATTTAATTTTTTTGCAAATTTCCGAACAAAAATTAATTAGTTTTTAAATCATCAATAAATTTATAAAACTATAAATATTTTACTGACACTACTATAATTTTTTATAAAAATCGAATTTTTCCCTCAACGTTTTCTACATTTTCACGCCAAATTAAATTCTTGACGTGTCGTGCCCCACACCTCATCCGGCTCAACACGCGCCAGCACGCAAAAAATTAACATTTTATACATCACACCTCTTTTCCCAAACAAGCAAAAGAATTACAATTCGCTCGAGTGTCTCATCCGATAGCACCCGCCGTGTTTGAAATAATTTCACCCACTCAGCTGCGCATCTCCACGCTTAATCCACGGCGCCTTCACCATCGGGTAGCGTAAGTACGCAAACAAATAATTAAAAATTCATTCTAATAATTAATGCTTCGGCAACAAATCCAAACTCAAATAATCCGATTATTTATGAGCGTAATAAATATGCAAAATAAGAGTGAAAAACACTGCAATTCCAATGGATTTCGTACTTTTATTGCGCTCGCGTAGAAAATTAAAAATAAAAAAATAAAATAAAATCGACACACAGCAGAGCGGAAAAAGTTTTGCAATGGAATCAACCCTCATGCATCTCCCAAACGTCTCGCGCACCCGAAAGCTAAAATATTTACCGACTCTAATGAGAAAAAGGGTTTTCAGCCCGGTTACACTCGAGCATGTGAGCGTTTCCCCAGGACTATAAAGGATGAACACGCATGAACGTCGGCGTGTACCTGAAGCGAACCGAAAACGGAATCTATTTGTATGTACTCGTACAAACGCAAAAAAAAAACGTAAAAAACATCGAAACAAACACAAAAACAACGCAAAAACACCGAAAAACAACTCAAAATCAATTTACTACCATTAAATACTTTTAAAAATTATTTACCTGATATTAAACACGCATTTATATTGATAACTAGTCAGGAAAACACTATAAACACACTAGTTTTAATTTGAGGTTATGTAATGTTTACGGTTAAGTCGTATTTGAGTGTAAATCTAATGTTTATTGTAAAACTATTCGCGAGAGAATGGAATATTGACGCGCGAGGCGTGTTTGCCGTTTTGCTGCCGCCACCACACCGGGGCCGGCGAGCGAGCGGTGGAATATTGAGTGAACGCGCACAGTCTGGACCCGCAGCCCTCACTGGTGGCCTGGGCGCTGTTGGCACGCAGCATCCCCGCGCTTCGTGCAGGAGCGCTGCGCAGGATCAACGATCGCATCTCTTTTCTTTTCATCCCGCCGGCGCATATTTCTATTGCACTTCAACTTTGTGCAGACCGGGAGCGCTTTAAAGTCCTGATGGTGGGGTTGGTGCGTTTGTATTTTCGTTTCGTTTCGTGTGGGCGCGGGTGCGATGCGAATTTTGAGATGGGTTTCATTAAAATGGCAAAACTGCCGTCGACGTTTTCTCTTCAGCACATATTTACGCTCATTGCCAGCGCATCACGATGGAAAATAAGGATAACTAACGTCATACACTACAAAATTCACGTTTTTTTTTATTGCGCATGCGCGTAAAAAATCTACTTTGATCTTTCATCATTTTAATTACATTTTTTATTATATATTCTACTAATTAAAAATATATTTTGATGTTTTTTTATGTTTAATTTTAAATTTTTATTTTTTTGGGAAAAAAAATGTTTCTATGTACTTAGCGGTGAATATTCGCGCAACCAAGCTTGAGGAAATCTTTATAAATGTCTTGCCGTGGAGAGGACTCGCCTTCTTTTAAGTGCATTAACTCGCGAGCATCATAAATCTCCTCCGCCGGAGCAAGTGCGGAATAATTAGCAAACGACGGCGTAAAATTTTAAGCTCGGTAAGAACCATCCGTGCGCAGGGGACACTCGTTTCGCCACCCGACTTTACCGCCACAGCGCGATACAAAGCGACGAATTGTCTCGTGTTTGCTCTTGCCGAGAATGGCGAATCCACTTCCAGCGGGGTTAAAGTGTCGAGTGCAAGAACGCAAGGTGAAGTTGGTTTCCTGTTTGTCTCTTCGAAAGTTTATCAACTCCACTCATTCCTAACTAGTCAACTACTGCGCATGCGCAGTAAATTTTTAGTTATTTTATTATTTTAATAAATAATAGGAGTTATAGTATGTAGTAATTTATTATGAAAGTTTTAAAATAAATTTTATAAGAATATTACATGACGGAAACGTAACTCGTGAAGAAAAACGATCGAATTTATCTTTCGGGTACATTGTGTACAAGTGCGCTGTAAGCAGGACAAATAGCTACGCGTGCATCCAACCAACCCCACATCAGGCTTCAAGTCACTTCCGCCATTCACGTTAAAAACTCTCACTTTGATTTATTTTTTTCATGTACTTGAAGTTTTATATTTTTTTAAAGTTTGTATAATGTATATTTGGTTGCCTATATTTTATTAAGTAAATTCATGATGATAAAAACGTTAAATTTAATTTTTTATAGTTTTTCTTTGATTTATTCTTTCTTTATTACTTTATACTAAGTTTGTGTGATGTATATTGGGTTGCCTATATTTTACTAAGTAAATTTAAGTAGATAAAAAGGTTAAATTCAATTTTAAAATGTTTTACTTTAATTTATTTTTGCATGTTCTTATATTTTTAAGTTTATGTAATGTATATTGGGTTGCCTACATTTCCCTAAGTAAATTCAAGCAGATGAAGACATTTAATTTAATGTTTTTGTAAATATTGCGCTTTTGCACCTTTTGCGTAAACAGAGCGCAGGTAATTTTAGTTTTCAACACATTCCAAGAAAGCAATAAGTACTTCTTTCACAGTTTTCCCATAGCGAACAAAAACCGAATGAAATTCTTGCCTGCTTCCCGAACGGTGTAGGTGGAAAACGAGCGGAAACAGCTGTTAAATTTTAGAAAAGCTCTGATGACGCGACGTGTGTTGCTGTGCGCGCGCGTTTACAATGTTCCTTGTTTCCTAAGAATGCAGTTTTTCGTTTTCCGCCTACTTCACCCAAGCAAAAACGTAAACAAACAAAACACACACTGATTATATGCCACCACATGCACACACATCTCAAGTGAGGTTATGTGTGTGCGAATCGCAGGAACCGAAGCGCAGAGTTGAAACCGTAGCGCGCCGGCTCGCGGAAGAAGAAAACAGACGGAATTCAATTACTGCAAATGGAAGCAGGCGAACAGCGCAAAAAAAGTTAACAAAAAAGAAGCAGCAGCGTACACGTAGCGAGACAGGCGATGGATGCAGACGGAACAACAACAATCGTAGCGCGTTTTTCCATTCGCGTATTGTTTCTTCTCGTTTTTTCTTCGTCTGCATATAAACAAGGCACTGATTTGCCCGAAAAAACAATCTGAGTGTATTATTCACCTACACAGCGGCAATCGGAAAGGAATACGCTTTTGGAAAATTGAAACGAAGCGAACGCAAGTGATGAAACATTGAAACTAAATGATACTTTGTATTCTTTTGTGCAAACGAAGTGAAATGACCAGATGCGACGTAAAATTTAAAAAATAAAACTCCATTTCAATGCTGTAGAGCATTTCGGTGTTTGTTTGGTTGTCTATGTGCGTGTTTGAATCAATAATAAATTATTGCAATGTATTTCGAATCAAATTACGGGCTGGAGTTTAGTGTTTGGCAAGGAAGTGTGCGGCGGACATGTTTGCGCAACTGTGACAACAGTCTCGGCGGCCATCTTGCGTCTTGCACCGTATTAATTACTCGTTTGTTCAAGCCGGTGTGCTTTTAGGATGCAACACAAGTGAGTAAATGAGCTTTCAGGGAAGTTACAAAGTAAACTACAACCAGATACAAACAAATCAAGGAAATTAATTTAAACTGACATTTTGGGTCATTAAATATATAAATATTAATGTATAAATATTAATTTTATTTTAACGCCATCTATGGTTGAATTATTTAATTAAAAGTATAATTAAATCTTTATAATAACTTTCATCGCTTATTTAACACCCTGTATATAATAATTTTTATTATTTTTTTCATTATTCTCTTATTCAGGGCTAAGATTAATCTAAAAAGTATAGAACATCAAAATCTGTCAAACCGTTCTTGAGTTATTAACGTTTTAATTAACACGACTTTGTTTTATGCATAGATTTATAACTGTATGCAACCCAAATAACAAAATACTTATTTATACGTTGATTTGGTGACAACTATATAAAGATAGACAAATAGACAAAACCCAAAATTAGTATTCGCATTCCGCGTATCAGTTTTATCACCAGCGACGTGCACATAACGGCAATAAACCATCGCGCTAATAAATATCTCCACGTCGAGCGTCACAACAGCCGAAAACGAGAAAATATGCGCGAAAAATGCGTGCGCGGCGGTATCTCGCACGACTTGAATACGAAAATGCGAAAATGAGCGGGCAGCGGAGCGAACAAGAAATGCAAAAAACGACAGATATGCTACACATTAATATGTATGCAGCACACCATACACGCGCGCGCATTCAGTGCAACATTCAGTGTTCGGCAGGCAGCAAACAGTCAGTAAACAGGAAATAAAACAAAAGCGTGTCGGATGTCGGCGTATCGAGCGCGCGTCGAGAGCTTTTCGGAGTGGAAATGCGAGAGGCGTTGTTAAATCTAGCGTAAAAAGCGACAGTAATTATCGCACGATAAGGAATATTAATAACATTTCCGGTGGTTATCTCCACTCTAACGACCAAGGGCTTGTAATATACACGTAATAAAACACAAAAAATAAAGAAAATAAAAACAGAAATTAATTTTATTTTATTTTCTTCGAATAGAAGTGAAAGATTTAAAATCTTTGAATTAAAAATAGATTACACACCACGTGGTGGTCGCTGTAACTGCTTAGTTTGACTTGAAGCATAAACATGCAAACGAGAAATGTGTTCCAAAGATATTTTCGTCCCACAAACGTCTCAGTTTCATTCCACAAGCCGTGCGAGTCGAATAAACTCTAAATAAATGAAATTCTAACCTCAAAAATGTCAAAAATCTTAATTTCCGCGCATTTAATATCGATTGTTATAGTCGGTGTGTTTTTCGCGTTACTTTTACAATCATGTGCAGCGCAAACATATCAAGATTTATTCGATGATAATGCGCGGCGCGTCATTAAAGTCGGCGTTATTTTCCGTGACAAAGGTGACACTTTAGGCGATGATTACCTCGACACGGAAATCGCTTTCCTCGCCGCGCTGGAGCGTTTCAAGTTCGAACCGGAGTACGAAATGCAGGCGATTGTCAAACATGTCGCTGAAATTGACAGTTTTAAAACCGGACAAATTGGTAAGTGTGTTGCCTATGTCAAATTAATTTCTAAAAAAACTTTTTTTTCTAAATTTTTTCGTACATCATCAATCGACATATTGTACAAGTCTAGCAAGTAAAAGTTTTTATTTCTTATTTGACATGATGTGTACTTTGTAACTTTTCACTTCCTGTAACTTTTTTCACGCGCCACGTGTGCGAAAATCATCAATATTTATCAAAACACGTTGATACTAGTATGTTGAAAGTTTGGCGCCGTGTGCGTGCGAATGATACATCAATGCCATCCGGCGCCATCTTGTTCACATATTATCCGTAAATTTTATGCCGAAGAAGATGCAATGAGTGCATTTGTGCAAAACGTGCCGGAAAATATCTAACTATCTAAGAAAACAATTGAAAAGTGGCAAAAAAGCTCCGAGGATTGAATGCTTTCGGTGAGCTTTCAGTTTGACTCCGACAGCGGATATATTGCAATCGTACGTTTCAATAATGCATTTCCAACATGCACCCGATGCAGACGTTCCGGCAAAGAATTGCATTCCTACAACGCGTGGGACGTACGAAGAAAGTTGGAAATATTTAAATTTTATTCCGGATTGTTAGAAAGCATCAGTATCAGCATCAGTGTGGAATTGCATTGTCTCAGACCACACATAACCTTACATCACAACTTCCAAAATGAAATGAAAGTGTATTATTTTTGAATTTTCTTTTTTGGGAGGGAAATACAGTGTGTTTAGCTTTTGAAAAGTGTCGCTATTTATTGAAAACTGTCGGCGCGTGAGTTATGATGACGCGACGCGGCGTAACAATGCAGCGACGAGCGGGAGAAGCTACAGGAAGATATATTTCACGACAATGAATCCGGGGGCCCCGGCGCGACGCCATAATTCATAACTGTTACACTCTTTTTTTTCTTTACTTCCGCGCGCAGTTTCGCTTCCACATTGCATTTTAAATGAAAAAATTGTATTTTCAGTGTGTGTAAATTTGGTTGCATACATTTTTAAATGAAAATATTTACTTATTTTCAATGCGTAAAATTGGTTGCCTATATTTCTAAATATAAAATATTTCATTTTTAGAGTGTAAAGTTGGTTGTCTATTTTCCTAATTTAAAAATATTTTATTTTTTGTGTAATTTTAGTTGCCTATATGTCAAAATGCAATAATTTAACTATCAATGTGTAAATTTGGTTGCCTATATGTTCCTATAAAAATATTTATTTCGTATGTGCAAAATTGGTTGCCTATATTTCTAAATAAGAATAAATGTATTTTCTAGATGTAAAATTGGTTGCCTATATTTCTAAATATGAAAATTTTACTTTTAAACTGTAAATTTGATTGCCTCTATACCAAAATGCACTCATTTTACTTTTATGTGTAATATTGGTTGCCTACATGTCAAAATACAATCATTTTACTTTCAACGTTTAAAATGAGTTGCCTATTCTTCCAAAATGTTACATTTTGTTAAATTGGTTGCCTATTTTTTTAATTTTTTTAAATTTTCCAGTCTGTGAAATGTTATCCGAAGGAATCTCAGCAATATTCGGGCCGCAATCGTCCGCGAGCAATGACATTGTGCAATCGATTGCCGAGACGCTGGAGATACCACAATTCCAGACGTTCTGGAATCCGAAATTGGCCCACGCGGACGCTTTCCTCGATCGCACCGTGTTTAATTTGTACCCGGAGCCGAAACTATTCGCCAAGGTAAATAACTGCCCGGCCTCACATCCAACAATCCTAACAATCCCGTCTCACGAGCTCTGTGCAGCCTGCACAAACGGATGACAAACCGATTACACTCAACCGCAGATTGCGTATAAACATATAACTATCACCGAATCCAAAATCTAACCTAACCTCAAACGTACGCTACACTCACAACAAAAATACAAAAATACAAAATTAGAATCCAGCGGAAATATTCACAATTTATCAGCATTCCACATCATTATATTCTTCGGTGAAGACCGTAATCTTTTACATTTTATGATTATCCGTCGGCTTGCCGGGCTCCTCCACCATTATCCCTTTGCTTCCACTAAAAGATACCCCTATCCGCTGTGGAATCTTTTGGCTTACATTGCATAAGCTCATTTATCTCTGCTTTTTCTTCGTTTTTTTCTTACAAGAAAAAAAAACGTTGTTTTCGTGGGTTTAGCGCGAGACGCAACAAGAAGGTAAAATAGTTTAACCATCCGTACACACACACACACACACACACACGTAGATATTTATTTGTATGTTGGTATGTGTGTATTTAAGGCGCTATCAACGCTCGTGAGGGAAATGCGGTGGAAAAGTTACGCCATTATTTACGAGAACGACGACGGCCTGGCGCGATTGCAGGAAGTGCTCAAGAGTCGCAAGGCGGACGATCCGCCCGTCATCGTCAAGAAACTCACTCCCGGCGGGGATCACAGGTAAATGCGAAATTCTCATCAGCTTAGAATAAGTCCACATCGCATTCTTATTATTATTGATGTGTATTTGGTTGCGCAACTCTGATTACAAATCGCAGCCGGGAAAGTTTCTCTATTTCTCTTATCAAAAACGCTCCGGGGGCGGCGCGGATGAGGAACTTAACTTGTGTGAACCCAAGTTGAAAGTTTTGTTATGAATTTTCATGCTTTGCCAAGCGAAACTATGGCGAAGTTTTTTACAGAAATATTCATAATCGCCTCGTGATTTTAATTTGCGCGTTGAGAAATCAACGCAAAGTTTTTTACGATCAAAAGAATAACGAAATATTTTACTTGTTTGTTTCATTTTCTCGCCCTTTGTAAACTTGATAATCCTTTAAAAGCACATTGAAGAGCAAAAAGTTTTTAATACGCTTATAATAAGGTGATTACGAAACGCGTCATGTTAAAAATCAGGCAACCCATTCTACACGTGCAATACAAAAGGACAATAAGTTTACTTAAGTGGAATTACATTCGTGGTAAAGTTTTGGAACGTATTGTTCTGCCAGTTGCCAAAATTCCCCACGAAAAGTTTCACGCACAAAAAAATTATAAGCAAAACAAAAGTTGAAACAAAAGTTCACATAAGTGCATACAGATGGCGCTGTATGTGTTATCCGCTAGTAGAAGTAAATTTAGTTTTGTTCGTTTCATAATAATATTTCACTTCTTTTTCGCTACGGATGCGAAAACAATAAGAATTTTCTGTTTATGGTTTTCCACTGTTTACGACACAGCGTTTCTTCTATGCGTGGTTTGATTGCGTCCTTGCTTTGTTTCGGGAGTTTATTGTGTACTTTTTGCTTGTTTGCGCGCGACCGCAGGCCGCTGCTGAAAGAGATAAAGGACTCTTCGGAGCTACAAATCATACTGGACTGCGAGACAGATCACATCCTGGATATTTTACAGCAGGCGCAGGAAGTCAACTTGGTGGACGAGTACCACAGCTACATCCTAACCTCACTGGTCAGTAACTATTACTAGATAGGCAACCCAACATACACGATACACGAAAATTCATTTCTCTTGCTGCTCAATCTCGTAGATATCATCTACAAGGAGATGATTTGTTGCACCAGCGCGCGGTGTGCGGTGAATTAAATCGTAAATTTTCAGATTTAGATCTTTGAGCTTTTGCGAAAGCTCGTAAACATTTTTATGATGCACTATGAAGTCCAGGTTAAGTCTAGCGTTATAAATCACAAGTTATTAAATTTTCGTGTTCGTGCACTTCACAATCGACTGGTGGAGATTTCAAAGCCGGAAACCGGAAGTTATGCTTGTGGTTGGGCGGTAATTAAACTCATGAGTTGGATTAGCGCGTAAATTTTTAATAATTTGATTGATTTGGCGTTGTGAGCCGGAAAGTGATTAGTCACCTTTTGTGCGCATAGAGGGCGCTGCAGGTTTTGTGACTGGTCGATTGGAAATTGCAAATTGAAGCGATAAATCACCATCGTCGCGCCGCCACCTCCAATAAATAAATCTCCAGTTGAATAATGATTTATTCATTTTTACATTTTACACCCACAGAAATAAATTTATTTTTTAAATCTTTTAGGTTAAATATTAAATTATCTCTGATTTCAGGATGCACATATATTAAATTTCGACGCTTTTCGCCATTCCCGAGCGAATATAACAATGTTCCGATTGGTTGACCCGAACAGGAAGGGTGTACGCACCGCCGTGCAAGACTGGTTGCATACGGCAGCGCGTTCCGAACCACATCACACTACTAGACTAGCAAAAATCGCTACGGAGAATATACGCGTGAGTTCTAACCAACGTTTTTTTTTTTTAGGTTATATCGTCGAATGTATTGCGAATTTGTTAATTAGAGATTCATTAGTTGCAATCGCGTGCATAGCGATACATTTTCATTAGAATGCATGATTGATGATTTGTTCGGCGGGAAAATAAAGACCAATTTGCAGCTCAGCGCCGTGCACAAAGCCGATTAATTAATTCCGCTGCGAGTACGCTCAAAGCACTAATTATTCACGTGCACTAATGTGTACGAAACATTTAATGCACTCAATTGCACAACAAAAATTAATACGAATGTTTTTAATTAAATTTCATAAATTATTGATATTCTACCGCTGTTAATATTAATATCAACATTGCTTTTTGTTTAAATTAATAATAAATTCAATAAAACAGATTAAATTGAATATTATTGTTTTGGTGTATATTGGGTTGCAGATAGAAGCAGCACTTCTATACGACGCTGTAAATTTCTTCGGAACGGTTTATAAAGGCTTGGATCAAACTCAGCGGATTAAAACAACGGAATTGAGTTGTGATGACGATGAAAAATTCAAAGATGGCATGCGTTTGACGGAATTTTCTAAAGTTGTGAGTTTCACCGGTGTAAGTTAAAATAACCTGTACGAGTACTTACTTTGTATGTAGTTTGACTTCAACAATGGCACGCTGCCGGGTCCACTCACTGGACAAATACGATTTGATCGTCTAGGACGCCGCACCGACTTCGAACTGCAAATCGTCGAGTTGACAATCGAAGGAATACGCAAAACCGGCGCGTGGAACTCGAAACAACCGAACATTATCGCGTTTACGTTCAGTCAACAAGAACGCCAACTTGAGATTGTTCAACAACTGAGTCAAAAAGTGTTCCGTGTCACTTCTAGGTCGGTATGTCAACTACGCTAACCTAGGCAACCAATCATACATGTTTCTAGGCTCGGCGCGCCGTATTTAATGTACAAAGTGCCGAAACCAGGCGAACGACTCAAAGGCAACGATAGATTCGAAGGTTATTCAATGGATCTGATCGTCGGCATTGGTGAAATATTAAATTTCACGTTCAAATTCGAACTGGTGCCTGATAACAACTACGGCAGTTACGATCCGAAGACAAAAGAATGGAACGGTCTGATTCGCGCACTCCTAGACCGTGTAAGTTGTGCGCATGCGTCGAGAAATCAGCGGAGAATGTTGAAATAGGAGGAAAAAGTCCGCAGCGGATAATTAGGCAGCGGGCTTTTAATCAAGTTCACGGAGTAATTGGCGTTTTTCACATTCCGCGGTGCTTTCAATATCAATTGCGACTAATTGATTAACACGACTGAGAAATTCTTTTGATGTGCCGCGCCACAACGGCAAATTGCCGCGCGCGCTCGCGTCGGCACCGCTTTCTTCTTCGACCGCATAGTCTTTCTCTTCGCGCTTGGAAATAAAACGACAAATGACGCCGCGCGAAAAAACGCGCACGCGCTTTAATAACAACTAAATTGGGCACGTGCTTGTTTCTTTTATTTCCACGCCGGAATATTGCGAATATATTCGAAAAACAAAACGCTTTTGTTTTAATTTCCGCTGTGGAAGTGGATTGAATGGTTATGTTTGTTTGTAGAAAGCCGATTTGGCCGTGTGCGATTTGACGATAACATACGAGCGGCGCACAGCCGTCGATTTCACAATGCCATTCATGACGCTGGGTAATTCGATCGTTTCAAACCATTTTATTTGCGTTTCGCGTACATTTTCATGTTTTAGGTATTAGTATTCTCTTCAGTAAGCAAGTTAAAGCGCCTCCGGATTTATTTTCTTTTATGCATCCACTCTCACTGGACATTTGGCTGTACATGGCTACTGCTTACCTTCTCATCTCGCTTATTATTTATTTAGTAGCAAGGTAATTTCATTAAAAAAAATTTTTTTTGGAAAAAAATTAAATTTTTTTGTTTTTAGATGCGCTCCGGGTGATTGGGAAAATCCACATCCATGCAATGAACAACCTGAAGAGCTCGAAAATATCTGGAACATGAAAAATTGTTTATGGTTAACTTTAGGATCACTTATGGCGCAAGGTTGTGATATTTTACCAAAGTAAGTGTTTGAGAATAGAATAGCATAACTCGCGTGACTTTCCAACGAAAAAATATTAAAATCCACCTCGCCGAGGGTCAATAAAAATTTCCAACGACGGCGGCGACCAAGAAGAAAAAGAAGAAAAAAAAGCGAAGAGGTAAAACGAATGGCGGACGATTATTACCCGCGTACGCTAAGTACGACGCACACACGCGTGCGCCGTGTCGGCGCAGGATGAAAGGGTTCCGAGAAGGAGCGCGTGCCGCGCCGGTCATATGGTCATAGTTTATGACACGCTGACCGCTTCCTCTTCGCGGGGCCGCGCGCGGCGCACAAAGGCCGCGCCGCTACACTTACCGCGCGCGCCGCGAGAAAAAGCGCACGCCGACTGATTATGCTCGTTACTCGCCCGGTGTGTTAAATATTTTACTTTGGCCGCCGCCCGGCACAATGCGATTGAATAATCCAGCGATTTATTCAATGTGTGTGTGTGCCTGGGTTTCTTTGAACCGGCCGGAATTCTTGTTAATGTGTCATGTTAATGAGTATAACGAGACAAGATGGCCGTGCGTGTGTGTATACTTTGAGATGTGTAGTCGGGCGCCTCGTGGTTACGCACTTGTTAAACATTCGAGCAAATATTGATCGTCGCACCCGGCACCCAATTGTCAAACACTTTGTGTTTACCGGTTAACTTTTTTCTTTACTGCATATGATGTGCAGCAACCTAAAAAAAACATGTATACTTGGTTGCCTATAATGAAATTTTCGTCACATGATTAGTATACTCACAAAACTTTTTCTGGTGTTGTTTGCGTTTGGTTTTTGGTATTTTTTATGCGCGCTGAGCAAACAAAACCAGCGTCCCAACACGACTCCCGAACATTTAACGTGCCGACGCGCATACCTCGCATTCCGAATGCAGCGTGCACCTCTCGACTGATGATGATGATGATGATGATGATGATCATGGTGCGAGACGGGTCGATATTTTCATATCGTCTAATCGGAATCCAGGCATCAACCCCCGCGCGCACTCTCACGCATATTAAAGATGTTCAGGTTAACTACACGTTTAAAACGGCTGTCCCTTCAGGGGTATATCAACGAGGATGATCGCTGGCATGTGGTGGTTCTTCTCTTTAATCATGTGCGCCTCGTACACCGCCAATTTAGCCGCGTTCCTCACTATGGAACGCATGGGCCCCACCATTGAAAGCGCTGAAGATCTCGCTAAACAGACTACCATCAAATACGGTTGTGTCAGCGGTGGCGCCACCTGTTCATTCTTTAGGTAACTACATAACATACAACATAACCTTTAAAAGTATTTTTATATAAAATTAATGTGTTTTATGTTTTAGAGATTCAAATTTTTCAACGTATCACCGTATGTGGACGCAGATGCAAGCTGCAGAGCCTTCAGTTTACGAAAACAGTAACAAAGAGGGTGTGAAACGTGTGAAAACCTCGAAGAGACTCTACGCGTTCCTGATGGAGAACACAGGCATCGAATACGAGATGGAACGTGACTGTGATCTGCGGCAGGTTGGCGGCTGGCTGGATTCGAAGGGCTACGGCATCGCGATGCCAGTCAGTGAGTAATCAATTAAATCGTCGCCCGTTCGCCCATGCTTGGAGACATATCCTTTGTCTTGGAGCGCGCGCGCGGCCACAAGAAAGCGCGCGTTTCGCGGTCCCCACAGCGTCAGTCCGTAAATTATGCCGAAGAATGCGCGCGGCGGCATCTTATAAACGGAGGGCACCTCCGTCGGGATAGAGAGATGACGGGATAGGATAACGCCGACCGGGGGCTCCACGCCGGAGAGCAAAACAGCTCGTTAGTTAGTCGGCGTATTATAGTTTGCCAATCCGCGCTATCATCATCATCTTGCGCGTGGGCAAACCGCGTGTAACGACACACGGCGACAACACTTTTTTTCTTCTTCTTCTGCATCCACCAGACGACGATGTGCTGGAGATGAAGGAAAAAAAGAAAGTCCGCCTAAATGCGTGCGCATTATGTACGCATGCACGCGCGGCATGGCGGCACCGAAGCGTGCGTATAATTCGATCGGCGCGGCTCTTTAAGCGAGCGTTACGGGCTTGTAAAAGAGTTGAAGAGCCTCTGGAGGCATTCGGTCGGCGTCTCTTTGCATACTAACAACAATCGACCCCCGCTGATCTTTTACGAGTGCCGGCCTCGAAGAGATCCTCGTCGTCTTCTTTTCTTCTTTTGCCCACCACACTAACACGCATGCGTCGAAATTGTTTCGGAAATCTGCGGTAACATTCTCTCAATTACCTAATAAATTCTCCTAAGTCATCCATAAAAAATCTCAGCTATTTTTCGGTGAGTTAAGTGAATTTGCGGATTGACTCTTTCGGCATCCAGCGGCGCGACTGGGGCAGCCGAACAATTTCAAACTCTCCGCCGAAGAGAGATAATGTTCCACAGCGTGCAGCGATAAACAAAAAACCAAACAATTAGCGAATACCTTTGACCCACAGACTGAAATAAAGTTATTACTTTTAGATTCACCATATCGGACTGCAATCAGTGGTGCGGTGTTAAAAATGCAAGAAGATGGAAAATTGCATAAATTAAAAGAAAAATGGTGGAAGAAAATGCATGGTGGAGGCAAATGTTCCGTACGTATTTTAATTTTTTTAATTTTTTTTAAGATTTGTGTATTTATAATAAAGCCGTCGGGAAGAATGCGCGCGGCAAGTTCACAGACGCTTTTTATCCAATCAAAGAATCACTGATTTCGTCGTAAAAATATTTCGGCATCGCCTGTCCAAACAAGGCCATTGTCGTCGTATTCAAAACGTCGCCATTGTCGTGCGGGGCTTTATTTGCGAAATGTTTCAATTCCCAAATGAGCAGCGGACACCCTCCTCGCGCTGCGGGCATGCGAGGTGGTCGGCAAACAAACGCGCGCCGAAAATGACACACACGGCGCGACGGCGCGACCTGTATATGGTCGTCTTGGTCTCTTGTTAAACCAACAAGGCACCGAAAGTGACAGCGGCGAAGATAAACATCGCGACGGCGGCCTTCCGTGAACGACAGTGGATATGTGTGTACAAAACATTCAATTGTCCCGAGATGCCCGCACACGATCATCATTTTCCTTTTTTTTTTTTTTTTTGAATTTTTTTCACTGCGTTGCATGCAATTCCGAGTATCAATTACGTTGTCACCGTGCGTTTGCATTGATTAATCTGCGGTTATCTGCATTCTGACGGCCTAAAAATGGTTTTGCAGGCGTTGAAGCAATCCGGAGAGGAAACCGCCGCCGAGTTGGGCATTGACAATGTCGGCGGGATCTTTGTCGTGCTGGTGGGTGGCATCGCCTTGGCTTTCATCATCGCCATCGCTGAATTTCTATGGAATGTACGCAAAGTTGCCGTTACACAACACGTAAGCAATTCTAACCTCAAAATTTTTATTTTTAAATCAAAAACATAAAAATCTTCAGATTGGAGTTCGTGAAGCACTCGATAAAGAACTACGATTTGCTATGCATTTCTCTGTGTCCAAGAAGCGTGTAAAAACCACGACGTCCTCTTCAGGATCCTCCCTGGAGCCCGTGACGGATGCAGGTGATAACAAGACGCAATAAAACATTTTCGGAAAGCAGCACGCAATAAATTTTATTACCATGTATTTCTGCGCGTCAAAGCCACTCACCGAACACCTTTTATTGGAAAAAGTATCCAAGGGTGCATCTTAGAGGAAGATCTCCATAGCAAATGTCAAAGAATAGCATAATGGGTCATGTAATCTGCAATCAGCGGGTATGTGAAGCGTCCCGGTTGAAGATGATGCCTTTATAACGGGGGTGCGCTGTCATAAATTATCTTTCGGCAAGTTTAAAGAGTGACCACACACGGATTCGCCACCCACGCCCCTAAACCCAGCAGGGGATGAATATTTCTTAACTAGAAGTCTAGAAGTCAACTAACCCTTCAAGCTGCTTCTGAGAACATTATTGCTACACTTTGTATTTTAAATTTAAACGGATTACAAAATAGGATATTGTAGATAATCATAACCGATAGTGGTTTTAGTTTAGTTTTGTTGTGGATGTGTGTGTGTTGGCTGTAAGTCTCTCGGTGGCTTCTGATTGTCGCTGGTCAAAGCCGACATGCGTAAACCAGTAAACGCAGCGCACGTAAAATGCGCGCGCCCGAGTCGAGTTTTCTCTTCGTTGACTTTGCGACGGTGTCGTCGTCGCTTTTGATGGCTCGCGGCGTGCGCGCGCGCGCACGCTTGCGCCGGCTCTTCGCCGCCCTGTGTCGGCGCGCCTCTTTCATCTTTCCTGATGCGATGATAATGCAATAAGTTTGCTGTTAATGCTCGAGATGCGAAAGCGTTTCTCGGATTTGTTGCATTTCTCGTTTGACATGCGCGCGCGCGCGCGGCGCATGCTTCGTTTTGTTGTTGTCGATGCGGAGTTGAACGAACGAGATTTAAGCATTTCTAAGCGTCAGTCTCTAATTGGATTAAGATGAAACGGCCGAGTGCCGCAATTGAATTTTTGCGAACATTTTCTACCTACCTAGTTTTTAAATTGGGTAAGGGGATATTCACAGTCGGCGGTCGTGTGTACGACTGGCTGCCGATGTAACTTTTTAGCATTAAGATCCTGTTTTGCATTATTTCGGCGGCGTGGAGAGACACAATATAAATATTGTGAGGGTCTCGACCGCCCAAACTATTAGCGACCTGATAGATGGGACACCCGACTGCAATTAATTTCGTCCAAGCCAAAAAAAAACAAACATTTCAGGCATTTTAACAAATGAATCTTTCAAAAATACCAAAGTTGAGATTTTCTAATCTTACCCATGACCATGACTAATCTAACACTGATAAATCGTGCATAAAATCTTTTTAAAATTTTTAACTTTTTTTTTTTTTGGTTTTCAAAAAGCGACTCTTCCATCATTCGCGCCCTTCTCTTCGATTTGCCCTCCTCAGTCATCGTCGGTTGTCATCGACGCGGGCGCAGCGACTATTTAGTCACGTCGGCGAGCGCCGACAATGAGTGATAAGTCTCGGGAGATTGATCTGTCGCCGTGTCACTGAAGAATTCGGAAAGTGATTGAGAGGCCGGACCGGCCCGCGGTCAAAAACACACACACACACCGGCGTTTTAATTCCACTGCACCAGCGTGTCCATCTAACGACAAAAACCAAAACTAGTTTATTATATAGGTTACGATTAGCATATGATCAATCATGCGGCGTGAAATACCCAAAATTGATTATTGATGCGCTTGGTGTGCTTCCCACCACATACAAAAAGCGTCGAAATTCGATGCGCTTCTTAGGGGCACACCTGCGCGCGTGATTTTTTGGTAATTAAACGCAAGACTTGAAAGTACAGCGCCGACAAAACGCGCGCCAACTTTATCAGCGTGCGTGAGTCGCGGGAACGGGAAAAATCCCAAGCCGCGTCCGCGAGGCGAGAGAAAAAAAAGGGCGTCCAAACAGGCGTGAAATGGAACCTAACTGTCGGCGTTTCGTCAAATGTTTCACCTCGCGCGCCTGTTTAATAACAATTAATTTCACCAGCCTTCGAACTAACCCGCAAGATGGCCGTCGCAACTTACACACACAAAAATCTCAAAAAATAAATAAATTCAACAGCAGAAAGCTTCCAAAAATAATACTACACGAACAACAACAACAACCGAAAAAAAATCCTCTATAAATCACGAACGCATTGTTGTGGTTACCATTCTGTGGTACCACGTACGTATGTGAATGCATAAAAAAGGCATCACACAAAAACGCCGAATCTTGAGTGATACCGATGCTGATGCGCGCCGGTTACCGACCAAAGAAGATCAGAAATGAAAATGAAGCTCAAGCGAGCGCCCACATACACATCCACACACGCGTCGTGTTCATATTTATAAGCCATGAATGCCATGTTCAGATGTGTATGTGTGTGAGTGTGTGTGTGCATGTAGATGTGAACTGGGCCATTCGAGCACGCAGGTGCGGCGGCTCCTTTCATCTTTACCTCATATTGTTTCCGGCTGCTGAGGACCTATATTATGTAAACAACGCTGCCGTTTGAAGTCGCCGACGAGCGATCGTAAACTATACCGCAAATGAGCTAAGGCGGTCGGGTCCGTCGGTGGTTCGGTTTCGGCCTCGGCATCCGCGGCGCAGTGATGATGCAGCCGGATCGAACGCTTCTTCAACACACAACACACATGCGCGAATGTATCGCGAATAGAGTTCGATTTGACTTTTCTACGCGTATGTGTGCTATGGTTTCCTTACTATAGGCAACCCAACATACACCAAACTATTGTTTTAATATAACTTGTTGACGATGTTAATTTCTGTGTAAACAGTAAACAACTTACGCTTTTCATTAACATAACAAGTCATTATTGTTATATTAAAGATTATAAACATGATTTGTTTGGTTTTGTTTAAAAAAAAAATAAAAATAAAACGTTTTTTGATTTAATTGCGGCGCGGTTGTTACGTAGGAAGATAAAAGAATTTCGGGCGTCCGGGACCCAAGAAATTCACGATGGCCGTCGCGTTTCGGAAGTTTATTGGCAATTATTAATTTTTATACGGTGTGTTTTTATGCAGCGCGCCGACATCGTGTGTTATTTTGTTTTTAGTGCCCATTAGACGGGCTCATTATTTTTGTATTATTCCGAAAATCCATCGCCTCATCACACATCACACCACAGCATCGGCGTTAACTACTTAAACCTCACAAAAAAATTTTTTTTGAATAAATTTTTTTTCTTAAATTTAGCCTAAATTTTTACTAATACAACTCTGTATTGTTATTATACTGATAAATACTTATCACGTATTTGATAAATTTTAAGATTTAACCTAAATCTAGTGGGTTGTGTCTTAAATGCAGTCTACCAATAGAAAATCTAGTGTTTTGTAAGTTTCTTAAGAAAAGTCAACCCCCTAGATTGCGCATGTCTTCAACGGCCCGAGCGCGCACGTTGCCGCCGGGTGGTGGTGGAGGGGCTGGCTATATTAGTCCTTACACAGCGCGCCAGTCCATCAGAGCGTACTCGTGCACCTAGCGCGTGGTTCGTGTGCATATTTGGTTGCCTCCTCTCACTCGCTCCAGCGTGTGCGCAAGTGACTTAAGTGTTCGCGCGTGCGCTCGCGCTAAAATTGAAAACTCGTGTCCCGCGCGCATAAAACAAAGTTTCCTCCGACCAACAAATGAAGTGCATCACCATAGACTTTTAATAGTGAGTGGATAATCACGGTTAACTCCACATCAAACCCAACATGACAACAAAACAAAATTTCCTACTGGTGAGTTGAATAAAATTTAATATTGGAAACACTTTGTATAGGAGAGAACTGCGATTAAAGCGTGCGCGCACGCGGACAGCGTACAATTATGTGCGGACGGCGTGCGTGCTGCGTGAGCGAGAGGGCGCTGCGCGGCTTTGGGGAAAAGATGAAAGAAGCCGCGCTTCGGTTTTATCAGCGCGCCGCGCACGGCGTTTTAGGCGGCTAAACTTTAAATATATGCACGCCATTTATTAAAATCTGTCTCGGCCGGCACGCACCACTTCGAGTTCTTCTTCTGCTGTGCGCGCTAGAATGACTAGATAAAAGTCACAACGCGGGACGACTTCGGGCAGGGCTTATTTGTTATTATTAGAGTCTGTGCAGACCCGCCGGGAATTAAATCAAAAGCGCCGCCAAAGCATCGGCGCTGTCAGCATGATTTTCGGAACAAATAAGCAAAACCATCACAATCTTTTGTGTATAATTACAGAAATTCATAAAAAAAAAAGAAAAAAATTAAAATGAAAAAAAAATTGTTTTTTAGTCCGGTTCTGTTAAGTGTATAATTTTGTACGCGCGTGAAAACACCTGTTCGCTGGTGGAAGTAATGCCGGTGTGACTTACTATAAAGCAGGACTTCAAAGACACGATCCACTCCGTTTGCGATGACGCCGCGCCGCCGACGACGCTTTAACGGTGGTGGTAAACGTTTTCGGTGACTTTATGGATATTAACCGAGCGCGCACGCATAGATTTAAATTATTGATAAAGCGCTGCGCCACGCAGACACACACACACACATAATATACGAGCGAGCAATAAAAGCGATCGTAAACGTGATTCCTTACCTTTCGGCACCGCGCTCCGAAAATTGTGCATTTTTACCGCGCGCGCCACCCCATAACGGCGGCCGGCTATAAATTATACCCTCTGTGGCACTTGACTTGATACGCTCGAGAATCTACTTAAAATTTGTTCAAATTTTTCTCGTTTTTTTTATGCATTTTTAGTGTGAGGAGTTTTGGTCGGACACCAATGCTGTGTTTATTTATTGTTATTTTCTTGTTTACATTATTAATGGGCGTCGATTTGCATTCGTTACGATTTTATTTGTGCGTTTTCCATGTTTGCGCGCACGCGGCGCCACGCTTTGATGGTTCCCGACCCACGGGCCTCGGTTAGTTAGCCGCTTGATTACATTACCGCGCTGAATAAATCAAAATCGCCGCCGATCGGGGCGACTCTGTCATTAGAATGCGCATCGAGACACACAACAAGTTTTCCCTGAATATAGTTTTGATATCGTGGGAATGCGAATGATCACAAGTGAGGTTAAGGTTAGGTAGAGATATTCAATGTGTAGATGTGTGGATGTGTATGTTGGGTTGTCAGGTGCTTTGCGTACGCATAATTGTCGGCATCGCCACAAAGGAATTAAGATGCACTATTATCAATGAGCACTGCCTGCGGTTTTGCGGTCGTGTGGGCACGCATTGTGTCAGCGCCAATGTAATCTTCCGAAAGCGCTTTACCATTCAATATTTTGGGTGCTGTCAAAAATTTCATACGTAATCCTCTCGGCGGAGATTACCGAACACAATGCATATCACGCTCATTCATATCTCAATGTTTTGTTTGTAGATTTTCTGAAAGATCAAACAAAATATTAATTATAAAAGTTTTGGATCAAGATTGTAACCTAAAAGTTTAACCTCAATTGTGTGTTGTTTTTGTGATGCGCATGCGCGTGGAATGCGAGCATCTCTTGCCGTCGCTGCCTCGAATCGTTTTCCTCGTTGCGCGGAGGATGGCCGCATCGGCGATAACTTACGCGGCGTTACGGCCGGCACCGATACGAGAATGACCCTCGAGGTAAAACGAAATGAGTAATTTAATTTAAAACAGTGTAGGTGCGCGCGGTCGGCAAGATCAAAGGCACGGCAAGCCTCTTATTATCTGCTACTGTCGGCAGGAGGGAAGCCGCGCCGCACGAAGACCTCTCTCGTACAACGCGCACACACACAGCCGCGTCCACGTCGTCTTCTTCTTCGGATTCGTTTTTGTTTACTACGTATACAACTCGTAATCGAACTGGATTACGAGCGCTTGTAGTTTTGGTTTTATTTCGCCACACTAGATGTCGCTACAATCAAAAAACATTTTTTAGAAAAAAATGAAAAAAAAATGAAAAAAAAAACTTTCATGCATGTAGGTATGATGTACGCTGCATTATCATTTAACTAACTGTTCCATTACAACCGGCAATTAGGGCATTACAAAGTGCTTTAATTACTTTTTACTCATTTTATAATGATACCGGGGCACGCCGACGTTTAACGCCGGCGCACCGGCGATTTTTCAAACGTGTTTTTTTTTCTCCTGCCTACGTCCGAGGTTTCTAATATGTGCCCGATGATTAAAACGATTAATGATCTTAGAGGGGTTTCGGAAGGGTTGGTCAACTATCCGAGCAGGTTTGAGTGATGATCCTGGCCGCGCATAAAATATGCTCCGCTTTGAGGTTAATTATACTCGCTTAAGGACGATGGAGAGAAGAAAAAAAAGAGTTGTAGAAGTTGTGTTTGGCGATTTATAAAACTCGTGAGCTGGAAAACGCCAAAAAGTTAGTACGTCGGTAGCCAGGCAATAAATCACCGCCGGTTGTCAACGGTGTGCTACTCGCCAGGCACAGGAAACCGTCGTGGGGCAGGTCACGGTCACTAAAACACTACGCACACTCACTAAATCATCCTATGGCTACCTGTCTTTAAAATTTCAAGGAATAAAAACCAAGTTGATGCTTTTCGTTGGTGATTTTGATGAACAGGTGATTTTTTGAGATTGCGGGAAAGTCGGAAACATTGGTCTCACTCAACCGGCGGGAAGATCAAATGGCGTGAGGTCTCGCGAAAGCCTCGAGTCACACACGCGCGCGCACACCGAAAAGAACCGGGCGGCGAAAGATCAAAGCGGCGGCCCCGAACCACAAAAATCATATAGTATAAGCGTAAGCATTCACTCCGAGAGGCCCCGGGAGCATTGAGATACGTAATACGTTGCATGTGCGCCGCACAATAAAAAAAAAACACAAAAAAACACAAAGCGTTTTATTTTGTTTTATTCAGTGAAAGTTATTTGGGTTGCATATCTTAAAACGCGGCATATAGAATTTAAGAGCTGGATGTCGCGTTATCAACCATTAGTAGAGTGGCACTTAAGAGTTTCGGTGTCGTTTTCGGCGCGGGGTGGTGGCCGTGTTGGTCGGTCAATGCCCATTATGCACTTAAGCGCGTCTTCGGCAAAACAGTAGCCGGTAGCGGCGGTAATGGCATTAAAAGGTAGGCCGGAGCTACCGGCACGAGGCACAGGCGCGCGCGCGCGCGCGCCGCTCCGCATCATCAAAAGCCGAAGAAGCGGGCCGCCATCAAAGGCGCGCGCGCGTCCAACAGAGATAAAGATAAATCCTCTACACTCTCTCGTGCACCAACCTTACGTAATAAGTGCGTGCTTAATTGTTAATAAATTATTAAACGTTCGGAGACTTAGTAATCATATCTGCTTTCTGCGTTTTCTTCAGTTCAAAGTCACCGACACTTTGGCTCGTTACACATGCATATTTAATTTCTTACGCGTCCCACCGATACGAAACGATAATTTACTTTACCTGGCGCGCTACGCGTCCGCTTTTATTGCGCATTGTGCGTGTTGAGCAAATTTAGCGGAACGACCCGGCGCGGACATCGTAAACATCAACGGGACCATGGCGCGACGTATACACTACCGGAACAAAAAAACAACACCGCAACCCAACACACACAGCGCGCCGGGATGCGCACGCAGGTATTCGTGTAATTCGGTTGCAAATTTTATTGTGAGTCAAGTGCACGCCTATTACGCGGGCGTTTTTACGACCCGCCATCGGAATTATGTCTTTTCGGATGCATGACGAGGAAAGGATGCAGCGTACGGTGGTGTAACTAATATCGTGCTGGGTGCATTCGCCATGCCGGCGAAATGTTACCAATGCGATTCACTGTACACAGTGTAACAAACATTCAACGCTTAACTTTACACTAACCTACTGGATTTCGTGCGTTGGTGTTGTGTCCTGTATGTTGTGTTGCCTATATACAGAGATGAAAACATTTTTGTGTGTGTTTTTGTTGTATTTTGCAAATGGCGGCGCAATAATACCTGGAAAGTATGTCACTTTCAGCGTGTCTGCGGCATTCGTTCCGACGTTAGAAAAGGCGCAGCACATAAAAGGACATAATCTCATTTAACGTTATTATCTTTTCCATATCAAAGGATCTTTTTGTGTCGCGCCGCGGCGGCCTGTTTGTGGCCGTCACACGAATTTCTACCGTCTACTTATGCCCGCTTAATTCGTGCGCTTCTTTTATTGTGTGTTCGTCGGGTGCGTAATCTTTTATTTTCGTGCACCCGCGCGCGCGCACGTGAGCACGTGCAGGCCTTAATTCCCAGGCGACGCTCGAGAAGCGGATTAAAATTAAAACGATTATCGCTTCGCGTGCATCGTCGGCACGAACCTGGTTTTAATTGCTCTTTGCTTTTCTTCTTCTTCTTCGGCAGACGGTGCTCCTACTGTGGGTTGTCGTCGGCGCCGCTTCGTATCCCAGCAGTGATGACGCCGAGGCCGAGTTGGATCAGCCGCCGATTAACACCAACACCATTCATCGATTCGTGCCGTCCGTCTTTCGACCCGGTCACGATGAAACCAAATCGCTCAAGAAGGTTTTTCTCTCCAATAAGAGTGTCACGTGTAATGATGGATCACAAGCCGGGTAAGAAAATAACCCCCTTAATTCATCCAAAAACAAAATTTTATTTTTTTTACTTTTTGCTTAGATTTTATTTGCGTAAATCACACACGAGTAAAAAATGGATAGTGTTCCTCGAAGGTGGTTGGTATTGCTACGACAAATATAGCTGTCATAACCGTTGGTTAAGACAACGCCATTATATGACTTCAGCCCACTGGCCAGAAACACGAGATGGTAAGTAGTACCTAGAAAGTAACTGACATTTTGTAATCGATCACGTCCGCGGTGGAAATTATTGTTATTACATTGCGCGCTCAAGCTGAGACCAATTACAACGCAATTATAAAGTTAATCATAATTTTTCCAGTCGGTGGCATCCTTTCGCCGAACGAGGACGAGAACCCGTACTGGTGGAACGCCAACCACGTTTTTGTACCGTACTGCACAAGTGATTCCTGGAGTGGGTCAAAATCGACCCGCGAGGGAATGTTTAACTACATGGGCGCTGCGGTTGTGCAGCAGGTGATTCGTGATTTGGTCCCGTTGGGTTTGGAAAACAGCACGGATTTACTCCTGGCCGGAAGCAGCGCCGGAGGTACCGGAGTGATGATAAACTTGGACCCGGTCCAAGAACTCCTGCACGATATGTTGGAGTTGCGACATATTGCCGTGCGTGGTGTGACAGATTCCGGGTGGTTCCTCGATCGCACACCTTACGCCCCGAATGGGAAACTACCAGTTGAGCTGATCACCAAAGGCATGGAGCTGTGGCAAGGCAAGGTCCCACGGCTATGTAGACAGAAGTATCTGGATGAACCATGGCGGTGTTATTTCGGTTATTTGTTGTATCCCACATTGAAAGCGCCGTTGTTTGTCTTCCAATGGTTGTTTGATGAGGCGCAAATGGATGTCGATAATGTCGGTGCGCCTGTTACCAAACAGCAGTGGGATTACATTCACAAAATGGGCGATGCGCTACGGCATAGTTTCGAGAACGTCACCGCCGTGTTTGCGCCGTCATGCATATCACATTCGGTGTTGACCAAGAGAGATTGGCAAAGCATACAGATTGATGATGTCTCCATTGCCGAAGCGTTGCATAGTTGGGAGGAACAACCACTAAAGAACGTGATTCGCCGAATGACAAATTCATCACTTTTGGCTGATGAACCATCAGTGGCACCTCGACAAGTCAAACGCCGGTCAAAAACACCACAGAAAGACAACGCGGAGCGTAAACGCCGGAGGAGGAAGAAGCATCGTGAGCAGCAGCAACAGCGCAAAAATAATAAACATCACGAGAACAAAAGCAATGAGAACGGAAGCAAAAAGAACCGGAAGCGAAAAGGTATCATATTTCCAGCTAATCCCGCCCGAATAAAGCTAATATTGTTTTAAAATTTTAATTTCAGGCCGGAGACAACACCACGGCGAGCATCGAAATCGTGCCAATCGCAAACACCACCAACAATCGAATATCCTCCGGCCGACGGAACACCCCCGCCCCCAGAGATCCGTTCTGCGCGCGCAGAAACGATCACATCACGACGGGTCCCATCGGCGATTGGAACGATGCACGTGGCCGCAATGCAATCATTCCTGTCCGCGTCTGCATAATCCTTTCACCGGCGAAGAGATGGACTTCATCGAACTGCTTAAGTCCTTCGGATTGGACATGGAGAGTGTCGCGGTCGCGCTCGGTATTGACATGACCACGCTCAACAACATGGACCACTCGGAACTGCTGAATCTCCTCACGCAACAGGCGAACTAATCCCTGACATTGAAAAGTGATAAAAAGAACTGCTATATAAACAAACAAAAAATCACGAATGGACTTTTGAAATGAGAAAACGCGGATTGTAAATATGGAATATTTATTTTATTGTTTATATTTTTATACTTTTATATTATCCAAAGATGTGTTTTCCTTGTAACTTTAATTGAGTTTATGTATAACGTTAATTTAATATTTGCGACGCCCCCGAAATGACAATTTGTTTTGCCACTGTTGAATGCGAATTATTTGTACACACACGAGACAAAACAATAGGACTGATTTGTTTTCTACCTCACTTGTAAATAGTCAGTAGGTTACCACTTTATTTTTTTTTATTAAGTAGTAGTGTTAATGAAATGTTATTTGCTAGTGTTTTACGACTCCTGACGGTTTGTTTTTGTTGTTGTTGTTCGTGTACAGAACGACGCACTCAATTATTTAATCGACGCCGTACTCTTTACGTTTCGCTCGTGTCTGGTTTTGTATTTATATAACGAAAATTAAGTACATTTACAAAGTTCCATTATTCCGAAACTTAATCATAGAAATTTGCGTATACGAATTGTATGTATAAATAATATTAAACAAAAGACATTGATTAGTTGATATATATTTGACGTACGAACATTATTACTCCTCTAATTTGTTACAGAATATCTATAACTTATTCATGACATTGATAGAAGACTGTGTACCTGCTTGTAAATCGTAAATATTTTGTTGAATTAAAATGTAATCAAAAATGACGTTTTAACGTAGGCAACTTTTTATACACGCTCCAAAATTGGAATATTTTCAATTCTGAAATAAACTATCAATTGGAATGTGCCTCAGGTATCCATTTACGTAGGGATTTAGCAGATAGAAAGCAAAACCTTCCATGATAGCGATTTTAACTTCTTCGTACACGTCAGCGTTGTTTTCGTTCAGGAAAGTGTTCATTTCTGGTCCAAGTCGTGGATCACCACCGAATAGATTATCAAAATGGAAATAAGTTTTCTTTACAGTCAGAATCAATTTACAATCATTCCAATTGCTATTAACGTAATAATATTTCTTGCCTTTACGTTCTTCAGTTTTTAATTGCATTGTATAATCATACGCAGCACCATCTAAAATATCCACATATTATTAAAAGAGACACAAAATTTGAAAAAAACTTACAGTGAGTGATGTTAAATGTTCCTTCGCCTTGAATAGGTAAAATCAAAATTTTTCCATCCATAACATAATCACCAGTGTACTCTAGACGTGCAAGAGTTCCTTTCATACGTAATTCTTTGTCATTCATTGTGATTTCATCCGCTTTAATAGCATCCAACCCGACGAATGTGGGATGAATTAAAGTGATCTTTAAATCTCCAGCTGACATTGGCATTTTCTCCAGGTGAATTGTGTGCAGACTTTGTAGTTTATACAAAGGCTCACCATTGTCGTTTATATGTTGTAAAACAGTGTTATAATTATCTACTAAACATTTTGGGAGACTGTCATCCTTTTTACAAAGGTTTATATAATCAGCTGTAAAATTACAATCAGTAGTAATTTAATTTATGTTTAGTTTTACTTACGAGTTTTGCAGAATACAACTCCGAGTAACAAGAGTACAAGTCCAAGCACTTTCATGTTGTATTGTAAATATTATCAGAAAGGTAAAATAAGATTGCGCATCTTCTATATAAACATAAACTTTAACATGCAAAAAATGGAATTATAAAACGTAATTTACGTTCATGGTTATAATGAGCAATCAAACGCATTAAAATTTATAATTGCGATATAATTAAAATAGAAACTATTAGTAACAATTCAAATTGTGACTTTGAAGACCTGAATAATTAATTTCCACTTTTCACTTTGATGGTCAACAAGTTATGAACGTAAATATTATCATTTACGATTATATATAGCTACTAGTTAACCGGGCAAACGTTGTTTTGCCATATAAATTATTTCAAGTTTCTAGATAAATTGTAGTTTAGACAAAAAGTAACTTACTTATTATAAAAAATAAGGGTTGGTGATAAGAAACCAAAAATTTAGGGTTGTATGTATATTTTAATGCCACATTAAAAAAATAAAAACAAAAAATTTCGACCAAAATTTAAAAAAAATTAAGGGTGAACAACCCTTATCACTTAAAGATATGAAGTTACCGATTCTCAGACCTACTGAATACGCATATAAAAATTTTCTTTGAGCGGGATGAAAAATGATTAAATTACTAAAATGGCTATAAAGAAATAGGGGTTGGTGATAAAAAACTAAAAATTTAGGGTTGTATGTATTTTTTAATTCCACATTATAAAATAAAATAAAAACAAAAGAATTTGTCCAAAAATTTAAAAAAAAGTTAAGGGTGAACAACCCTTATCACTTAGGGGTATGAAAAATAGATGTTAGCCGATTCTCAGACCTACTGAATTCGCATATAAAATTTGGTAAAAATCGGTAAAGCCGTTTCGGAGGAGTATGGAAACAAACACTGTGACACGCAAATTTTATATATATAGATATAAAATGTTACATAGTTACAGTGGTCAATTACTATGTTTCAAACAAACTGTTAATTGGAATGTGCCTTAGATAACCGTTGATGATGGGTTCCATTAATGTAAAAGCAATGCCCTGTTCAAAAGCACCCTGCGTTTCTAAATATACATCCTTCCAGTTTTCGTTAAGAAAGATGTTCATTTCTGGCCCCAGGCGTGGATCACCACCAAATAAATTGTCAAACTGCATGTAGAGTCTGTCCATGCGAGTGAGATTTAATTGTGTGTCAGCCACATTGTTGTCTACATAGTAATATGTTTTGTCTTTGCGTTGTTCGGTTTTTAGTTTTGCTTTATAATCGAATTCAAAACCAACTGTAACGCATAAGTACAAAGTTATACATTGTCTGAGTTTAATAAATAGTTTGATAAATATTTACCTAGTGTTATATTTAGTGTACCTTCACCTTGAATAGGCAGAATGAGGATTTGTCCTTTCATATCATAACCACCCTGATAGCTGAGTCGAGGGACAAACGCGGATATTCGCAGTTCATCGTCGGTTATTAAAATTGATTTTAGTTGGGTTTCTTGTAATCCATCGAAGTCTATATCAACAAATGTTACTCGTAATTGTTTGGTGGCTTGCATTGGTAATCTGTCTACGTGGAATTTGGTTAGAGGTGGAATTTTCATTGCTGCATCACCTTCAAAAAATATTTTACATTAATCCCTACTAATATTATAAATGCTACAGTCCTGATGTTTGTTACACTTTCACGCTAAAACTACTTAACCGATCATCATGAAAATTTGTACACATATTCTTAGTGGTCCCCGAATGGTTATAGGCAACTTTTTATTTAATAAAAAAAATAAAGAAATTTTTTAGCCAATAATACCTCTGCATCTGGCTATTTGACTACTTTAACGCCATCTAGCATTTCAGCAATGAAGCTCAAACCTAAGTACTATAGTACCATCACACTGTATTATCACACTGTATTACCGACAGCTACGTCAACATCAGATCCAATTGACTACACTATGGAGACTGTGCACTACTCTTCCATAGACTATACTTTCAGCCATTTTAAACTTCCCGCCATTCTACTTCATTGTTACTTCTTCTGTGACTACAGACGCGTACGGAAGCAACTTCATTATTTTAGATATTCGCGAGCGAAGCCGTGGGTTAAAGCTAGCATACTATAAATATTAAGAGATATTTTATTACCATCTTCAGTGATTGCTTTCACTATTGCTTTGAAATTTTCCATTAAACATTCAGAGTTTTTCCCAGTTTTTGGACATAATTTTATATAATCAGCTAAAAATAAACTTTTTGGGTAATATAATATCCTAAATGTATATTTATTACTTACGAATTTTTGAATTTGCAGTATAAAATAAGCTAAAAACTAGTAAAGTAGTGAAAGTAATTATATAGACTTTCATTTTTAAACATTCAAGATGAACTGATTCATTTCGAATAATTTCACTTATTTTTATACAAATTTCCCTATTTTGCACGTGCCCTATAGCATGACACGTGCAATAAAATATAAAAAAAAGTATTACAACTCACGTCCAACAAAAAAACTTGACATTAATGAGTTTTTGCCCATTTACATAACCACCTGTGTAAACACTAGTAACTTTTTAATAGATTTGACGTCAAATGACCTTGATATCATTATAATATTTGTTTATTTGCGTTAATAATGCTACTCTAAACATTTAATGTCAACTAAATTATGATAATATACTTATAGTGAATAATTAGTCAGGTAAAAATAATTCATCGATAGGAATGTGTCGTAAATAACCATTTACAATCGGATTGACTAACGAATATGCTCCCGTTTGTTCCACTGCAACTTTTATCTCGTTGAACACTTCCTTCCAGTTCTCGTTCAGGAATATGTTCATTTCAGGACCTAGGTTTGGATCCCCACCGAAAAGATTATCAAATTGGTATATAACTCGTTCAATCTTGGGTATAACCATTTTTGTATCTTCTGGGTTGTTGTCGACATAGTAATACTTTTTACCTTTGCGTTCTTCGATTTTTAGTTTTGCTTTGTAATCAAGATCAAAATTTTCTATAATAACAATAAGTAACATTAAGAAAACTTATTTTACTCTATTTTATATTTGTTACTTTGTGTTATACGCATGGTTCCTTCTCCTTCAATTGGTAAGATGAGAATCTTTCCATTCATCTGGTACTTGCCATTGTAAATCATTTCATCTGAATGAAGCAACATACGGATTTCTGTGTCATCAATGCTCATTTCTTTGACTGTAGATTTTTCCAAGCCAGTAAAAATAACGTCCTTCAAAGAGACTTGTAAATCAGCAGTGGCTTGCAGATCAATTTTGGGAACATGGATCGCACGAAAGTTTTGAACTTTATATGCTGCTTCATCTGATTTCAGACAAATATAATTAGTATTAATATTTTGTATTAAAACTTTTGTTTTAGATTTTAATACCGTGGTCAGTCAAATAAGTAAGAACATCTTTGAAATTCTGCATCAAACATGCTGAGAGACCATTTTTCTTTGAACACACCTTGATATAGTCCGCTAAAATATATTTTTAATGCGTTTTTTTCCAAAAAGTATTAAGAAATTACTTACGAACTTTACAGAATCCATTATTCACAATTATGGCAAAGCAAAGCAGAGTAATCCAATACATACGTGTACTCGTATTGCACTTCATTTTAAAAATATGTGATATATTTTCAAATGATCGCTAGTATTTATACCATTCGTCTACGCATGACTTTGTTGTATTTTATCTGGTTTAAGTGGTCCTAAACGCGGAAAATTACATAAATGCATGCAAATAATTGCAGAAATGGCAGAAATGTCTCCATTCTTAGGTTTAGAGTGCATCTTACTCGTTCACCTTCAGAAGTTAAACGCGGTTGCATGTTGAAATTATTTGACAATAGTTAAATTATTATAGTAAGACATATCAGCTAATTAGAACTCATTAGAGTTCCTATTAGAACCCATATTTTAGATTCTAAGTGAATAAAAAGGTATAGGTTTTAATTATTTGCCAATTTATAACGGTTGGTGGTTAATTACACACGCTAATGTTATTTTAAATTGTTTACGTTTGAAGAAAATGATACTGTAATGATAATTTAGAGTTTTCCATTTAGAAGATTGTAAAGTGCAAAGGGGAAACTTCAATGGCAATTATCTTGTAAACTAAAAGCGATAGAGAGAAACGGTTTGAAAATTCTGAATCCTCGTGAAATTCTTGATAAGAAAAGAGATTTAAAGATATAAAATTATGCAAAGATAGCATTTTTAGGCCGTTTTTTACATTTTTTAAATGATAATTTAGAAAACACTCTGCATCTTCTATGCCCTTAAAGCAATTTACGGTTTCTTTAGTTCATATTGTAGATTAGAAGACCCTTTATAATACCTATCACACTACAATCCTGAAAACCCTTAGATAGTGCCCTAAAATACTCATTAATTGTTGCAATTTTGCATAAATTTACTGAATTTCCATGAAAAACACCCTATATTTACTAAACCCCTAACAAATTTTAGGGCTCTTCACTGTCATAATATAGTTAAAAAGGCCCTTTACAATATGCATAAGATTTGTAGCCTTTAAACCTTCAGGAAACCCTCTAAAATGCCCTTCATTAATAAGTGTACGTTAAATTATTAATTTTATTTTAATTTACTAGTTGAAATAAAGCACCAAGTTTGTAAAAATCGTTTATTTTGGTAAATAAACAACATTAACCTAATTCTTTAAAATAATTTTCGGTCGAACAACAGGGTCGAACTAATTTGTAAAAAATATTTTGGCTCGAAGAACAGGGTCGGACTTTTTCATAAAAAAATTTTGGCTCGAAATCAATTTTCATTTTTAATTGCAAATATCTCCGAAACAAAAAGAATTAGGAAAAAACGGATTCCATATTCTTGAAGCTTGAAAATTTCTCTACCGAATACCGTAGAAAACCATTTTTTAATTAGTTGAAATTAAAATATTCAAACGCTAATAAATCCTAAAGTAAAAATGATATTAAAAAATTTTATTAAAATAAAAGATGCACAATTTAACTTTATATCGTAATCTGAAATAAAAAAACAATTTTTATTTTCACACAAAAATCGAAAATTTTTGGCGGAGGCGCCTGACATTGATAGTTGAAAAAAATTAATTAATATTTGATAATGCCGTCGTGAAGAATAGATATTAATAGTCTTTTATGCACAATTTTTAATTTTTTATCTACCACGGTTTACCCTGTAGACGCCTTTTAATGTAAAGTATACTTGCAGCGACACTTTACTTTCCATTATCTCAAGAACTAATAAAGATATCCAAAAACCGTTTACGATATAATATTCAGAATTAAATTCTACGTAAGATACGATTTTAAAATTCTTATTTTTAAAGTAGTGAAACATCATTTTCCGAGGCAATTTTCTCGGAAACTATGAATGTTACAAGGAAACTTTTTGCATTTTCTTCATGACATAACAAGACTCTAAAAGATGGCAGATTTAGTTTTCTCATTTTCTGCAGTTGACAAAAACCCCTCAAAATTTCTCAAGAGGTTACACTTGACTACTTTTTGGTCTAAAAATTATTTTTTTAGCTAGAAGAAAATGGAAAACGCTAATCGATAGGAAATTGTAAGGGGATGAAAGATATCCAGTCAGTTTTTTGATAACATCATTATTTCCCAAATTACTGGTGAAAATCGGAACGTGTCTAAATGAACCACAAATTAGATTTTCTTCAAACTTAGTATTCTGATGTAGAATGATGCAAGGAATCCATTAATGTTGGTTTTGTTCCGATAGCGTAATTAGTTTTTAAGTTATTAACGATTTTTCAAAATTACATAATATCGAAAAAACAAAAATTGAAAATATGAAAATACGTAGAAAAATACCCACTATCCAAATCTATAAACAATTTTTCTAAAACTCTAAGCGTTTTCGAGAAAATGCTGAAAAACTGAAATTTTAACTTCTTCCATGCTCACCTATGGAAAAAATAAAAAATAAAAATTTATTATTTTTATTACACTAGTAGATAGAAAACAATATTTGGTATTTATTATTTAAGTAAAATTTTCTTGTAAGATTTATAGTTTAGATAATAATTACCATTTTGTAGGTAGGTATTCAGGAAATACATTCTACATTAAAATTTCAAATAGGGCCTAAACAGTGAATGTTAGCAAAAAAAGTTACTTAAATAATCGATGTAGAATTAAATTAACTATCAGAATCCAGAAACAAAATTTCAAAATTCCAACGTTTAATATTCAACATAAAAAAGAGAAATCTTTTGCCTTTTTTATGACGATATCTTTTACTTCAAATCGGATTTATTAAAAATTGGAATTTTTCAAATCTGATTTCGGATTATGATAGACATTTTAATTTTACATCGATTATTTAAGTAACTTATTTTGCTAACATACCCCGTTTAGGCCGTATTGGCAATTTTAATGAAAACTATGTACTTCGCACCAAAATGCAATGGTATAAACATATTTTATTAAAATTGCAAATTGAGCCTGAACCGTATATGTTAGCAAGAATTGTTGCTTAAATAATCGATACAGAATGACGTTATCTATGGGAATCCGAAAACAGATTAAAAAAAATTAAAATTAAAAAAAAAAAATTTAATTTTCAACATAAAAAGTTGAAATTTTTTAACTTTTTTTATAACAAAATCGTTATTCGCCTGAAATAATTCCAATTATCATTTTTTCATGCGTTGTTTTCCTGAAACATGTAGAAAATCTAAGAAAAATGTCATTTTTGAGGGTATTTACACAATAATAGAACCAATCAAAGAATCCATTTAAAAATTTTATTATTCCTGTTTACAAAGTCGTATAATTAGAACATAATAATAAAAAGTAACTTACATCAAACTATGTACAGTTTTCATTGTTATTACAACGCATTATCCTAACTCGTTTGCTTTCGTCCGCAAAATGGAAACTAAACATCAAAGAACTCAGAAGTAATCATTAACTTACAAGTAAAGAACACAAAAAACATAACGTAACAATAAAAGTAAAATTTGCTTATGGCATTAACGACACAGTACACATTACAATGCCTCAAAACCAATCGTTTTTAAAAATTCATATATAAACTTCGCACAAAAAGTAGGTGATCTTTTTTTTTCATCTTACACGTTTACCTTTTTAAATCTTATTATCTTAGCGCATTATATTCGTATGTACAATTAGTATTTTGGTATTTTATAATAATCATATCATTATTATTGGTTTTAATTAGTAGTAAAATCACAGTTGTCTTAAATATTAGTCATTATATATCGTTATGTTTTGTTTTAATTCTGCCATTCAATCGAATCCATAGACATTCAAGCGTGTGAATCGATTGTACAAAAGAACTCGTAAATTATCATCTAATTAGTCGTTTTTTGTTTTGTTTGCAGTGAACGCCCAAGCGCTGAATGCATAAAACGCTTACTACGTCTCATAGTCGTGTGTGTATCATGTCTATCTGGCCATTTTAAATTTGTATTCATATATCTATGTACATTACAACACTGATATTTGTATTTTTGCAGGTTTACACGTTTCGTTTCATTAAAATACTCGTACCTCAGTTCTTGTAACAACTCTGGATTGTTACTTTGTTTGTTTCACATATTCACTGTTAGTCTAAGCTAACCAACGTAGCCATATTTCTTAAGTCGGTTGGCAGTTGATGATTTCAATGATTTGCTAGTAATTTATGGCTTTTTCACTTTACTGTCGTTCGAAGCGATGGAAGCATGCGAGTCCGTCCACATTGGTAAATTTTGGAACAGACTCAAATACGGCATGTTAGGACCACCGGGCATGGGGAACGGCAGCGGCGTCGAAAATCGCGAATTATTATACAGGCTCTGATAGTACATCGGATCGATCAAGTATGGCGGCGGTATGCCTTTGCTCTGGGCACTGGAGACCGGTGCCGTTGGGGGCATGGGGAAGTTGGGCAGCAGCATGGAAGGCGATGTGGGTGCAAACTTTGATTTGCTCTTGCTCGCGTTGTACATGGGTGGCGCGTAGAGATTGGTCACTGCGCTGGCGTTACCCAATCGCTGCTGCTTGCCGTTTTCCTCCACGCAAGCAGCTTTACTGCTAGACGCATAATAATCATTCAGGGCACGTTTATGTCCACCGCTTGGCACCGTGGGTGCTGCAGTAGGCGGCAGTTTGTACTGCTGATGCTTGGATGTCGAGGACGTTGAAGACGAAGACGAATGATGGCGTTGTTTCTTATGCGGACGGGCCTGCACCTGTGGTACTTGTTGCTGCTGCTGGTGATGCATCAACTGCGGTGATTGAGGATGTTGCAGATGTGGAGGTAATTGTGGACTCGTCATAGGTGGCGTGCGCTGCCCATTTGGCCCAACAAGAGTAATCTCAAGATTGTGATTCAATCTTCTACCCTCTAAGAGTGGTAAAGATGGAGCCCCGTACCTGTTAATACCATTACTCTGAAGCTTTGGAGGTATGACAGGAGGTGCCCGAACATAATCAGCTGCTTTCTGAGGACTTTTCACAGTCAAATCCAATAAATCTGTTATTGGTTTGTATGTCCCACTGGATGTCCCACTAGCAGCTGGTGGTCCTCCAATAAACTTCGGCGTTTGCACTTGATGAATCTGCGGTTGGATTATATCCTTTGGATCACCATACACCGTCATCTGACTCGGAGTGTAGATGGATTTCGATTGCACCACCTTCGGCGGTGTGTTATAGTTGAATTGATATTTAGCACTCTTTAAAGGCGGTGTCGCCATGGGCGATGGTCGCTTAATAAGTGAAGCGTTTATAGATGGCGGCGGCATATGATGCTTCTCTATGCTCATCTTATGAATCGTCGACGTTCGGATTGGCAACTGCGGTGGGAAATTCCTCACGGGCGTCACCTCCAAACCGCCCTCCTTGAGGATATCCAATTTCCCTTTCTTAACATCACCAGCATTCTTGTTGTTATTCGTTGTACAATTGTTGTTATTGTTATTTATATGATTCGCATGGTTGGTAATACTAATTGTATTATTGTTATTGCTTTTGCTCGTGTACTTGTCCGACTCCAGATCAATTATCTCAGGAGACTTCGGTTTATATGGCACCTCAACAAGATCAGCGTCTTCTGGGCAATTGTTACTCGACGATGTCTTCGTATGCACATCGTTCTCGTCGTTGTAGATAGGTATGTTCTCCTTGCCTTCGGCGGGAGAAGTGCTTTTCTCCGGGGAGATAATTTGTACAGGTGCCACTGCACCTGTAGACGGTTCCGGATCCTTTTCGGGGATCTTGTTTTCTTCTTTTATAAGCACCACTTCTTCTTCCGGTTGCATGTTGGATGATGGCGCGGTAGCAGATGAACCGATTTCTTTCATGTCACGCATGCGTTCCGGTTTAACTCGAACGCTTCGTAAAGACTTGGTGGTTTCCACCTTGATGCCCATGAAGTCCTTGCATTCGGTGGGAGTACTAGGCGTAGACGTCGAAGGTGTTTGCAGTTGGGGTACGGGTGTGCTGTTGCCGGAGCGTGATGTGCCCTCACTGGACTCGGCGTCGCTCATGCTCGTACTGCTTCCAGTCTTGCTCTTCAGCCTTCGGCGATCGGTAGTTGCCAGCAGCTTGTTGTATTCACCACCTTTGAGATGTTTCTCGTACGACAACAAAAACCTACAAATAATCACCATTAATCATAATGTCATCGCCCACACCAAATAAAAACAAAAGTCTACCTCTCGTAGTGTCGTCTAATAACCGTCGCTGCACTGGTGCTCGTCTGATGGCCGCTGAGGTCGTCGAAAATCGACTTCCACAATCGATTCTGGGTGACGGCCTCGTATCCGCCGATTCTCTCCACTTTCGTGTAGAACGAATACAAATCCACTAAAAGTGACAAGTTGTCATTAACAAGAGCAAGTTTAAACACATGCAATTACGGCGAGTTTATGCACGCCGGTGTTTCGTGCGCCATAAAATGGCAACTAATTAGAAAATGGCGGAGGCGCCGCTTGAAACTTTACGAGCGCGTTTAATCCACGTCTGCGCTTAATGCAACAATATAAATACTCACGTTCTCGGTAGCCCAGCGAAGGTATCCTCCCGATGGGCGTCTTATTCTTTTTCATAAATGCCGTCAGTCGCTTGACGAAGTCTTGGCTCTCGGCGTTGCTCTCGGATGAGCGCGTGCTGCGGCGCGTCGCGCCTCTATCACAACGCAAACCGTTACGACCTCCACTGATCGTCAACTTGTTCTAAAAACATTAAAAATCATTTTTAATAAATTTTACTTTATAATTCTGTGATCTATAATTACCTTGCCAGAATTGAAAACGTTTGAAACAGACGATTCGCTTTCGTTGCTTTCGGATCCCGGTGAGATACTCCTCTTTTTCCGCTTGCCTCGCGGTCGTCCCTTCAATTTGGGCGCCAGATGATTGCACAGCAGCTCGTGGCCCTCCAACTCTGGATAGTCAAAGGTGTCGCGACAATATAAAATCTTCGTGTTGTCATTCTTCACGCGAATTCCGCCCAGCGCGTTGACAAAACGATGCTTCAACTGGTCATCTTCAACTCCCTCAAGTCGTTTCAAAATGGCGCGATATCGGCAATATCTTGGATAGCTGAGGATAATCACCGACGGCCCTTTCGGCGGTTTAATATCTACAAACACAATCAAATGCACTGTGTGAAAACATGCGTTTCTATAAAACGTTGAATTAAAATTCAAGGCGAACACAAAAAGTGTGCATTGTTCGCGGTTAAACAATGTTAAAAGAAGTCGTCAGCCAGCAGCCTAAAACTGAGTGATTGTTAAAATCGACATAACTGCGCCGCATGGGCGCATGTTGTACATCGTGAATAATAAGCGACGAATTACATGCGATATGCAGGCTGCGATAATCCGACAAAACAAACAAAAAAAGACGTGCAAAAAAAGAAATGTGCGACGAATTATAATCACAATCGTAATTTCAATTCCAATTCCATTTCTGGTACTTAAACTTAATCAAAATCGATCAGAAACGGGCGTGTAACAGGCGAATGATTCATTGTCACCAACATCACAATGCGTCACTAATTCCCTCCGAACTATAGCCGACAGAAAAAAATTCATCACGAAGCTGTGTTTTATTTTATTGCATTGCAACACTCGTAAATCTCCACTATCGAGTTAATAAGTTTAAAATAGGACACGTTTAAACTGTTTACAGTTGAAAATTTCAGGTGATACGATCATTGAGTTCACGTTAATGCTCAGTAAAGCAAATAGCATTAGTTTCGATAAGGAAACTCAAATCTATGTTGATATTTGTTTAAACAATTGACTCAACAAACGCATATAAACATATGCACAGTATAATTTCATTTCTAGTACAATTGACACGTAGATTTAACATTTAACAAGATAATTTAGTAATTTTTTAGTTCCAAAATTCATTCACATTGACATCGTTTCATAAGCGGGTCAAAAACTCAAAATTCGACGAAATAAGCGATCTGTTCAATGTGCACTGGTAATACCAGCAATAACCTACATAAAGTGTGATCTCCTCGAGTCTATTACACGTTCGTAATTAAATTACAATGTAATCAACACATACACATACACACAACGCGTAATATAATAATGGCAACCAGCAGAACACATCAACAAAACAATTGAATGGGAATTGATTAACGCAACGCATAATTGACATAATATTAGTTGCCTTGAATAATAAAAATGTATAACAAACGTTTAATTAAATTTTATTTGCTACAATTGGAATTTCCCCAGCGGATTTAAAAAATATCTATTCTATGAAAATCAAATTTATTGTATTGTGTAGCTTTGTGGTAAACTATCAGTGAGTCAAAATATGAAACAAATCGTGTTTCATTTGTTTTCATTGTTTATGTTAACTTTATGTTGACTTGATTTAATTGCCGATTTCCCGTATTCCCATCTTTTACAAGTTGGTGTTGTGTGTGTTGCTGACTCATACAAACCAAGCAATTATGTCATACTGTCATTCTTGATGTTCTAGTATCAATAGATTATACTTGGAAGATACTGGGCAGTTAAATTACGCTCAAACGCTCCAAACAAATGTTAAAATTATCACTTTGAGATAGACCTCCTCGACTGGGTCTGAAGTGGGAGTGGAGAGCACAACGATTAACACACGGTTTGTGTGTTGGCGTTTCGGTCTGTATAAATATAAATAAAATCCGACTGCATCCATACACATCGTTCAGTGCAGACCGCAAATTCGTCCACAAACAATCTCACCGCTAACAAATTCAACAAACTGTAAGTGTATTTCGATAAATTCGGTATTTTAACATCCAGACGTGATTTTATTTCGTTAAAATTATGTTTGGTTTCGATAGGAAATTGGAAAATGGCTTTCATCAAAGTTTTGGTTTTGACGCTGGTCGCGCTCGTTGTGGCCGAGGCCGCTATCGCTCCGGGGTCCTTCAGGGGATTGACGCAATTGAGAAAATACGGCCAGGATCAAAATTGTCAGTGCATGAATTGGCGCAGCTGCGATGGCGAGATCAACAGCGAGTGAGTAACAGTAACCAACTCATAATTTGAAATAAATATATCAGAGATACACTATACATAATTAAAATCACATTGCATAAGCTTTTCTATAAATTGTAATAAAATTGTTTTTGATTTAAAGCGTGCAATGCAGTCCGAGCTTCATTATGGTGTGCTGCATCCGAGCGACGCCGGAACCCATTCCGGAGTATATTCCCGAAGTTGTTCATGTTTAATTTTATCATTCATATAATATAACTGTACACAACGAAATGTTCATGGAATATTTGTCGCAACAGACCAAAAACTCTTTTATATAAATATAAATGAATTTTCTCTTATTTAAATTTTACTGCGAATAAAATAATAATTATAATTTAGTTTGTAATTTCGTTGAATTATAATTTTGGCCAATGTCATACGAGGAGAGAATAATAAATTAAACAAACAATATGCAAATATTTCCATTAAAAGTTTACGAGTAAACAAACTGAAGTATTGAATATTCATTAAAAAAAATCTCTGTTTAACTTGAGTTTAGTTTAAAATGCGATGATAAACTTGATTAAATATTTCCGAGAAGTAGTGCGAAACGGCTGTATCTTTTACTAATCAATACATAATCCCATTACGTCGTCTACACGTCGTAAACACTGCTTTATAACTCCGCCGCGCGACTGGCAAACCATAAAACTTTGATTGACGTTTCCACAAATTCACTTCCATTAACATTTTAACCTCGCGCGAGCATCTCGAATGCTCCAGCCCGCCCGCCCCCGAAAACGCCACACGCATGCGTGCGTGCGGTACAACGCAAAGTTCGCAAACAATTTCAATTAAATTACCAAAACCGCCTCACTCTCCCAACCCTCAAAAGGTCCCTCAACATTAAATTAAAATATTATAACTAAATTTTGGCGTAAAGTAAATAAATTGAAGTAAATAGGATTAATCGGATGTGGATAAGAATAAAAAAAATGGGTCTGGGTCTCACCTGATAATTTCCGCTCGCGTTCGACGTCGGAAAAGTCCAACGAACTCTCGGTGAGGCGCGCCGAGATTTTCGGCTCGGGGATTTCCAGCGAGGGGTCGCACCGCCCCCTAACATACCGGGCGGACCGCCCCCAGCCCCATTCGGCGTCCAGCGTTATCCATGTGATTAGGTCCTCGACGCGCAGGACAACCTTTTCGGATATCGCCAATACTTCGTCCTGGAATTGTCAAAAAACCAACAAAAATTAATTTCTGAACATTTTAATTTAAAATAATAATAAAAAAATTTAATGCTTTGATGTTGGCTTGAATTTACCATAAACTTTTTAAATGCTCAAAAATCCAATTAACACCAAGCTTTTTTTACTCCACAGCCATAAAATAAAACAAAACAAAATAAAAACTTTGTCGATTTATCTTCAACTGTGATTTACTCTATTAAAACTTCATTCAAATTCAAATTCAAAACTTCAAATTCATTTTTATTAAATAAATAAAAAAAAAGTTATTGAAAAATAATTAAATTTGTTTTTGTTTTACGCGTTGATGTGGGCGGCGAGCAATTTGGGGATTGGTTCCGGTCGTGCGCCGATTGAATGCGAAAACGCAATAATATTGTGAAGCGCGCGAAGGACGCGAGTTGTGAGTTTCAACTAAAGCGCAATATTGATTTTGTACCTCTCGGTGGCGTCGTCGTCGCCGGCGGTTGCACCCCATTTGTGTGTGCCCGCGACGCCGACGACTTCGCGCAACGGTCGGAAAACTTATATAAATACAGAGTCGCACAGCCATCATCAGCATCACCCACACTCGCACCCGAAGCGCATTCAACATGTTTTCGTAACTACAATCAAATTCAACCACAGCGAAATAATCCCCAAGAAATATATCAAATGTATGCAACTTAATTAGCACGAAATTAAATACTATATAAATGCAACACTGTTTTGAGTGTGAGTTAAAATGTTTGGGATTATATAAATGCATAAAGTTGGCGGAATGTGACCGCATGAGAGGGTGTTTCTTAGCGTGTGGATTGCAATTGTTTATGTGTGGGTGTATGTGAAGGTGGAGGAGCCGGGCGTTATATCATCAAATCTCGTGTCTCGCGTCCTCCTCGCCGCACTTCCGTTTTCGCACAATCTCGCCGTCGCGTCGAGTGTTTCACTCTGTTTAATTCCGGCGCTCGTGACACCCCGCAACCCCTCAATGTGAATGAATCGATATATACGTGCCATTATCGTTTAGAATGCGTCGTTCACGACGCAAACGAAGCGTGAAATCTTAATTTAATTTCGTTTTGGACACAAATTGCGCAAAAATAAAAGAAATATATTTATTTTTTAATAAAAGAAAAACACAAAACAAAAAATAACAACTTTAGTATATTTTGTGTTTTTGCTGCCTTGTAAGCTGAGAGCTTTCTTCACGTCCGTTTTCTCTTTGCTTCTGCTTTAATAAATGTAAGTGGACATATATCTTGCGTGGACTATTTTTATTATTTGCGAAAGCGTCGAGTCAAGCGCGGAAAAACATGAAATGTCATGATGTGCGTTTTTTAAAACAACATCTAATCGATAATCACAAGGACTATTTTGTATAATAAAATATTTAATATATAAGAAGAATAATTTTTACTTTTACAGTCAAAAAATAATAAAAATGATAAAAAATCATAAAATATTTCAGTTTATTCTTCAATTTTGTTGTTTTTGATCTAATTGATAATCACAAAGACTATTTCATATAATAAAATGTATAATATAAAAGAAAATGAATTTTTACTTTAACAAAGAAAAAAATAATGAAAAATAAAAAAGTAATTTTGGTTTATTCTTCAAATTTTGTTTTTATTTTTCTATATTTTGAGAATTGTTGGCACACGTGCACAGCACGTATCAGGATTTTTTGCCCCGTTTGATATCCTCCACACAAAGGACACGTCTTCCCCCGCTATTGTTTTATTTTGTCACGGCCATTGCGTTTCGATTTCCAAGCGTGCGGATTGGTTGTTATTCCGTTTACTCTTATCCTTTTTTTTCTTTTTTTGTTCTATTTATGTCAACTCAAAACACAATTTAATTTTTATTCTTCACCGAAGAAAATTTTTGTTAATATTTAAAATGGTTAAAATTAAAATTCGCGCAAATCGAATGAATAAAAGCCAGGCGATTGCATTAATGGCGCAGGAAGCTTTAAGCCTTAACGTATTCAATGGCTTGTTCGGCGCGGCACACGACGAGCGAAAGGATGAGAAAGCGGAGGCGGGCTGCTGCCGCCCCCACGGCCGGTAAGAACGCCACGCAAGACAGAGCCACGCGCAACGTTCCCGACAGTGAGCGCGCCCGCGTCCTCTTTCGTCCTTGTCGCCATGACGACGACGACGCGCCGAGGGCGGCAAAGCGGGCGCGAATGCCAGGGATGGGAATAACTAACGTGCACACGTGTACACATTGAGCACATTAAACTCATTGAAAACAAGTTCAAAACTGTACAAATATCATTTATTATATACAGAGTGTATCAATAAATTTATCAAAATTAAAAAAAATTATTATAATCTATGTTTTTGAAAGTAATGAAAAATAAACAGGATAAAAGTTAAAAACAGCCCCCGCAATAATATTAACATACAGAATGAGAGCGATTGGAAGCCAACAAAGCGCGTTGCACGCAACAACGAAATGAACGCCACCCAGGAATTGAAATCCAAACGCAAATAATGGATGAAACGCGCTCGCGCACACAGATGAATTGCGAATTGCGAGGGCGCGCTGATTGGAAACGAAAACTTTACAGGCAACGAGAGAACAAAAATTATGCCACAGGGTTAAAATCAACCATCAAAGAAAAATAAACTTCAAAATTATAAACTCTCCACGATTATTTTTAATTTAAAAATTTGAAATTAAAATTTAGTAAATAAAACATTTTACGAACCGCTGATATTCACATCAACGACATGCACAGAGTTTCTGCTCAACGAGATGTAAATTGTAATTGTTACGTCAGCGGCACGCAAATCCACAAGTTATTATGGTTTATGAATTCGCAATCAAAATAAATTTTCATTTTCCCTCCTCTATTGTGTTCATGTTTTCAGGTTTCATTTTACATTCAAATAAATCAAATAATAAAAACACTATTATATAAAGTTCTGTTAGTTACAGCATTTATAACTCGTGAATCGCTGGACAAATTTTAATAATTTATTATTTACTAGCTTTAACTCGCGGCTTCGCTCGCGAATATCTAAAATAATGAAGTTGCTTCCGAACGTGTCTGTAGTCACAGAAGAAGTAACAATGAAGTAGAATGGCGGGAAGTTTAAAATGGATGAAAGTATAGTCAATGGAAGTATAGTGTACAGTCTCCATAGTGTAGTCAATTGGATTTGATGTTGACGTAGCTGTCGGTAATACAGTGTGATAATACAGTGTGATGGTACTATAGTACTTAGGTTTGAGCTTCATTGCTGGAATGCTAGATGGCGTTAAAGTAGTCAAATAGCCAGATGCAGAGGTATTATTGGCTAAACAATTTCTTTATTTTATTTAAAAATAATTTTTTTAATTAAATAAAAAGTAGCCTATAACCATTCGGGGACCACTAAGAATATGTGTACAAATTTTCATGATGATCGGTTAAGTAGATTTTGCGTGAAAGTGTAACAAACATCAGGACTTTCGCATTTATTATATTAGTAGGGATTGATTCTTCTCTTTTAAGAATAGAAGAATAACTTTTAAAATATTGATTATTATCAGTCAAAGGGCCTTAAATAAGGGATGAAATTAGTATAGAAATTCATTTCAGAATTAAAGTTAAATAATTTAATCATAGATGGCGCTAAAATGCATTTTTCACATTTACCTTAAAAAATATAAAAATTGTTATTTATAAAACGATATTCCAGTAATATCAGGTTGCGTAATTTAGTTAACAACGTAGCTATTTATAATTAATTACCTGCGTGCCAGTATATTGAAGCAAATGTGATATTATAACGTTAATAAGCTTGTTGGATTTCACAAGTGACTAATTTAGATTCGTGTGTGTTAAAGCCCACACAATATCCTTTGAACATTAGTTGTGGGAATATATTTCGGGGTAAAGTAAATGACACCAACGCCATCTACCGCTAGATCTAGGAACAAGCAAAACATCAATTTATTTCCCAAACCAAAAATGATACCGACCGACGCAAGACACGCGCAAATCCTACAGGGAAACATCAAATTCATACGAATTTACAAACTTTCCGCCACCTCGCTGTCTGTTTCCGCGTAAATTTATCACCCGAACGTGCCGGGGTCCTCGCGCCGTTATTTCCCGAAATACGTTCAACAATTGTTACCGCCATGCCTGCATACATATTTCCTCATTAAAATTTAAATGAACCGCGCGAGCGCCGTAAAACGCCCGAAAATTTATCAAAATATTCCCGATTGCATCGCATTGAAATTATCTAAGTTAGTTAGGCGTCTAGCGAGACGTGATTGGTTAATTGCATAGAGACGGGGCGCCATTCGCAAATGTTTGCGCTACCATTATGCCCGGCGAGAGTCTGATTATTGCTCGCCATAGGGTTTGGCATTACAACTCTCTACGAGCGTTGAGCGCGAATTAGCGTCCGTAATTTACTGCATGCGAGGAGGAATCAATAGTAAAATTATGAACAATCATCCAATAAGCAAGTAAAATTACCAAAACCAACAATGTTTAAAGCAATCCAAGCGAATTAAACTGTTTTCAAATAATAATTAGTCGCTAGGCAACCCAAAACACAAATATTACATTTTAGTTAATAGAATTCACGCAAATTCAAGCGAATTATATCGAAATCAATAATGAAAACGCAAGAGATCCACGAGCACCGAGAGACCACCATCAGTTATTTTACGCTGCACGCGCACGTGTGCCTGTATAAGTCAATTCGGTAATTAATTAAAATTGTTAATTGCAGCTGCACGGAGTGTGTGCGGCGGGTGGACGTGAAAGCGGGCCGACGTCCGGGCACAGGAAGTGCCACAGTTTAATATCGATTCACGCACACCTACACAACACACCCCCGCCGGCAACCCCCGCGCCGTGGACCGCCGAAACCATACACCCCCCTCAAAATGGAAATACATAACAAAGCGCTGCGTTGTCGAATTATCTGCCGGACAAATACGTGGTGGGTTCAATCTGTGTCCGTAAATAATCACACTGTATA